CAAATTGAATCGAAATCGAATTTTCGTTCGATTATTTTGATTTTCAATTTGATTTTTACATTCTATCTTCTTCGTCCTGCGGGACTATACTAGGCATAGGCCCGGAACATGTATAACATGAGTCAAATTCACTTAAATAGAACATGCTGTAAGCTTTATTTCTTTACATTTTTACGGGCCTATGCCTGGGCTTAGACTCTAGGCCTAGACTACTAGATCTATAGGACTTAGACTAGCCTAAAGCTAGAGCCTTAGATCTAGCTCTTTCAGAGGCTGTGACTGATATGTTAGAACAGCCTTTAGAGCCCCCTATCAACCGCTTCAAAATTGTGTTAGTGTCCTCCTTGCGAAAATCGAAAAAAATTAAAAGGTGCTTCTGTGCCGAACAGCAAATTCTCATTATACATTGAGAAGCTACTCTTTACCAAGAAACCAAAAATGGAAGTTTTGACGGAAAGACATGACGTACAAGTCAAAATCTCTGAATCTTGCTAGGTACATGACAGATAAAGAGAATTTAAATCCTGATCGGCAAAAAAGCGGCTAATAACTTACATATTTTCTCAACAAAAAGCACTGATGTAGCTCACATTGGGAGATAGTAGTAAGCACTTGAAGTTGATTTCAGTAGATCAGTTACACCTGTCATGATTTCAAGGAAAGACACAAAGTATCCGTCAAAAGAGAAAAGCTTACATAAATGAGAGCAAAATCTGCAGATTTATTATAGCTATTGACTTCTCGAATATGTTGAACGCACAACTCTAAACAATACTTGAAATTGAATAAAATTGACAAAATATGAGAAGACAGTCTAAAACCTAACTGGAGAGCTGCCATTGTTTGCCCGGAAATCTTCAGATATTTTGACTGGTACTTTGTGTCTTTCCATCAAAATTGCCATTTTGGTTTCTCGCTGGGTAATTCACAGATGAAGAGAAATCTTGATTGACAAAAATACAGCTGATAGCTAACAGCTTTTCTTAAACAGAAGATAAAGGAAGATATAAAGGAACCTGTTATGATTTTGAAGCGGGTGATAGCCGATAGGGGGCATGTTAAGGCTGTAAGTAGAGGGTGTGGCCGAATAAATCTAACCCAAATAGAGTTTAACACATCTCAGTATAGGCAAAATTAAAATTCATTAAAGTTTCATCACTTTAGCATGTGTACATTTGCTGGCCTTCTAATATTTTGCCAATAGATTTGTTAGGCTTGATTGCAAATTCTTATGAAATATAAGAGTGTATGGTTTCAATGTACTGGACTCTCGATATTTTTTGCGTGCAATTTTGTTTCGTGCTTTTCGCGATTGTGTAAAAATCACGAAAATTAATAGTCGCGAATATCGCCAATTAAAGGCTGAGGTGCAACATGCCATTGACTAAGATCTAGAGATTGTAAATCTTATCCAAAGTATATGATATTGGGTAGGTGTAATTACTGTAGATAAGATAAATTAATTTTGAGGATTCAGAGAATAATGGAAGTTAAACCTTTGATATCCGCAAAATTTAATGGCCGCAAAATTGGTATTTCTCAAAATTCATGAAATTTAAACTCGCAAATTAACCGGTAGTACAGTATTTGCATGTGGAATAATTATGATATTGAGAGCATTGATGAAACAAATGCAATGAACTGATTTGATTGGCCAAGGGAGCATTGGAATTTTGACCTGAAGTTCACATGATTGTTGCTATAGGCCTTATGATTTTTTGGAATTCCAGTAATACTATTAATGTCTATTATACTTATACAGTAAAACCTGTCTTATCCAAATGCCAACGCTACAAATTAAAAACATTCAGATTTAAACGTCTGATTTCGAGGTTTTTGCATCCGAAAGATTCTTGATTTTGAAAAAATATTAATGCATTTTCACTTAATATTACTCGCATTGTAGGCGTTATGATTTTTTGGAATTCCAGTAATACTATTATACTTATACAGTAATATCTGTCTAATACTTATACAGTAATATCTGTCTAATCCAAATGCCACCATGACCAGTTAAAACACCATGACCAGTTAAAAAAAACATTCAGATGTGGAGGTGATCGGATTTCGAGGATTTTGCATTCGCAAGATTCTGCATTTTAAAAATATAAATGCATTTTCACTAAAAAGTATTAAGATTACTTTTGACCGCATAGCTTTATGACATTCCAAAATCCAAATCGAATGCTTGAAAGGTAAAACAGAAGTGTGCAATCAGAGATGATAGATACTATTGCATGAGTATATGAAGGCCATGTGTCAACTCTTCGATTGATAATACGCCTCGAAATAAACACCCACTGGCTTGGGAAAGCTATTTTCCCTCTTAATAAATGCCTGTCCCCTTGGAAAAATGTCTTCAATTTCCCTCTTAGTCTTAATAAAAGCCAATGGCATTTATTTTGAGTTCTTTCTAATAAAGGCCCTGTGCAAAATAAATGCTCAGTGGGCCTATATGTTCGTTGAATTTAAAATTTCCCCTTCTACTCAATTTTTATAAATGTTTTATGCATCAGTATGTTGCATTTGGAGACACAAATAAACTCTTAAAAGGAAAATATTTTCTCTTTAGTATGTTAACTTTGTCTACAAATGCAACATATTAATGTGAAAACATTATAAAAAAAATGGAAGGAACTGAAAATCAGGAAAACATTTTTGAAAAAAAATGTTGATGGGGTCTTTGCACCTTCCCTGTCTCAATCTCCAATTTTTTTTATCATCTGTATGAGTACTTTTCCTTTAGATAATGCATTGGCCTAACATACACACCTTACATTTCAGAAAATTTCTGCAATTCAACATATGACCGTCTAAATTCTGTTGCGAAACCTTTAGTATTCTTTCAAGAAATTTCCTGCTTACATGAAAGTCTTTTACAGTTTTACATTCTGTTTTTTTTTAATGTAACATAATGGCTGATACCAATATTGTTCAAAGTTGTATATGTTTACACTATGGAACTAATCATTCTTTGAATTGAGTTCGATTCCTGAACAACTGGATATTTGACTAAACATTCCTTGGATTTGATTTGGTTTGATGAAGAGAAATCTTGACTGACAAAAATGCAGCTGATAACTAACAGATTTTCCCAAACAGAAAATATAAAAAAATTTAAAGTGAGCACTTGATTTCAATAGTTTAGTTTCACCTATGCTTTTGAAGCAGGTGATAGCTGATAGGTGTCATGTAAAGGCTGTAAGTACATGGTATAGCAATAATTAAAGGTAAGAAGGTACTGTTTCATTCATATTTCTTGGTTTTAAAAACATTTAATCAAATAAGCTGGAAATTTTTTTGAGAAATGATATGATGGTGAAAGAAATAGATACAAAATTATAAAAAATTTATAATTAGCGAAAATTGATATCCGCAAAATTTCAAAATTGCAAAATTGCGAAAGATAACAGCATCAAATATTAGTGGCAGTACAGTATTTGCATGTGAAATAATTATGATATATTAATATAATAATATAATAATTGATGAAACAATTGCAATGAACTGTTTTGATTAGCCAAGGCCAGAGCATTGGAATTTGAACTAAAGTTGAGTATAATGTTATTGTATAAATTAAAAAAATAATTATAGAGACTTCTTACAAAGTTGATCTTCATTTCAAATAGCTGAGAATATTTCCCAAAATAGATTGACTAGGCCTTCAGATTTTTTTTAATTTCAGTATTACTATTACTCATACAGTAAAACCTGTCTAATCCAAATGCCACCGTGCAGTTAAAAACATTCAGATTGGGAGGTGTTCGTTATCACAATAGATTATAATTATATCATTGATAATTGAGAGTTTATTCAAAGATGGCAGCAGCATTCTCAGAACAAAACAATCAGAATCTCATTAATCTTTTGTTCACGTTAGTTATTTAAACTTTATATTCATATATAGATGGCAGTTCTTAAATATATGATAGACACCAATAATTCAACATCATAATTTAACCTTTTCCATTAAATATACCCTGTATCAAGCACAGAAACGTATTTACACCCTTTACTAAAATGGCAACCCCTGTATCACGCACTTGTTCATACATTAAAATAAAGAATAGTAATGCATTAAGCATTTCTTAAAATATTGCCTTTGGTGAAAAGGAGGTCAAATTATTGAAAAAGTAGTTGATGGGTTAATCATCGATATCACTGAGTCCAATTGCCTTACATGTAATTTCATTGTCTTCTCTAATAAATCTCATCATTTTTGTTCTAATTAACTTAACAAAATATCATGTCGCTTATCTTTTGGGAGATGTTGTATTTGAGATTGTTCGGAAAAGATTGGTTGGTCAATTGTACATGTTACCTGCAATATTGTCACCACTTGTAAATATGATTCTCCCTTTAATCGACACTTAAATGCAAATTTATCTAATATAGTATTCGATGAATAAATTGACTGCTACGACGCAAAAGAGTTTACAAGTACGGCGTCATATCAAAATTCAACCAAAAATATTTTGCAAGATTTGGCATTTTGACCTGCATAAACACCTATCTTGCTTATCAATAACTATATGATACTATTTATTTTGTCAACAGGCACCTTGAAATTGGTGAGGGTCAGGGATTTGATAAATAAATTTTGTTTAGCGAAATGTTTACAACGTGCAAAAACTGTGAAACTACCATTTTGTTTTAATTTATTTGGCCTTATGCTTCGTCGCTTTCCACCGAGTCTACAACCTTATGAATAAAGATGGCTCTTTGTCCATTTTATAAAATCTGTCAAATACAGCACTCCAAATAAGGTAAAAACAAATCAATTCATAATTGGAAGTAGTTAAGTAATATTCAGAATCAGCAGCAAAGCAACAGCTCAGTGGATGGATCAAAATTAATTTATTTCGATATTAGTAAACCATTCAAGAGTATCACCACCACCGTCCGTGCCATCGTGGGGGGGACGCTTTATGATTTAATTTGTATTTCAAAAGAATAACTGGGCTCGGTAAATATTATTTCATAATCTGAGTTTTGAGCGCTTAAACTGGATTACTGAATTTTTGTAAAATGGAGTGTGTTTGGATAATGTTAATCAGTCAAACCTTTCAAAGGGCTATTCAAAACCAATACAATTGACCCTCTTTGTAAATGAAATAAAACCTAAAAAGGGCCGGCCTCGAGGAGTCGACGACCACATAAATTGGCGCCTTTGGATGGACATGGAGTGTTTTAAATCAAAGTTTTAAACCAATGTACAAGTAAGTACAACTGCCCATATTCACGGGGTGACAACTACGACCATTAATTTGAATTCTATACCTACCAAGTGTTTGAAAATCAAGGGTTTTGAGTCTCATACTACATCGTTTTTCTTCAAACTTGTATAGTATAGATCATGACTCGTGGAATATTCTAAATGGACAAAGCGACAACGTAATTCAAAAAATGATTTTCCCGAAGTTTCCAAAACAATCATATTTCAATAAAATTGGAAACTGATTAATTTCGATCTGATTTATGTTTCGCAATGAAAAGAAAATGTTCATAAATCTCAAACAGACGTGGGAGACCCCCATTGTGAGCCTCATAATCATAGATCGATTGATATGACATTTATATTTACAACTCTTAACCATTGGAGTACAAATGCACTTGCAAAATTAGAGTACATTCAAACTTGACGTCGTTATGGTTAGAAAAAAAACAAGTAAAATATGGTGAAATTTTCACACACGTATTCACGTAATACAGGACGGATCGTTGATTTTATAGTGTAAGGATTTCTCATCATATATAATGATAATGGAAGCAATGGAAAGAAGGTATGTTGAATCATTTATTTACTTATCCTATAATTTTGTGCAACTTTAGGTGCACATATATGCACTTATAGGGTCTTTATTGATATATGTGATATGGATGTTGACACTATCTGATAGCCAAAACTCCGATATAGTCTAACTCATCAAAGCCGGGGGCGTCCCCATCTAGTACAACCTGTGATACAGTGTTATCACCTCTGCTTATAATCTGCGGGGGTTCGTTTCCATTGCTCAGATTTTCAGGAAAGCACCAAATTTTACATGCATGCTCAGAATTTTTGTTTTAACAAGACTGAGACTCATTTTTCGGGATGGCGGCCATTTTGAATTTTGCCTTCTGTACCATCTGTACAAAATAAACGGAATATGTATGAACTAACATTTTAAAACTAGGAAACAAGGATATTTGTGTTTGTCAGTGACTTCAAGCCTCATTATTTCCTTATGTCGCAACATTTGATTACATAACAACCAATATATCTCCTTATTTTCATTATTACCAGTGGACTCTGACTACTGACAAAGACATTTAGGATAATGTACCTATACACCAGTGAGATAAATGTTACGGTTCTTTTTAATGATATAATACATACATTGTTAAATGGTCTTGTTTTTTCATACACGATATGGGTAACCCCGAGCCAACTAATTACATGTTTTAGGTAGGATACAAAAACCTTTACATAAATATTGTATGACTGGTTCATGCGGAGTAAAAAAGTAATAATTATATATAAAGAACCAATTTACATTTCCAAATGACTCATCATTCATGAATATGTAAATATTATGTTTAGCGCAAGATTTTTAACAACCAATTTAGCTCCTTTTTAGTCTTGCCAGTGGATTTTGGACTTGATCTGTACATTAAAAATATTATAAAGATAGAACGGTAAAATAAATGTTAAAGGTAATGATATAAAACATTGTTAAAGGTCTTGTTTCTAATACATACAGTACAGGGTACATGTACTCCTCGAGTCTCTCAGCCTCATTATTTGTATGTCAATACAACCATTTACGACCTTTAAAGAAGTTTGGCATCTTCATCAAAAAAATATTCACCGGCTAAATTTTTATCATTATTTTTTTACAATTGTGATACAATGCGGAGTGTTTGGCATTCCAATCACCCATAACGAAGATGTGGTCAAAAAGACCATGTGCAGTATGGCAAGTGATTTTAGACGGTCATATCTTTCACCATGAGTACTTTTTTGGCATAAATACAGTGGTTTTTATGAAAACAATATGTTTTTTTCAAGTGAAGTCCCCATGATGATAAAAAATATCAATAAAACAATTCCAAAAATTATGAATATAGACCCCTGTCAACATTTTTTTCATAATATTGAACCTATTTACTCAAAAGAGGATCTCCCTTTTATGATTTTTATTGCATGAAAAGATTATTCAACAAGGGGTCTAAAACATCTTCAAAAACAGAATGGTAGTCTAGTTTTGAAGATATCAATTTTCAATGGTCAAACTTATGCTGAAAACAATGGATAGCACTAGTTTTCCCTGTAAGTGTTAGAGAACAGCAATATCATGTTGGTAATATTTGGATAAAGATACAGCAAAACCTGGTGTGAGAGTTCTAGATAAGAATATCTGAGTTGAGATGATGAGTAACCGTGTATTGTGAACATGTTTGGCATCAATGGGTCCACTCAATGGAGGATTACATAAGCTAGAAAAGTCAGTACAACTACGTCAAAGGCACACAAGAGCAAAATGGTCAGGGGAGAGTAAGAGTAGAAGATAATATGCATACTTGATCGATATTTTGTCGAGACCTAGTATTGCAACATAAAATGTTGCTAGGTAGTACTTTTATCATAGATCATTCCTATTGGTACCCGCACAAGTGCCCATTATCCGGAATCCTTCATTAAGATATGTTCATTAATTATTGACAGCCAACAAAGCTACCTTTATGTAACTTATACGGGGAGCCATGTCATCTTCTTTTTGGACTCTTGTGTATGATATACTAATGCATTGTTTCTAATAACTCCCTTTCTTTCACTCCCCGTGTCTGTTGAGAGGGGGTTTCCCGAACCTCATTATGTAGACTGAACTGTTTGGAGCCAAAGTCATACTCTACCCTCTCGGCACTCTACCTTCAATCGCCAAAAATGGCATTTATCTGTGGCTCGAGCTAGAAAATTAGCCTATTGCAATAGAAAATCCAAATGGATTGTTTTGTATTATACTCGACTCAGTTCTGGACAAGGTGGCTGACTTAATGGTATAACTTGGCGTTTCCTAGCCTTGCCCCAAGTCGGTCTCTTTTACTTATCTTGATTTCTATTATGACCGCCTTGTACCAAAGAGAAAGCCACGTGCTTTACCGACAGTTTGTTTATGTCGGTGATTTTGACCAATAGCACGCGATCTTTCAATGTCTAAATATAGGTTACAAACACACGAGGTAATGCTAATGTCGATTTTGCTCCAATCAGCAAGTTAGTATCTGAACCTTTGATAATGGCATTGTGGGAAGTCCTACCTCGCTTTACTATCATAAGCTTTGAAAACTGAAAATGACCCTCGCAAAATTGATAAACGTTTTATTTGCTAAATATAATTGAAAGTAATTTGAATGTATTTTGAATATTGAACCGATTTAATATCAGAGAGTTGATGACTGATCGGTTCACATATAAACACTTATAGTTATGCTGTAAAAAGGATAATGAAAAGTAATTATATTTCTGGTGAATGCGTTTTATTGTAAGGGAGATACCTGGATTTGCAGACTGCAAGCATGCCGCATGGTTGTTATAACTTCACAACCGCATGGCGAACACGTGGATTTATTTATTGATTTTGTATACGACTACCGCTATTGGCTAATGCTATAGCGCACGCGTCATAGTTGGTGCATAATTTATCATAATAACAGTGGAGACCTATCGGATTACACAAGGCGGTAATAATTCAAGATCAGATAAAGTAAAAAATACCGACTTGTGGCAAGGCTAGGCGTTTCCCTGCTCTAAAAATAACGTTGGCTATAACCACAATAGTCACATGGGTTCAAAAATAAATTGTGACGTTTTATGAAAATTCAGAGCCATAGCGGACAAATCTTTTGATACCTATCCGTGTTGTCGATCTACCTAAATCAGAGAGATATTTTACCATGCGTTCTTATCCTGCATTAAAAGCAGAAGCTGTAGAGATGGATAAAAAGGGGAAACAATCACACAAAACAGGCGCAAATGGCCGTACACCCGCTGTACCATGGATTTTAATTTTGACATATAAAACTTCCAGGCTCCATACCGCTTTATCAAGAATACTAAGACAATATGTTTTATACTCTCTTGTGCAAATATATGTTCGTCGAGACTACACGATTAGGGATACGGTATGCCACATTGTACACCTTGCAACATTGTCAATATGAGTGTTATTTCTAATCCCGGGTTTCTAGTACTTCAACTGAGAAGTTTATCATCTATTGAAACGATTGAAACATGTTTTCATTCAAAAAGTAGATTTCTATACTAAATGACTTTTTTGCCCCTTGTCTCGCTACGCTCATCTATGTATGTGATTTTTTCTGAGAATTTTTGGCGAGGCGGTTTACATCAAGACAGTGGATCCAAACAACTTTTTGTACCTATTGATTTAATGCGTTCGCATTGGTCTAACGGTTGACTGCGCTCGTAAACAAAAGGGACGAGTTACGGCAAAGTTTCAGTGGTCAAAAATGTTAATTTGAATCTTACGATAACATTCATGATATTGTGCGATATACGTATTTAACAACAACATTTAACAACGTATTTAACAACAACAACTTTGTTGTTGACATTGGGGACAAAGTTAAGGTTTGAACTGACTTTTAAGGAGCTAAGTCAAACGAATGCAAAGGGTAACAAGGCAACATGACAAAATGTCACCTACTTGTGAGTCATTGCATATGCATTGGCTTAAAAAATGGTAACAAGTACATGTAAGTATGGAAACAAGTCCACTTATCCGTTAGTTGCCATGGTAACATGTTACGTCAATGCATTTTTAAGTTACAGTATGTAAGAAAAGTAAGAAGTGTTTTAAGACAAATAACCTGTTTCCATGATCACACCGGAATAGCCTGACAACGGTAAAGTCAGATACCGTTGTCACAAATGGCGGACATAAACGTCGCTTCATGTTTAATCACTTGGTCCTCATTTCATGGGATTTTATCGTCGCTAATTCTGTGCATATATTAAGCTCTTGCGATGATGTTTCATATGAAATCCCAATTTCGATCTAATTGGGTCGTGAATCGCCAAAATATAGCGTCTTCGATATCGTCAATGACAACGGAATCTGAATTTTGAGTAATTTAGAAAGACAACGGCATATTTTTTATTTTTTATTTTTATTCATTTATTTAGACACAACACTATTTGTAACAGTGGCACTCTCAATGGGTGCGTCTATACTCAAAAATTAAAACTTTATATACATGGCTTAAAAAAACTTAACTAAAATCACTTTAAAAACATTCATTATGCTTTAAAAAATAGAAAATCAGAAGATGTTCTTCAGCATATGGTAATTACAGTGTCCGTTGTCCCGTATATCATTTTGATCGGTTAAATTAAAGACTTCATTTCGATGGAATAATACTGCAGATGGTTACAAAATGTTACAAGTGCACGTATTAAATTACTGCAGATGGTTACAAAATGTTACAAGTCCACGTATAAAATTACTGCAGATGGTTACAAAATGTTTAAGTCCACTTATTTGTTACCGATGGTAACATATATTGGCAGAAAAATGTGTTGGAACTCGTAACAATATGTCACCACTTCTTAAATTATGGCATAACAAAATATTCCTCAGTCGATAAACGTCAAAAAATATTTATATTACGAGTGAATGATTAACTAGAATATAATATGACGGGTATATGTCCACCCGTGTAGCTCAGCGGTAGCGCAGGTACCTCTTACGCAATAGGTCCCGGATTCGATCCCCGGTTCAGGCAAGACTAAAGCTTGTTTGCGTGAAGTATCTCAGGGTGTTTTACTGAGTGGTCCGCAACTCGTACAAAAGGCTGTGGTGTGTGCTTGTATGTCAATGTATAAGTGCACATAAAAGAACACAGGGCTCCTTCAAGGAGGGGTTTCTGGGTCTATCTTCCATGTTAATTACGTAAATTACGACCATATATATACGGGACATACCCAAGAGGTATTGCTCACCTTCATTGATGGGAAACAAAATACAATACAATAACTAGTGTAAAGTCCACAACTTATCGCCAGTTAGTGCTAAAGGGGTTCCAAATGGGGATACGCCAATGTGCGGAAAATGGATTTTTGTTTGTATGAATTTGTGAGGGTTAAATTCATATCAGGTAAAATATATCGGCTATATTAGGTGAAGGATATTGAGATTAACCAAAGGCCAATGTTATATATACTAGAATGCAATAAATCCTACACAATCCAGTGATTTATTATATGTTTTTAACTTTCTAGAGGGGGGCCAATAATGCTATGTTGCCTCGGCACCTCACAATCTATGTAAATAATTATGTTGAATTATATAGAAATAAATAACAATAACCTATAATATATACTAGAATATGCATGAAAAAACTCTTGTTGGAAACATCAAAGTAGGCGACAAAGATGTGTGTGGGGTACTATGATATAACGCGGTCCTACTGTATTATTCATAAAGGCATTAGCACATTTCTTACAAATGCAAAATGTAAACAAGAAGATATATCATGACGTGTAGTGAACAAGTACAACTGGTTTTAGAAAGATGAAAATAAGCAACAATTACTAGTAATCATTATCATTATCTAAACCGTTTTTTACTTTCTTTGTTTACAGGGCACACAGTAAGAGGCGATGCCGGAAAATAATCATCGCGCTGGTACCAGCATTTTGTATAGTATACGTATTCATCTACATGCAGTGCCCCCTGTTTAATATACCCACTCCCAAAAACCCTGCAATATCGACCAAGAAGCTGTTCTTAGCGACACCAATGTTCATGAGCCGATGGCATATGAATTTTGATGAATGTCCAGTTAATGACTGTGTGACAACTGAGGATTTCTACGCTGCGGATGCTGTAGTGTTTCATAACTATGAGATCCAGCCCTGGCTGTGGTGGTATTCAACGTTTTACCAAAGACCACCGAACCAAAAGTGGATTTTCTTCGGCCAAGAGTCTGAAGTACGAACAGCGTGGGATTCTGCATCGCTTAATAATATTTTCAATTGGACTGCGACGTATAAACGAACGTCCGACATAGTAGTTCCATACGGAGGATATACACGTCTTACACAACAAGAACAAATGACGCTACGGAAAAAAACCTTCGACTATGCTCGAGGAAAGTCAAAGCTAGCTATGATCTTGTCCAGTCATTGTGGAGCATTAACAAGTGGCAGATGGGAGCTGGTTGAAGAGCTCCAAAAATACATTAACATTGATGTGTTTGGAAAGTGCCATAACACACCTTGTCCCGAGCCATGTAACATTGAGGAGATGGGTAAACAATACAAGTTCTATCTATCATTTGAAAATTCAAGATGCGAAGATTATATTACAGAGAAATTTTGGGGTAATGCCCTGGGATCAGGGGAAATGGTACCTATTGTACTAGGTGGCTACAATAAAACAGACTATAGCGATGTAAGTCCACCAAACTCATTCATACATGCGACTGATTTCAAAACACCGCGAGAACTTGCAAATTATATGCTCCTACTTGACAAAGAAGATGCTCTTTACAACGAATACCATAGGTGGAGACGTACTCATAAAGTATTCAAGCAAAAGATTGTGAACAAAGACTGTAGTTTTTGTAAAAATCTTCACAATGCGACAAAGTTCGAGAAACATTCCATCCATAAAGACCTCCATACGTTTTGGAATCGTCAAACCAACTGCAAAGTTATCAACCTTCCCTCGGATTCATTTCATAATGCTGTGATAAGTTACACAAGATACCTGTTTGGAATTATATGATTGACACTTTTTAGTTCTACGTAGACAAATGGGACATAGACTTTCTAGTTCTACATAGACAGATGTAACATACACTTTCTAGTTCTACGTAGAAAAATGAGACATAGACTTTCTAGTTCTACATAGACATATGTAACATACACTTTCTAGTTCTACGTAGAAAAATGAGACATAGATTTTCTAGTTAAACGTAGACAAATGGGACATAGACCTTCTAGTTCTACGTAGACAAATGGGACATAGACTTTCTAGTTCTACATAGACAGATGTAACATACACTTTCTAGTTCTACGTAGAAAAATGAGACATAGATTTTCTAGTTAAACGTAGACAAATGGGACATAGACCTTCTAGTTCTACGTAGACAAATGGGATATAGACTTTCTAGTTCTACGTAGACAAATGGGACATAGACTTTTAAGTTCTACGTAGACAAATGGGACATAGACTTTCTAGTTCTACGTAGACAAATGGGATATAGACTTTCTAGTTCTACGTAGACAAATGGGACATAGACTTTCTAGTTCTGCGTAGACAAATGAGACATAGACTCTCTAGTTCTACATAGACAAATGAGACATAGACTTTCTAGTTCTACATAGACAAATGAGACATAGATTTTATAGTTCTACGTAGATAAATGAGGTATGGACTTTCTAGCAAAGAGCATCTTACTACGATACAGGATATAATTTTACATTGTCAATTGAAAGACGAATGAAAATATCTTTCCAGAATATGTCTTCAACATAAGTGCAGTATTTTTGCAAATCCTCATGTAGCTAGTATTTATATAATTATTTACAATTTATCTGGTATTGTATCATATTATTTATATTACTATTATATAAGACGTAATTTTACACTGTACATCGAACGACGAATGAAAATATTTCCCAAAAATGTCTTTAACATAAGAATGTATTACTTTTAGCAAATCACCATGTAGCTAGTATTTATATAAATATTTACATTTTTATCTGCGATTGTTTATATTACGATAGCCTACAGAATATAATTTTACATCGTCAATCGAACGACGAATGAAAATATTTCCCAAAAATGTCTTTAACATAAGAATGTATTACTTTTAGCAAATCACCATGTAGCTAGTATTTATATAAATATTTACATTTTTATCTGTGATTGTTTATATTACGATAGCCTACAGAATATAATTTTACATCGTCAATCGAACGACGAATGAAAATATTTCCCAAAAATGTCTTTAACTAAGTACATTATTTTTGCAAATCCCCATGTAGCTAGTATTTACATGACGATTTACATTTGTATCAGTGATTGTATTATATTACATTTATACAAGAAGTAATTTTACATAGTCAATCGAAAGACGCATGGAAATATTTTTTTCAAAAAAGGTCTTTTAAGTATATTTGTAACTGCCCATGTAGCTAGTCCAATATGTTTATTTACATTTTTATCGGTGATTGTATATATCTACAATGTACTAGCTAGTATAGATTTTGGAATTTAGCATGGAGTAAAGACCTAGATCTTACCTCATTATTTTCATGGGATCCTTGTGACCTCCAAAACAGCCCCGGTGAAACAAGCCCTCAAAGGCCCGATGTATGTAAACTATATGTCACAATAAAGCTGATATTTTAAATCACAAAGTATTCTACCACTTTTTTGCTGGTGACATAACTAGGACTGAGCCAACAACATGATGTACAAACAATACAAAGAACAATTTTACAGTAATTGTGGCAAGGTACTACCTTGTTAGACATACTAATAACTTGGTATTTACATTGTAAATTATACATATCTTAACAGTGCAATGTCCCATGTTACCGAACCGGGGTAAAAGTGCAGATCTTAAACATTTTTGAAGTTCCGTTTACGTAACGAAAGTGAGATAGTATATGATATCGATGAACTATTTGTTCGCAAATGTTTAGCTTTTCTTAAACATATGATATTGTGATAAAAATGTAATGGAAATTCTGTCTGCAAGTGAAATCAGAAAAAATCGTAACTTCGAGGATCCGACATTTTGTTACCGAACGGATTAGTTGGAAGAGTGCAGTACCGGTGTAAAAGGGTAGGAGGTCCTATCAAATTATGGTCCTACTTTCCATTGGTTTATATGGTGACCTAAATACAACTCTTTCCCTCATTATCTTATTCGCAGCCAGTAAGGGCCGTTAAGAAAGGGGACCATAATCCCTCGGGGACCATCATTTCTTTCACACCGGTGCACCTGTCTCATTTGATTAAAAAACAGTTTTCCTTCAGTTTGCACTGATGTCGTTCAACTCCCGGTTTAACTTCGAATTGACAATTATAGGTAGGTCAGCAGAATAAACAATTGTGTTGTCACTTGCTTTGAACTATTCTAAAATGATAATGAAAAGCCATAATCAGATTATTGTACCTATTCTTCCACCTATTTCAGAACACTTAGTACTATTTTATGCTTGTAAAACGTCATTTTTATTATAATCTATTCTAATAATGTTCTTTAAATGTTCAAATGTTTTTCATTATTTATAATCACGAATAATCACGATGGAAAGCCGATCTTTGATATGATTTAAAGAAAATGTCAAATATGTAACACGCAGGTTTGCGAAATGAAATTCAGATGACAGATTTCATATGGAACGGTAGTGTGTTCAAAAATTCATAAGAATTGTTTGAGAGAGGCATAAGGCATGGGTGATTTTCGGTGCACTATTAAATTAAACATACATGAGGAGTAGCTGACATGAATTCCAGCCATAGTTGTTATATATCCGAATTTATTGACATTAGAATTCTACATCGCCACAGACCTCGGAGTAGTCAGAAAAATACAACAATTTATGTAACATTTTGATAATATTTACACAAGTTCTCTACTTTAATAGCATTGTTATTATTGAATTATTTCAGCATTTTGGTACATTAGAAAATACGATCCATCATATTTATTCAATTAACGTTTTTAGTCGATGTGGAATTCTAATGTCAACAAATTCGGAAATATAAAAACAATGGCCTTTTAATAAGTGCACCAAAAAGAAGTAAAATCAACCAAGCCTTATATCTCCCTCAGAAATTTCCTCATGAATTAAAAATATGACTGAAGAACGTTGGGAAATTATTAAGGCTGCGTTTTTGTACATGCTTTTTGACCGCGAGCATGATTTTAATCCTAAAATTAGCTAGATTGTGCTTATATCAACTATGTGTGAAATACCACTGTTTAAAAAAATTGAATATTACACAACCGTATTAATTTCACTTGCACCGCGGTCGTAGGAAAATACTGTAACTACCTTTCATCAATAATTAAAAAGATTATTAAAAACGCCAAACATTTCTTTGAAATCCAACAATGCACAGTGATTTTTTAGAGTGAAATGTATGCTTAATTGGCATTGATCTGAGTATATTACGAAATTGAAGCTCTTTTAAGAGAAAATATATGTGTGTGGCCTATATGTATGGACAACCTTCACTTCCTGAGACCTTTATAAATTCTAAAAATCAATTGATGTCATACACGAAATGCATCTATTATGTGGTATAAAGTACAAACACAGAGTATACATTAACAAGCCACATGGTGAACAATATCTTACCTATAACATAGCAGTGTGGACTTGATGACCCAGAAAGCAAGATTTATCTAAAAACGCTCAAGATGGCTGCTAGAATACAAAATGACCACCGAAAAATTGATCAGCTGTAGAACTTCTTACCATGTAACATGTGTGAAGCAAATCTGTTAAGTCCTTTTTTCTGGAATCGCGATGACAAGATTTATCTAGAAACTTCCAAGATGGCTGCCAGAATGCAAGATGTAACATGTGTGAAAATTTGAAGTCAAACTGTCAAAGTGGTTTTCCAGGAATCGTGATGAAAAGATTATCTAAAAAACTCTTCCAAGATGGCCGACAGAGTGCAAGATGGCCATCGAAAAGTTAATAAGCTCTAGGACTTCATACCATGTAACATGTGAGAAAATTTGAAGTAAATCTGTTAAGTGGTTTTCCTGGAATCATGATAACAAGATTTATCCAAACTCTTCCAAGATGGCCGCCAGAATGCAAGATGGCCGCCAAAAAGTTGATTATCTCTAGACTTTCTTACCCATCTAACACGTATGGTAATTTGAAGTAAATCTGTTTGCAGTTTTCCTGAAATCGTGATGACAAGATTTATCTTAAAACTTCCAAGGTGGCCGCCAGAATGCAAGATAGCCACCGAAAAACTAGTGAGGTCGAGGACTTTTTAACATATAACATGTGTGAAAATTTGAAGTACATCTGTTAAGTGTTTTTTCTGGAATCACGATGCCAAGATTTCTCTAAAAAATCCAAGATGGCCGCCAGAATGCAAGATGGCCGCCGGAAAGTTAATCAGCTCTAGAACATCTTACCATGTAACATGTGTGAAGCAAATCCGTCTGGTGGTTTTCCTGGAATTGTGATGACAAGAAAATGAGACTTCAGAATGCCACCTTGTCTAACCCATTTTGGTGGCTTTTGCCCCAGTTTCTATCAATATAAGAGGTGTTTTCTTGTTAGACATACTAATAACTTGTTACTATCTTAACAATGTCCCATGTTATCGAACGGGTTAAAAGTGCAGATCTTAAACATTTTTGAAGTTCTGTTTACGTTACAAAAGTGAGATATTTGAGAGGTTAAGCAAAACGATTGTATGAACAAAAGTGCTTTAAGCTGAGCACTGTAGACATAACGTAAACGCAAATCTCAAAATGAATCTTTTATTTTTCTTAGCGGCCTTTCATTTATTTTTTACTTTAAAAGTATAAAATATATTACTTTATTGACAAATTGATAAAAGTGTTGACAAAGGAGAGGTTTCACAGTCTGGCAATGTTCTATGACATACGTGAAATAAATAGAATAGAACAATATGACTTGTTCGCAAATGTTTAGCTTTTCTTAAACATATGATATTGTGATAAAAATGTCGTGGAAATTCTCTCTGCAAGTGAAATGTGAGTTGGAAGAGTGCAGTACCGGGGTGCATTTGGCTCATTTGATTAAAAACAGTTTTTCCTTCAGTTTGCGCATGTCGTTCAACTCCCGGTTCAACTTCGAATTGACAATTATAGCAGCAGAATAAACAATATTGTGTTGTCACTTGCTTTGAACTATTCTAAAATGATAATGAAAAGCCATAATCAAATTATGGTATTTTAAATGGATAATTTTCTTGTAAAATTGATACTTGTACTTACATTTTGTATATACGCAGTTATCAAATATTGAATTTACTCCACCCTTAGTGCCACAAAGAACATGCATGTACACCTTTTGGAGTATCTCATTGAAGTTGAAGTTGCTCTACATAGAGGTTGGTTACATTTCTTTACACCATAAATGATAAAAAAATACACGTCTGTTAACTTGCCCTGGGTAACTTGAGAGACCAAGCACGAATACACTCAAAATCCCATGGTCAGTTTCTAGGTTTTCAAGTACACTGGAATGAGTATTATTCAAGTTGTTCGAAAATGTGAGTTGAAAAAATCGATCGTTCATTACCAGATTTCAATCGTTTTCATATTAAGAAGTCATTTCTGGAATACTTCCCAGGGTTTCACGAGAATTAACAACAGGCAAAATTAATGGAAATCATTTTAACATGGAAATGTTTAAAGTCCCTAAAAACAACAGGCGATTTTCACGAGTTGTTTTCACAAAATTGCTTGCTGCTAATGAAACCCCTGCTACCATACCATTTATCATTTACCATTCATGTTTTATTCTTGAAATGTAAGGATGTGGATTAGACGACAGTGATAGTATAAGGACATTTTTGTCCATTGCTTGAGGATGATGGTGCAACTGAGATTTCACGATGTTACACATATACACATGTACTGTTATCTTATAGCTTGGCCTGTAATGAAAATATATTGTATGTAGCTTTCACAATCTGAACCAAGGTCGTTTTTTATGAATGTTTTCCCCCTTTTCTCTCTCACCTTGATTATTCATCCCAGCCTTAAAGTATTGGCAATGTGACATAAGTATTGGCAATGTGACACAAGTATTGGCAATGTGACAAAACGCTGTCATAATCAAACGCGCAATATTTTCAAAAATATTTTATTCTTACAGGGTCACCAAATGCAACTATTTTAAGAATAACTTCGTGTCCAAAGGTAAAGCAATTAGGTTTATCTAAATTGGCCAAATGACAATATTTTTCAAATATGCTCACCGTTTCTTGATTTCTTTCATCCACATGAACTGAGCTTGCATTCGTTGCCATATGAATGATTTTCTATATAGGGTCATTTCCTCTGAAATCATTACCCAGCATTGACCAACATTAAACATCATTTAAACATGTTTTTTCTGCTCGCTCGCTGAGAAAATTTCAGTGCAGTTGGCTTCAATTTATCTGTGACCTGATCTGTGACAGACACCAGCAGAGAAAGCAGGCTCTGAACTGTAAAATTATCAAATGTTAATTTGATCACAAGTTGACACACATACTTTCGAAAATTTTACTGGGTCACCCTATTTCACAATTTAACATTTGTACTTTCTAAAATGGAGAAACTTTATTGTTCTAGACTTATAAAATAAGTAAATCAAAAAAAATTCTCACCGGACTCTAGATTTTATAATAAGAGGAGTTGGATGCTCAAACTTTAACATGAGACAGGCTAGTTAGTTTGCATGAAACTGTATGAGTTTCATATAAACTGGGTTATTGGTAGTGACACAGAGTCAATGGTAAGAAACTTTTCGATCAACCCGTGTATGCTAAAAAGTTAGTATCTCTGATGTTTCGAAGTGAAGTGTAACAATGTGGATAGTTTTTTTTTACTAGCTTTTATTTATTACCTACAACAATTACAGAAGTGAATTAAAATGCACCCACATCGAAATGTACATGTAAATTTTCTCTATTTTAATCATGTGATTTCTTCATTTAGACAATGTTTTATCTTATCACACAGAAACTATCAATCAACTATTATGCTAATAGCAGTACTAAAATATATGAAAACATTTATACATTTTACCAATTGACTCCCTCCAAATATGATTGAACAAATTCCATATCTGCATACAAAAATAATATCATCTCAAACGTGGGCTTAACTGTTCCCTTACATAATTATAAGTAACTATTTAGCCACACAAGAACAAACGGTTCCCTTATATAGTTAAAAGTAACTATTTAGCCTCACAAGAACAAACGGTTCCCTTATATAGTTAAAAGTAACTATTTAGCCTCACAAGAACAAACGGTTCCCTTATATAGTTAAAAGTAACTATTTAGCCTCACAAGAACAAACGGTTCCCTTATATAGTTAAAAGTAACTATTTAGCCTCACAAGAACAGGATTGAGTTAAGATCTTCAATTGTACAACAGACAAGGTATAAATGTGTACAGTTCTTGTGTTCTTCAGACAACTTCTCCAGTTACAAAGAGACATTCTTGGGTCCTACAAACACTTTTTTGTGGTGTACATTCCTGGGTTGAACAAAACTTTACAAGGTCTAGAACATTTTTCTTCAGTAGTCCACATAGATTGCATATTCAAGTTGAGTTGGGCATAAAGAAAAATTCATCTAACAAGATAGACATAAATGAAATTGCAAACCAACTAGCCACCATAAAGTTGGCCAACTGTAGAACTTGGTACAAACATGTACCTTCTATAATGAGTATGAATTTGAAGAAAATCCAGAAATTTTCCTGAAATGGCGATGTCAAGATTTGTCCAAAACTTCTTAAATGCCTGCAAGAAAATAAGAAGGCCACTAAAAAGTTTATCTGCCCTAGAACTTTGTACCCTTTCGCTGTAATCTGGGAAAACAAGCAGGTTACAACCCATAATATGTTCATCCAATGAGATTGCCCATGTAGAATTAGATTCCATAATAAGTTCATCCAATCCCCGGGATCCAATCAGGTCTTTTGTTTGAGTAGAACACATTATATATTTATCCAATGAGATCGCCCACGCAGAGTTACATTCCTTAATATGTTCATCCAACTAGGTTACACCTGTAGAACTGTATCCCATTAGGAGTCCATCCAATCAGGTCACCAATATAGAATTCCATCCCATAATATGTTCAACCAATCAGGTTGCATGTGTAGAATTCCATCCCATAATATGTTCAACCAATCAGGTTGCATGTTAGGCGGGCGGAATTGGAGGTCCAAAAAAAAGTTTAATGTACAGTTGCAACATATTCTCGTATTTGGTACCGTTGGAAAGCTTGTGGTGCCTAGATTTGAGATCCACTTGTTAGCAATTACGAAATGTGGGCCGAATGTGTCTAAAACGCCCGTTTCCATGGTAACCACAAAAAGATGGTGTCAATAAGCAGAAAATTGTTTTTATGCATAACTTTCCTGAAATTGCTCCGATTTTGATGATATTGGTATCAAATTAAAGAGAATGGAAACTTCCATTTTTGAAAATAACATTTATGCAAATTAGCTCATTTGCATATTGATTGTGACGTCATCACTGCATTATTTTGCGTATTTTTGATAAGCGAGTATATTTATTTCAGTACAGAAATTTACAGTTGCAACATATTCATGAATTTGGTACCGTTGGAAAGCTTGTGGTGCCTAGATTTGAGATCCACTTGTTAGCAATTACGAAATGTGGGCCGAATGTGTCTAAAATGCCTGTTTCCATGGTAACCACAAAAATATGGTGTTAATAAGCAGAAAATCGTTTTATGCATAACTTTACTGAAATTGCTCCGATTTTGATGATATTGGTATCAAATTAAAGAGAATGGAAACTTCCATTTTTGAAAATAACATTTATGCAAATTAGCTCATTTGCATATTGATTGTGACGTCATAACTGCATTATTTTGCATATTTTTAGATAAATGAGTATATTTATTTCAGTACGGTAATTTGAAGTAACAACATATGAATGAATTTGGTACAGTCAGAAAGCTCATGATTCCTAGTTTTTAGATCTGCTTAATAGCAATTCTGAAAAGTGGACCGAATGCGTCTAAAATGCCAGTTTCCATAGTAACCACAAAATATGGTGTTTATAAGCAGAAAATGTTTTCTCATGCATAACTTTACTAATATTGCTCCGATATTGATGAAATTGGTATTAAATTAAAGAGAATTAAAAGTTCTAATTTGGAACTTACTTTTATGCAAATTAGCTAATTTACATATTGATTGTGACGCCATCACTCCATTATTTTGTATATCTTTTCGAATACATGAGTATATTTGATTCAGAATTTCTGATTGCAAATCTAAGAAAACGAAACACTACATGTACGTTCATTTTGGCATCGCTAAAAGTGGGCATAACTTTGATGTTCTTTGCCCCAGTCAACTTACAAATCATAAAAAGGGACTCATTTGGGAAAACCCAAACATCTGTTTCGAGGTGGTGGGAGAGGTTTCCACTATTATGTCAAGGTCACTGTTCCACAGCTGGATGACTCTAACTGCCGTTAGCTTCATTCAAGATGGTTGCCGAAATTCGTTCGTTTTCAATAAACCCCCGTTACAGCTAAACTAAGTTGAACCTGGATTCCAAATGTTTGCCATGCAAAGTAATAAAGCTACGACAGTTAATAACCACAAATAAATGCTCAAACAACCGCGATATTGGAGAATTTTAAAGAAATGGCTTCACTTAGAATGACTCTAACTGAGTTAGAATGACTCTAACTGAAGTTGTTGATGACGTAATGATGATGTAGATCATCAACTTCAGTTAGAGTCATTCTAAGTGAAGCCGTTTTCTCTAAAATTCTCTAATATTGCAGGTATCTGGGTATTCATTTGTGGATGAATACAATCGTAGTTTTGACTTTTGGAATCAAGAGGTTTATCGAAAAAACGAAAGAATCTCGGCAACCATCTTGAATGAAGCTAACTGCAGTTAGAGTCATTCAGTGAAAGTACAGGGCGTCAAATAAGTCTGTTCTCCCCCCTTAACGTTTTTAATTTAGTAATAACACAGGGTTTTTATATATACCATCTTGAAGGGAATTTAATTTGCTGATCACACACCAAATTTAAGAGAGATTGGTTAAATTCCAAATTTTTAAGAGCATTTTTAATAATGTCTACATTTCACATTTTTAATAGTTCGTATGTTTCCCTCAAGCAGCTTGCACAGCCCCAATTCTACGCGGATATGATTCCAAAATGTTCACAAACAAGGGCATTGTACTTTCAAGGCTTTCCAAGAGCTTTCTTGATACATTTGAGCAATGTCATGGCTATGAAGTTTCTCCTCTGGTTGATCTTCGATTAATTTTTCGACCCTGACCTTTATAATCGCAGTATCAACTTTTCACCGTTTATTCATTATCCTGGTAATTTTACTCTTTTTGACGTAATCAATGGTCAACTACATCCTTTCAAGAAACATTATAGCAATTTTATTAGGAAGAGTTCATTATTGAGTTTTTAAGGGTGATCAGCATTTTCCATAAGCTTTAGAGTGATATATGGGAAAGTATGATAATTTTAAAAATAAAAAAGTTAAGGGGGGAGAACAGACTTATTTGACGCCCTGTATAGTATATTGTAATTTTCTATAAGCACTGACTTCTGTGAATCAATTATTTTCTATTTCAAGGCATTATTCGAGTTTGCTTTTCTTGCTGGGTTCTTAGGTTTTAGTCTCTTCCCTTTGGCGCTTGTGCTTAGATTTTCACTAAATATTGCACTGATTTTGATGAAATTGGTATCAATTAAAGAGAATTAGGGAGTTCATTAGGAGAAATTACATTTATTCATGTTAGATTATTTGAATATTGTTTGTGACACCATAAGCTCATAATTGCTACATAGTGAAATCGTTTTTGCAAAAAGTGTTCCACTTGCGAGGTGTTTCACTTCAGGGATTTATAGTACAGATTAAAAGTAAAAAACAAATGTCAAGACTTTTATACGTTTATTTGTCAGTCCCATTGATACTTCATACGAGGTAGCTAGACAGAATTCAAATTTCATTTGCCTAGCTCTGCTTTCTTGATCAGCCCCTTGGATCTCCAAACATTAATTTCTGTTTCTTTCGAAATACTGGCAAAGATGGCTGTTTAAATATGGGTTGACACAATGTTTACCATCAAAATAATATCAAACTTTATTATTAGGTGAAATTTAGTGTATGGAACACATGGCAGAAAATTTGGAGCAGGACATTGACAAAATGTATCTATGTGTGCAATTAATTTATGCATATCTGGAAAATAATAGGTTGTTCATTAAATCAACTTCAAAATGACGTTTAATTTATGAAAATGAATAGGCTAATCCTGTGACCACAGCCGATAGTTGCACAAGTGAACACAAGCTAAGATTGCAATTTTAAAGTTACCTTTGTCATTTCAAATCTATTAAGTATAGTGTAAATTGGGATATTTTGTTTGTTTTCTGAAAACGACAGTGACATTGTCTATTGGTATGTTTATATCTTAATCAAATATAAAGATTTGAATGGCCTAAGTGCTTTAACCCTCGTGTGTACATTGGGGGTCGGATTTTCCCCGGTACTTCTCTGCCAAGAAAAAACATTTTTATTGCCGTAGTACCTATAGCTATAGATAAGATATCATTTTTGGTGCAAAATTCGAGGTGATTGGGGGTAATTTGGCTGAGTTAGGATGGTGGGAACTTTTTCAGTTATTGCTTGAAAATCACACCATCTCTATGGTTTCATAGAATAAAAATATAAGCTGGCTCTTTTTTACTTTCTTTTGGATAAAGACCATATAGTATACTAAATACCTTTACAAATAAGGCATATTACAAGGTAATCTGACTTTTATTGACTGAGATATGAAGTTTTCAATATTATATTGTGTGGGTTAGGAGGATGTAGAAGAGAGATGTTGGGAGCCCCCCCCCCTTCGAAAATTTTGATATGATCATGTTACATAGCATGTATTATATTGCACAGTATATAGCATGGTAGCATAGCATGTACCAAGGTAGCATATCATGTAGCATAGTAGCATAACATATAGTAGCATAACATGTTACATAGCATGAAGCATGGTAGCATAACATGTAGCATAGCTGGTAGCATAGGAGCTTAACATGTAGCATAGCATGTAGCATAGTAGCATAACGTGTTGCATAGCATGTAGCATTGTAGCATTACTTATTGCATAACATGTAGCATGGTAGCATTACTTGTTGCATAAAATGTAGCATGGTAGCATAACATGCAGCATAACTAGTAGCATAGTAGCACAACATGTAGCATAGAATGTAGCATCGAAGCATAACTTGTAGTATGCTAATACCATAGCAGCACAACATGCAGCATAGCGTGTAGCATTGTAGCATAACATGTAGCATAGTAGCATATGTTATAGCATAGTTAGTAGCATGGTAGCATAACATGCAGCATAGCATGTAGAATAGTAGCAAAACATTTAGCATAGCATGTGGCATAACAAGTAGCATAGCATGTAGCATAACATGTAGCATAGTAACATAGCATGTTGAATGGTAGCATAACGTGTAGCATAGCGTGTAGTATACACACTACCCTACCACGTGACCACGTTTAAAATGGAAACAGGGTACAGCTAAGTTGCAAATGGAGGACGTGGGTTTAATTCCATATTTCTGAACGTAAAATGCATTTTACATTTATTTCTAGTATTCTACCAGACATAGAATTAATTCATCAAGCAGTTTGTAGAATATTGTTGGCAAAAAACCACTATAGGCAAAGATAGATAATAGTGGGCGCAGTGAAGCAAAACTCAATGCAATACACGATACATTTCAGTAAATCTATCAACGTACAGGGAGCATGTAAGTTTCCTTCGAAAATGTTACATTCATATGTAACAAAAAAACAGTTAACTATTATTTAAACTGCGTGTCATCGTGTTATATGTGGATACGTTTTCCAGTATGTTATTCAACTGTATTTTTGTGAATTAATTGTTTTTCTAAAATCTTAAGATGCAAAAAACGTCGTCCCAGAAATGTATCTTTACTTTGCCGTAAGGCATAACATATTGTGAAACATTTTTCTTCTTGTCACAAAGAGGATAATGTTTGTTTCGAGGTGTCTTGTGATGAGCGTTTCATGATTAAATGCAAAATTACTGGAGCAGATACCATCCAAAAACATCTGACATTCAACATGTCAAGACTACATCGATCTGGTATTAGTTTTTTTTACAATAATAGAGAAATACGATGTCATATCAGCGCTACAGCAAATCGTGAAGAACAAAATGCTCTCAAGTCGTGGCATGGTGGTATTTTGAACAAAATATTTTAAATGATCGTTTTTGAGGACGGTAGTGAATTAGACCATTCAAGGGGTTATATCAGTATATAAAAAGATTCTTTACATGTAGTTCAGGCAATTTTAATTATTCTGAATAGCGGATAGTCAGTAATCCTGATAGCGGATAGTCATTTATCATTAACGTGTTCATATTTAATTTCGTTATTTCATTTCAATTTGATACCCTAGTAACACGTATAATCTAGCGTTCTTTAATGACTAAAATGCATACTACTATACGACCTGAAAGCCCGTGTCTAAATCTACAAAATAATGTTTACTTTATTTGGATTAAATAACAATTGATGACACCTCAAAGCATCAACAGGCGGCCTTTTTAGCATTACTTTCACTGTTTGCAACGTAAATGTACATGAGATCGGGACATAGTATGTCTGTATAATCAGCTTACTTTCTCGCTCCCTGTACTATTGAGCAATTTACATTCCTTGTACCCTGTATTGATCAACTTTTGCATCTGTGTACCGTGTACTATGACATATCAAATATTTTAAAATTTAAAACGATATTATTTACATTCTTTCCTCAACTATTGTATACCTTGGAACATGGACTTCACTATTGCACCATTGAAGTTCAGCGAATAGCAATATTGACTCACTCCGAGCACCAAATGTATTAACCTTTTGACTAAGCAGTCGAAATACTCAAAAGCGACGTGGTTGAAAGCCCAAAAATTCGCGCATGCGCTATCGAGGTAGGGTAGTGTGTATAGTAGCCTAATATGTAGCATAGCATGTATCATAGTAGCATAACATATGTAGCAAAGCATGTATCATAGTAGCAAAACATTTAGCATAGCATGTGGCATGGTAGCATTACTTGTAGCATTGTATGTAGCATAGTAGCATAACATGTAGCCGATACCATTACTTGTAGCATAGCATGTAGCATGGTAGCATAACATGTTACATAGCAAGTAGCATTGTACCATAACATGTAGCGTAGCATGTAGCATAGTAGAATAACATATAGCATAGCATGTAGCATAGCTAGCATAACTTATAGCATAGCATGTAGCATGGTGGCATAACAGGTAGCATAGCTAGTAGCATTACTTGTAGCATAGCATGTAGCATGGTAGCTTAACATGCAAGTGAACAATAGTAAACATGCTAGTGAACATTAGTGAACACGCTAGTGTGCAATAGTGAACATGCTAGTGAACATAGTGAACATGCTAGTGAACAATGGTGAAGATAAGTGAACATGCTTGTGAACATAAGTGAACATGCTTGTGAACATAAGTGAACATGCTAGTGAACATATGTGAACATGCTAGTGGACATAATTTAACATGCTAGTGAACAATAGTAAACACCTAGTTAACAATAGTGAACATGCTAATAAACAACAGTGAACGTACTACTCAACAATAGGTGGCATGCTAATGAACAATAGTATACATTACATAATCTTAAACAATAGTGAACAAGCTTCCCAAAATATTAAGAACTTAGGATAAAATATTTGCAAGGGACTTAACTTTTTTGCGAGGTCCTGGGTCGACAAGTATTTACAAATGGTTATTATTTACACTATGACCCTTTGTTTGATATACTATATGTCTTTATTTCTAAATATTCAATTTCAAACCCAATTTGATTTGTGAGGGCTAACATTTTATGTTAGGGTCGAGGATTGACAAGTAATAATAAATATCTAATCTATGGACGATGCGCTTTCGTTTGATATACAACACGACTATATTTATTTATCTTCAATTTTTAACCTATTCCAAACCCCGACCCACAGGCTGTCCATAGACTCGATATGGAAATAAGCTCATCTGGGTACCTTTCCTACGTCTTCTATTCACAATTCCCATTCATTTGAAATGCTACACAGCCATACTCTCGGCAACTTAACTTTTCAAGATTTTTCAAATGTGCCCCTTTCCCGGGCGCTGTCGGGTGACATTACCATCGTCATACATATTACTCGTGTTTGAATGGGTCGGGGGATTCCGGAAGTCGTCAACACAGTCAGAATGAGACAATAATGACCTCAGAATACAGATAGACAACCGATAAACGTGTAGACGCGAACACCTTTTCACAATGTATGGGGAGGGGGGCACGATCGAGGGTGTTCCATAGATGGCACACTCTCAGCCATCTCGTAACATTAGTACACCTTCGGTACAGTCAAACCTACATTTAGGCACTGGTTACCTCTCGGTATTTTCCGTAATTCTACAAGAAAAGCCCTATACTACTCTAGCCTACTTTGTACATTTCTTTCCAAACCGCCATTCTGATTTCTCGCTAGAAAATGTCAACTTAAGGATAACAACAAGTTCTGGTTGATACAAAAGGAGCTGATAACTTACAGACTTTTGAAAATTGACTTATAATACTGTGACCCAAAAGCAGAACCCTCCAAAAATATCCTTTATTATAACATATGTAATCAGCTCAATTTTTATTTCAAAATACCCTCATGAACGTTTATTACGAGGGAAAGAATCCATTCAAATTGACCTTGTCCAAGTGTGCCATTAAGTGAAACTCCTATATGTTATATACATAAGAGTATTTGTTACTTATTACAGATCTCTACAATACTTGTAATGCCTTGAAATAGAAATACCTTGATTCACTGAAGTCAGTGCCTATCGAAAATTACAATATACTATACCTTCACAGTTCCACAGTTGGATGACTCTAACTGCAGTTAGCTTCATTCAAGATGGTTGCCAAGATTCATTTGTTTTCGATAAATCCCCGATTTTAGCTATACTACATTGAATCTTGATTCCCTATGCAAATTAATAAAATACGATTGTATTCATCCACAAATGAATGCCCAAACACCTGCGATATTAGAGAATTTTAGAGAAACCAGCTTCACTTAGAATGACTCTAACCATGGGCTTTCAATTTCGGCAACCGGCTGTAGAACAGTGACCTTGACATAATAGTGGGGTTATTCCAAATGAGTCCCTATTTGTCATTCGTAAGTTGACTGGGGCAAAGAACTGGGGCAAAGTTATGTCCATTTTTAGCGATGCCAAAATGAACATACACGTAGTATTTCGTTTTCTTGGATTTGCAATCAGATTGATTGAAGCACTTTCGAAAAATATAAACTAACTTTTTATTACACGTCGCCTTAAGAAAAGAACATACTTACGCAATCAATGAAGAAACTCTTAGATTGAGACATTTGAAATAGATAACAATTGTCTTAAAGATGAGTGATATTTGCGATTGATTTGCGGCAGGGAACATCTTTCAAATTTGCGATTGTGTTGCGCATACAGGCTTAGAGGATGATACAAATCCTGATTGTGATTCTCAAAAATTGCGTTGCGTTGTGTTGCGCTTGCGAATCTGCATTGCGACGAGCGGGTGAGGAGGCATTATAAGTTTTCTAACGGTACAAAATTAATTCATATATCATAACTATACAGTACCATACTGAATCAATATACTCATTTATTTGAATATATGCAAAATAATGGAGTGATGACGTCACAATCAATATGCAAATAAGCTAATTTGCAAAAAAGTTAGTTCCAAAACTAGAACTTTTAATTCTCTTTAATTTAATACTAATTTCATCAAAATCGGAGCAATTTTAGTAAAGTTATGCATGATAAAACATTTTCTGCTTATGAACACCATATTTTTTTGTGGTTACTATGGAAATGGGCATTTTAGACACATTCGGTCCAATTTTCATAATTGCTAACAAGTGGATCTCACATCTAAGCATCACAAGCTTTCCAACGGTACCAAATTCATGAATATGTTGCAACTGTACATTACTGTACTGAAATAAATATACTTGTTTATCAAAAAATATGTAAAATAATGCATTGATGACGTCACAATCAATATGCAAATGAGCTAATTTGCATATATGCTATTTTCAAAAATGGGACTTTTAATTCTCTTTAATTTGATACCAATTTTATTAAAATCAGAGCAGTATTAGTAAAGTTATGCATAAAACAATTTTCTGCTTATTAACACCATATTTTTGTGGTTACCATGGAAACAGGCGTTTTAGACACATCCGGCCCACATTTCGTAATTGCTAACAAGTGGATCTCAAATCTAGGCACCACAAGCTTTCCAATGGTACCAAATTCATGAATATGTTGCAACTGTACATTACTGTACTGAAATAAATATACTCGTTTATCAAAAAATACGTAAAATAATGCAGTGATGACGTCACAATCAATATGCAAATGAGCTAATTTGCATAAATGTTATTTTCAAAAATGGGACTTTTAATTCTCTTTAATTTGATACCAATTTCATTAAAATCAGAGCAATATTAGTAAAGTTATGCATAAAAACAATTTTCTGCTTATTAACACCATATTTTTGTGGTTACCATGGAAACGGGCGTTTTAGACACATTCGGCCCACATTTCATAATTGCTAACAAGTGGATCTCAAATCTAGGCACCACAAGCTTTCCAACGGTACCAAATTCGAGAATATGTTGCAACTGTACATTAAAAAGTACTTTCCTGGCACTTTTGAGCCATCATTCCGACTACCTATGTGTAGAATTCCATCCCATTATATGTTTATCCAATAAGGTTGCATGTGTAGAATTACATCCCATAATATGTTCAGGTGGCAACCAATCAGGTGGCAGGTGTAGCATTAGTTCTTGGAGGTAGGGCATAAGGAGCCCCTAGAAATTGGTCTGCTATCCTCCCAGCCTCTCTATGGCCACTCAGTAAAGCCCCATGCACTGTAGCTGGGTATTGTCTTATTGTGTGCTCACCAGCAAAAAATAATCGTGGCATATTAATAGCTGTTTGAGGTTGCCCTGGTAATGCTGGATTTGCAGAGATTGGCGTTGCCATGATATCATAATCGTTACCTGTAAATACATGTAGTAATTCTGAGTTTAGTTAAGAAATTAGAATTCAACCTGGGATTGAAATTACTTCTTTTACAAAATATTTTTATTGAATGTATTAAAATATAATGTATAAAAATGTATGTAAAAATATGTCTCAAAATAACATTGATTACCACCTTTATGTAGCCAGTTAATAGAAATTGAAATGTTAAGTAAAAATGAGGACCCCATGTAAGCATCACAAACCTGCAGATCCTGCTGCTACAAATGAGTAAGACCCCCTAGACCAAGGATCAGCTCGCCATCTGGTGACAACAGTTTCTTTGGGCTGGAAAATTAAATAGACACAAAATCTTTTTGGATGAATTATACATGTCATGGATATTACAGTAAAATGGAATGAACAAGTAAGAATTTGAACGACAAGACTAATGCCCACCCAACCAGATGTCCAGACACCCATCTGTACAAAATTATGACAATATGAATATAGCACGTTAAAAAAGTGTGATAAAAATGAAAATTTGCTCACCTGTGGGACTGCGTTATTCCCAAAAATTCCCTTCAACACTGCGATAGATCTACCAACGATGACATCATCACTGACGTTTTCCATAATGGCCGCTGCCTCTCCTGCGACAAGGGCAAGAAGAACGGGAGCCTTGTAAAGATTCCAGAATAAAAACAGCTCCCCTCTACTGGCTGTTGTACTTCCGACATGCCCAAATAAATTAGCATTTGGATCCCAGAATATTCTATCAAAGCACAGGACAACCTGAAATAAAGTCAATCACATTCATTGAGAAAATAAATAAGACATTAACAAGCAAAGTGTTACCACCTGCCATTTGCTACAGATTCTGAAAGCCAGATCTCGACTACCGCCCACTGAATGCCTAATGCCAAACACTATCCACAAAAAGTTGGGAGAGTATTGAACAAATATTTCACTCTATTGAGGTGAATACTTGTACATCTTTCACAAGTGATATTCCACGAAGCCCGAAGGGCAAGTGGAATATCACCTTGTGTAAGTGCTACAGGTATTCACCGAAAATAGAGTGAAATATTTGTTTTATTATATCACTGTCTAGCTAAACATCCCTAATATTATTAAGTCATAGGTTAACATTGAAATACATTGAATCTAATCGGTTCGTCTGCCATTTTGACTTACACTGAACTAAATTATTTACACTGAATGAAAACAAATTCTTTGAAAATTCCCGGGATTGGGGATATCGCTAGATATCTCACGGTTGTCTTATCTGATTAGCATTGCCATTGAATATCGCCAGATATCCCACGACATGTGACCCGGTTTTGACCAATCATACTGTCGCTAGCTAGATAGTGATATAATAAAACAATATGTCAACACTTGTGGTGACATAATAAAAAATTTAAAATTCAATGCTAGATTGTTGCATTTATTGCTAAAGAGTGATCTAAATTTTAATGTAATGATCTGCTGAAAATCTCAATAATACCTGTAAACAAAGGATTTAGCCAGCTCTATATTCATGAAAAAATTAAGTTAAGAATTAAAAAATCACCTTATTTAAATTTCCAAATCCCATTCTCTGCAAGGCTGAGGTTTTCCATTCAGGTAAAGGAGGATAAAACTGTACGCTGTTGACGCTGTTTGGACGCAGAGTCTCTTTTAACACACCCAGAGGGAGGGTGCACAGAACAGCATCAGCCTTATATGTGATTGCGTTGGCATTGCTTTTAGAATTTGTGGTGACTATCTCAACACCTGAAAGTAGAGGAAAATAATGTAGCCAAAAATAGGAGACAATGATGGATGTTTCAACAGAAAATATTTCCAAATCTGTAGCAAAATATCAGATGGTGGAAATCGTACATATTATTACTTTAACAAGGCATCCCTTAACAAATAGACCAGTCCTAAATCAAAAAACTTCAAAAAAAATTTCAACTGAATCCATGGAGTGGTTTGTTTGAAAATACAGTCAAGAAAAGTATGGTGCTGTCAACTGCCTGCCATTCTGATTGCTGACAACAATATACAATGTTTTTTAAGTACATTAAAACAACAAGATTTATATTTGTTAACTAGTAATTTCCCATCCTCCTAAGCAGATATCCAGAATCCGTACCTCCTTCTTCCCCCTGCTATAACCAATTTGGAAGCGCCCAATTAAACTGAATCACGTGATCTAATTATGCGCAATGACTTATACATGATTTCTGTCGCAAATCAAATCAATCCAATTAAATTGCGAGTTCTTAATCAGGGAAAGGCTAACTGCTTATCGCAGGGGGTAAAAAGAAAGAATATATTTTGGATTTTGAAGCCCTGTGATCAGTGGATGGTAATTTCCATTCTTTCAATATTTGCATTGAAAATGTTCTTAATTCTTAATTCTGAATTGAGGTTCATATCTAAACCAACTAGTCTATACCTGTAGAAGTGTGTCTGACTTGTCTAACTGCTGTATTCAGTTTAATATCCAGTCCATCAGACAGAGCCACTGGTACACAGGAGTAGCCATTTCTTACTGCAGAAAAAAGCATTTCTTTACCACATGTACAGATATCTAAATGCACTAATTTGCATACATAAAATAGAAGCATGTCAAAATAATATCATGCTCAGTGAAATGTCATCATATCAATTATATGAAAATCATGACTTTGCTACAAAAGAATGAAGATCAATATAAGCATTTTCTGAACACATATCCATTTTTAAAGAAAATGTTTAAAATTCATAAAAATCAAAAAGCGAACCTGTTAAATGACTGCCAGTGAATTCGAAATCATCATCTTGGTCCCAGTGCTTGAGTGAGAGGGCAGCTAACGGGGTAGCATTAGCAAACTCCAGGTTGGCAAAGTGCCAGTCCAGAATCTGGCGATCTCTAGAGGACAGGTAAACATCACTAGAAATACATGTAAAACAAAACAATATAATCAAGCTAAATGTTGAAAAGGATGGGAACCAGCCAATCCAATAAATTGAGATTGATTAATTTGATAACATCCTGTATACAGCACTGCAATGAAATAGCAATATGTTGACAGAAACCATTATGACATATAATACCAAGATGATATATAGCACTAGGTTGACATATGGTGCCAAGATGATATATAGCACTAGGTTGACATATGGTGCCAAGATGATATATAGCACTAGGTTGACATATGGTGCCAAGATGATATATAGCACTAGGTTGACATATGGTGCCAAGATGATATATAGCACTAGGTTGACATATGGTGCCAAGATGATATATAGCACTAGGTTGACATATGGTGCCAAGATGATATATAGCACTAGGTTGACATATGGTGCCAAGATGATATATAGCTCTATGTTGACATATGGTGCCAAGATGATATATAGCTCTATGTTGACATATGGTGCCAAGATGATATATAGCACTATGTTGACATATGGTGCCAAGATGATATATAGCACTATGATGTCATATAGCACTATGCTGATGTAATACCCAGTGAAGCATCTGTATGAAAGTCAATAGGAAACTTAGCAGGCTATATCCACCGATATAGCCCTGTTACCTTGTTTTGATATTAGATTTATTTAATAACCATGACAAATCAGGACAACATGTCTGATTTTGCTTAAATTGTATTGATACAAAGTAGCTGTGGGGATAAAGGTATGTTAAATACATCAGTTATGCCACTATGACGTGAAATATGACTTCATTCTTGCCCTAATATAAAGCCTCCCAAGGTCAGACTATATTGGGAGAACTCAGGCATATTTCAGGTCATAGTGACATAATCTCTAAATATAGCACTATGGGAGAACTCAGGCATATTTCAGGTCAGAGTGACATAATCTCTAAATATAGCACTATGGTGATATTAAGCATTGTATGCATAACCACCATGTTGACATATAGCACTTCAATGGTACCTGTTACACTGCTGGGTTGAGTCTAACGAAGCATTTTTGTAACGAAGGTTAGCTAAAAAATTGTGTCCACACTGGCTTTATCCAACCCTAACGAAGCAATTATTTGGTGTTACACTACACTTAAAATGCTTCGTTGCGCGTGCGCATTACTCATCTGCCCCACCCACTTATTATGATTAATATTTTTATTCTTTTGATATAAACCATTGATCAAACTCAAAAATCTAATTTTTAATCTTTATTTTAACAATTCAGCACAGAAAAAGACCAGAAAATAAAACCAGAAAATAAAACCAGATGAATGTGATCATTCCGTACACATGTCCATACATTTTTCCCATCATTTCGATTTCTATATATTTCATCTATCAATACGATTACAAGTACTGTTTTCATTTTCTATTGGAAAACATATGGAATAAAAATAGGCCTATGTTAATTACTAGGAGGAATTGGATTTGGGGTTTATACAGAGGACTAGTATGTAATATCGTATAAAAACGTTCAATTTCCAAATGGACTTCTCAGTATATTTCAAATAGTGTACAGCCATTACTAAAATAGTCCGGTGTTCGGCTAGTGGTTTAACTACTATTTCATGACCAATTCATTTTAATATGAATATTACCCGTCTCGCCAATATTCCATGCATATTTGAGTGAGTTTGACATAAATCAGTATGTTAATCCATCAGCAGTCCGTTAAATTCGAAAATTAGTACCGTGGGTACTGGGCTCACATGGTGTTGCTCAAAAGTGAAGTGAATGATGGCTAAAATAACAGAAAATAAAAAAAACGGATATAATTTTTTGCTGATTTTTTGTAACAAAATTATTTCAAGTCACTTGCTACTATTTTGGACTGACTGAGAGACAGATGGACAAATCGATGTTAAGTAAAATGGCTGAAAAGAAACGGATATAATTTTTTGCCAATTATTAGTAACAAAATTATTTCACGAGAAATTTCGCGAGACAAAAATGGCGACCATTTTGAAAATAGGCAAGCTTTTGAACCAAGAGTCATAGGGGAGTTTTTTGTATTGATGTTGAACAAAAATAACTTGAAACTGGAATCCTATCGACAGAGGTTTTAAGCAAATGGTCCAAAAAAGGATTTCGCGAGACAGATGGACAAATCAATGTTAACTAAAATGGCTGAAAATAACAAAAATGGATATAATATTTTGCCGATTTTTTATAACAAAATTATTTCATACAACTACTCTTTACAGTGATATGGCTTTCTACAATGCAGGACGGCTGAAATTATTTGTAAAGCTAGGAAATGGGCCAAAAGTGAATTTTGCGAGACAAGAATGGCGGCCATCTTGAAAATAGGCGAGCTTTTGAACCAAGAGTCACAGGAGAGTTTTTTGTATTTATGTTGAACAAAATTAACTTAAAACGGGAATCCTATTGACAGAGGGTTTAAGGCAAATGGTCCAAAAGTGGATTTTGCGAGACAGATGGACAAATCAATGTTAACTAAAATGGCTGAAAATAAAAAAATGGATATAATTTTTTGCTGATTTTTCGTAACAAAATTATTTCATACATCTACTCTTTACATTGACATGGATTTTTACAATGTAGGACACTTGAAATTATTTGTAAAGCTAGGAAATAGGTCAAAAGTGAATTTCGCGAGACAAAAAAGGCGGCCATTTTGAAAATAGGCGAGCTTTTGAGCCAGGAGTCATAGGGGAGTTTTCTGTATTGATGTTGAACAGAAATAACTTAAAACAGGAATCCTATCGACAGAGGTTTTAAAACGTGCCACTGTTGTTGACGGAAAAGTGGATTTCACAAGTCAGATGGACAAATCAATGTTAACTAAAATGGCTGAAAATAAAAAAATAGATATAATTTTTCGCTGATTTTTTGTAACAAAATTATTTCATATATCTACTCTTTACATTGACACAGATTTTTACAATGTAGGACACCTGAAATTATTTGTAAAGCTAGGAAATGGGTCAAAAGTGAATTTCGCGAGACAAAAATGGCGGCCATTTTGAAAGTAGGCGAGCTTTTGAACCAGGAGTCATAGGGGAGTTTTCTGTATTGATGTTGAACAGAAATAATTTAAAACAGGAATCCTATCGACAGAGGTTTTAAAACGTGCCAGTCAAAAGTGAATTTCGCGAGACAAAAATGGCGGCCATTTTGAAAATAGGCGAGCTTTTGAACCAGGAGTCATGGGGGAGTTTTCTGTATTGATGTTGAACAGAAATAACTTAAAACAGGAATCCTATCGACAGAGGTTTTAAAACGTGCCACTATTGTTGACGGACGGACAGACAGACGGACGGACGGACGGACAGACAGACGGACAAGTGAGCGATTGCAAAAGCTCACCATGTGAGCTAAAAATGGCGCAAATAGGAAGAAACTTGAATATCAGTTGTAAGCATCGCCTCTATGTGACAAATATCTGTCGACAAGAAACAATTTTGGCCACCGTTCCTTGTCCGCAGGTTTTACTGTATTTGTATACGGAAGTTTTGAAACGTAATTTATTCATTATATTTAAACATGAAGTTTAAATTCACTTACAATTTAAAATCGTCGAAGAATGAAATAATAGAAGGATTAGTACAAGTATTGCAATGGGTTGGTATTGCAATCAGTTGAATACGATTTCTGAAGAGAGACATTTTCGAATCAATCAAATCGGCTAAATTCCCTGATGTGATTCACCGGGAAGCAATTGTATCAGTATCATGGTATTAACACCTTTAGAATTACATTCAAAGTATACATATTCGAGACGCAAGAAAAAAATTAATATTAAACATGTATGCCACAACTTTCTATTTAGTAAGCATATACCAGGTCGTTCAATAAGTTCTCATAATTTTGCTCTCATTTTAAGAGTTTTTTATATTTTTCCATGAAAATTTCACAGACGATGCAGAATGTATCTGTGTAACAACTCTGCAAAGATTATGTATTAATTCTAATGGTTGTGGAAATGGCGGTTGCTATAGTAACGTCAAAAATCGGTAGGCGGGGCAACTTTATTTGATCGTAAAATCCATGGATGTAGTTAGATTTCATCTTGAAATGTCATATGTTTTATCTGAAAGATTTGCAACCATAGAAACAGGTTTTGACATCAGTGTGAAAGATGCAACTTTTCTGAGTATAGTTATTACTGTGACATCACATAAAAAGGTATGACATCACAGAAAAGGTTTCAATAGAGAGACCCAAGATGGCAGCTGACTGTGGTCTTGTGAAAAGTCAAGATGAAATTCAAATTCAAATCCGTAGTGTGATAAGATTTTGTGTGTTATCCAAGAAATCAAGAGGAGAAACAATAAAAGCAGTTCAAGATATTTATGGAAAGGAGTTAATGAGCACACCTACCATATACCAATGGTATCAAAGGTTTGGTTCAGAGGGAAGAAAATCTGTGATGGATGAAAAACGGACTGGCAGACCGGTAAAAGTCACCAACCCAAAGGCTGTTGAAAGAGTTAAGACAGTTCTAGATGATGATCGCCGCATCTCTGTACGGGAACTTAGTGAGAATGTGAACATTAGTATAGGTAGAACACACTTCATTCTGAAAGAGAAGCTTAAAATGAACCTCATGTGTGCTAAATGGGTGCCAAAGGAGTTAACTAGTGACCAGAGAGCCCGCAGAGTTGAGGTTTCCCAAGAATTTCTAAGACGATACCAAGATGAAGGGGATAGTTTTCTTCAACGAATTATCACATGCGACGAGGTGTACGTCAGCTATTATGAGCCCCTTGGGAAGAGAGCATCAAGTGGTTGGAGAACTAAGAACTCACCTACTCCCATTTCAACCCTGGCAAAACTGACCAAAAATGACGGCAAGGTGATGTTCATTGTGTTTTTGGATAGCTCTGGGGTGCTGCTTACGCATGCAATTCCTGATGGTCAGAGAATAAACAAGGACTATTATGCAATGGTAAGCTTATTCATTATTAATAAATTAATCAATATAAGAGTAAAAACATTAAATCAAATCAAATTTAAAATCAGATTTGAACTATAAAAATGGTTAAGTACAAATGTTAAAGGCATTAGTATCCTATCCTACTGACTATTTCAGGTTCTCAAGAGGCATCTCAAACGGGCCTTCTCAAAGAAACGCCCCCTCCTAGAGTTGGCGACAAGAATATTTCATCAGGATAATGCCCCGTGTCACCGGGCAGAACTTGTACTGAACACCATAGGAGAACTCGGAATGGAAGTTCTCCCACAGGCACCATATTCACCTGATGAAGCCCCATGCGACTTTGGCGTGTTTGGCCGAATGAAAGATGAGCTGAGAGGTTTTCGATTTGCATCGACAGAAGATTTGCAGAATGCAGTCCAAAATGCTCTCAGAGCTAGATTTCCTGATGGATTCCATAAAATCTTCCAGGATTGGGTAGAACGTCATCGAAAGTGTGTCGCATCCAATGGACATTATTTTGAGCATTTAAAGTAGGAATAGAAACATTTACCCCATACTATTTCATGGGATAAATGGGACTACATGACATTAAAACACTTGTTACTCTCCACAATGTTGAACTGAATTATATGCCACTATGACGTCAAATAATCTGCCCCGCCTACCCATTTTTCATGTTACTATAACAACCGCCATTTTCACGACCATTAGAATTAAAACTTAATTTTTGCAGGGTTGTTACACAGATACATTCTGCATCGTCTGTGAAATTTTCATGGAAAAATATAAAAAACTCTTAAAATGAGAGCAAAATTATGAGAACTTATTGAACGACCTGGTATTAGGTAATTTCAAAAGTTTACCCTTCCACACTTGAGACGGAGTTTTCCCGGAAAGAGGGACATTTAAATATTCTAGGTTTATTCCCTTACAGATCAGATAAACGTTTCAAAAATACCATATACATATGCGGTAAAACCTGCGTTTTTTAGATTTAATACGTACTTTTTGTCATATCAATGCGAGGAAAGGCAGGGAATCGAATGAAATGCCACGAAAGACGGTAAATCACTTTTGTACGTGGCGTTTAGGGCTTGAGTTAGCGTCAATCAGTGACGCAAATAGGTAATTATTTTAATCAAAACGTAGCACTATAATAATACGTACTTAAAAACATGTTCTTTCCTCGCGATTCCTCTCATTTAATACAAAATGATAAATGTGCTCTTTATAACGCGCATGCGCAAACCGCCAACTAAGCATTTTCTAACGAAGCTACCTGTTACACAGGCAAAAAAAGCTTCGTTGGGACCTAACCTTCGTTGAATTTTCTACTCAATTGCTTCGTTATCAACTAAGCTTTTCTAACGAAGGCGGAGGTGTTACACTGGCCCAAAATTGCTTCGTTACGAAGCTTTTTGTCAAATTGCTTCGTAACGAAGCATTTCAACTGGCCTGTGTAACAGGGGTCAATGACGTATATGCTATGATGATATATAGCACCATGCTGACATACAACACAATGTTAATATACAGCACTAAGTAGGACAAAAATCCATTCACCTTCAGCTATTAGGTTAAAAGTGATTCAACAAAGTTTGCCTTTTTGTTCTCTGATAAATAGAAGTTCAAGGAGGTATTATTTGTTTTGGTAAGAACTTTGTACAGTACCATGTTGAGAGCTATATATTGTACTATGCAACTGTCAAATACATTAGTTATTCACATCCAGCAGGCTGATCTATTCAGATGTCACATCAACGTTTCACTTACAGATTTATGTAAAGTTGTATACAGTAAATATTCATTATAGGTAACAGATATTTTTAAGGATATATAAAAAGACATGGGTCTGACAAGCATTATAGTCGAGACCGTTTCCACCAACATCACTCCAGTCTTAGTGTTCTCAGTTATATTTACACTGTTCTGGAGATATCAACAGACGAGTCCATATAAGTACCCACCTATGCTTCCATGGAAGTTACCATTCATAGGCCACTTGACATTCTTCAACGCTAAGAGCACGGGAGAACATGAATTCTGGGAAGCGTCCAAATCAATGGACAGTCCGATCATTACGGTACATCTGGGTCGACTGCCAATACTGATTCTCCATTCTTATGAGGATGTTAAGGAGTGTTTCAGTAATGAAGACTTCATGGGAAGGATCAAAGATGTTTTGAAAGATGTGTTTAATGGCTTGTTGAGGGATGGACCTCAGTGGAAAGAACAACGGAGATTTGCTCTCCACGCCTTACGTGATTTAGGACTTGGGAAGAACCGTATGGAACATCAAATTCAAGATGAATGCAGGCACCTTACTAAATATCTCGATGAATACCTTGGAAAACCAATGAACCCTACAATGATGACGAATACCGTTTCATCAAATATAATCTGTGCAATGGTGTTTGGTCATCGCTTTGATTACAGCGACCTGTCTTTTAAACGAATGATGTTTCTTATGAATGAAAATTTTACCAAAAACATGCGAAAAGCCATCTTGGGATCTTTTATACCTGGTACAAAGTTTATACCAGGGGACTTCTTCTGTTTTAAAAAACTAGCAGATAATATTGAAGAAATCAAAGGTACTATCCTTCGACCTGAATATGAAGAACATCTTAAGACATACGATCCAAATAATATTGGGGACTTTATACATGCCTTCATCCGTGAGCAGATTTCACATGAAAATAGCACAGAAGAACATTGGTTCAACAGTAAGTATTCATCGCAATACCAATTGATTTTACCAATTGAAAGTTGCATTATAATGTAAGTAAATATCCATTTACTTTATGAAAAAATAAACATAAAAAAAATAAACTAAAAAAAACTATTTTTGAAAACCTATTAATTCAAATGATATTTTGTTTTTTACTGATTCTTTTGAATTGACTGATGACTTTTATCAACTTTGGGGCCTGCTGTTTCCCTTGTTTACAACTTGCTTTTATAAACTTCCAACCAAGCATGTATGTATTTCCTATTTAATGGGCTTTATTGATTAACCTTTCATTGGGAATATACACTTGCTAAAAGTGTCACCCATTCATATAATGTATATCTGTGTCAGATATATTCTATCCAGTTATATACTTGACAGAAATCTACAGGCTGAATGGTAAAATATGTCTCTCCTTAAGTTTTGGTAAAAAGCTTTAGGTCAATACCAGAATGTTATGATACTTCTCTAGCCTTTTAAAAGAAATCACAAATTTTTTGGAACACCCTAAATACCCATATCCTTGTTTCTTTCATAATTTCTTCTTGAGGCCAGCAGCTGATGTGGAACATGGATGACCTTTTCAGTGCAGGAACAGAGACCACAGCAACTACATTAAGGTAGAATAAGTCATTCAAATGGACGATCTGTCACATTGTGGTGGAAACTCATTGATATGTCACTAAAATGGTTTGACCATACTCACTGTATCATAGTAATTTTGTATTGGCTTTGGTATGATGAAAATATACCATTTTTAGAATCTGTTTAATCAAATCATATCATAATGTACATGTATTTCAAAATACATGGCAATAAAACGCAATTTGTGTACTTTGCTTATTTTGTGTGATGGATAGATTTCCCAACTCACTTATAGCACATTTATTAAACCTGTACGAATAACTTATGAAGTGTTTGATTATGTCATTACTTATTGCCCAGCTATGTATTGCGAAAGTTTGATATTCTTACATATACACAACAATTCATAATAAAAATATCATACTTCTGGATATTTGGAGCTGCACAATAAATGATGTAATCAAATGCTTCAAAAGTTATACAGGAATAATAAACATACTATAAGTGAGTTGCGAAGTATCTCTCATATCTTTTTTCCCTTTTGGTTATTATGGATACTATATTCATGGCTTCGAACTTTCAGGTGGGCATTTCTATGTATGATCCACCACCCCAAAGTGCAGAAAAGAGTACGAGCAGAAATCCTGGAAGCTATAGGAGCTGAGAGACTTCCATCCATGCATGATAAGAAGCTGTTAAGCTATACAGAAGCAACAATTAATGAGATCCAGCGAATGTGTTTGATCACTCCTCTAGGGGGACCAATACATGTGACTGAACATACAACACAATTCAAGGTTAAACAACACAAAATTTATAATATGAAATCATAATGTTCTTAAAGGAATATTCCTGGCCAGACCATTTCTCTCCTAATATGGTAGCTATAACCATATATATACTTTCCATATTTAGCAAAACAGGGAAAAATGTTTTGATATGGTCAATATTGATCACTTGAAAATGTAGTGCTGAATTCCAGTAGGCTGCCATCTTTTAATATTTCACTCAGGAAGTGATGTCATCGACTCTCAACTTTGCATATAACATTATAAGGTCGCTATTAAGAATTACAAAACCAGCTGAATATTCTTTTTCAATTTTGTCTATGATTTAATGCTTCTAAAAAACTCTTCTTTTATTCTAAGCTGACAAGCTCTGAACATATTTTTTGCGCATAAAGTAAGGATCACTCGATCGTCTAGAAGTGATATTGTGCTATTTTCCTATACTGTTTTATGCAAGGTCATGAAAGTTGAGAGTCGATGACATCACTTCCTGAGTAAAATCTTAAAAGATGGCAGCTTACTGGAAATGAGCACTACATTTCTAAATTATCAATTGACTATATTAAAACATTTCCCCATGTTTTGCTAAATATGGAAAGTATATATGATTATAGCTATCACATCAGGATAGAGAGGTTTGGCCAGGAATGTTCCTTTAACTCCAAAACCAAGAACCCACAACCTTTTCCAAATTTGTTCCAACAATATGATTTCAAAATATGCTCCTCTATATATTATTACGTAACTGTAAATTCTACACGAAAGCTGAGCAAATGGATACAACAGAATATAGAGTTAAAATTAAAAACATATATGACATGAATTATAAGAACATTAAGAATTTGGGTAAAGATATCTGATGATAAGCTGATAGTCTAAATGTTTTGACATTTTTGAAGATGAATATTTCTGAATGAATGCCAATCAGGGTTTCGATAAAGCATAAGTCACCAAAATGTCTCTAGTTGTAGGGCTTTGATCAAGGGCTTTGAGCACCTCCAAAAGTATAGTGTGGAATTCATTTTCAGGCCACTTGTTTAGAGTAATACCACTTGCCTTTAATTGAAATAACTGAGTATTCAAAACTTCATTTTTAGACACTGCTAGAGTAATACCACTTGCCTTTAATTAAAATAACTGAGTATTCAAAAATTCATTTTTAGACACTGCTAGAGTAATACCACTTGCCTTTAATTGAAATAACTGAGTATTCAAAAATTGATTTTTAGACACTGCTAGAGTAATACCACTTGCCTTTAATTGAAATAACTGTGTTTTCAAAAATTCATTTTTAGACACCGCTAGAGTAATTCCACTTGCCTTTAATTGAAATAACTGAGTATTCAAAACTTCATTTTTAGACACTGCTAGAGTAATACCACTTGCCTTTAATTAAAATAACTGAGTATTCAAAAATTCATTTTTAGACACTGCTAGAGTAATACCACTTGCCTTTAATTGAAATAACTGTGTATTCAAAAATTCATTTTTAGACACTGCTAGAGTAATTCCACTTGCCTTTAATTAAAATAACTGAGTATTCAAAAATTCATTTTTAGACACTGCTAGAGTAATACCACTTGCCTTTAATTGAAATAACTGAGTATTCAAAAATTCATTTTAGACACTGCTGGACTTATAACACTTGCCTTAAATCAAAGCAACTGCAGTATTCTGAATAATATTCTATTTCTTTCAATTTTAGGGATATGTTCTTCCAGCTGGTACTGGGGCCATGGCCAATGTCTATGCAATACACCATGACCCTGAATACTGGGATGAACCTTTCAAGTTTAAACCAGAGAGATTCATAGGCCCTAATGGGAACTTCCAGAAAGATGATCATGTGATGCCTTTCTCAGTAGGTCAGTTGACCCGTTCGCTAAGTTTATGAGATGCATGAATTTTATTGATGTTACATCTTTATGCACTAAAATTAATTGGTATAAATAAATACTCATAAAACTCCAAGAAGGATTTCATTTAAGACCAGTAATGACTGGAAAAAGAATTGGTGATTGAAAAATTATTTGATCCACTAAGTAAGCGATTTATGTTTTGTGTTTTTCTTACAACAAACATGTATATCAAGTACACAAGCTATGAAACAGTCTTATTTGAGATTAGCACATGATTCACAAGTTTATTGTTGTTAGCCTTCAACCAAGACAATAGGTCAAGGTCAAATAACCATTTATCTGTTTTAAAACATGTTGTTTTTAAAATGAATTCTGAGTGGTATAGAATGCCTAGCTATGTTTGAATATATTTGTCCAACTGTGTATTCCAGGTAAACATTCCTGCCTTGGAGAATCATTAGCCAGGATGGAGCTATTCCTGATCTTTGTCTCCATACTACAGAAGTTCTCTATTCAACTCCCCGAGGGTTCACCTGTACCATCTATGGAGGGTAATAAAGGACTGTCAGTGGGACCACTGCCTTATGAAGTCTGCTTTATTAGGGACTGACATTGCTTTATTAGAGACTTAAGCCTGTTTCTTTAGTGAGTAAAGCGACAGAAAAGACAGAAGCATGTTTTTAGAGACATAAGGTTGTTTCATTAGAGACCAAACTGTGTTTCATTAGAGTGTTCAAGCTTCAATCATGTTTCAAAAGAGGCAGAAGCCTGTTTCATTGGAGAGAGAAGCCTGTTTCATGAAAGTATGAAACTTCTGTATTACAGTTTTGTAAATTAAGGCTTTTTCTTAGAGACTAAAGTATGATTAAACATAGACTGAAGCCTATTTTATTAGACACTAAAGTCTGTTTCATTGCAGGCCTCGTACTTAACTTTTTTATCAGGTAGTCGCCACGCTAATTAGTGAATTTTCCAGGTAGCTATTTGAGAGAAGCAGGAAGTGATTTTGATAAGAGTGATCTTTATTCTTATGACTTACCAGAGCAATAATAAGATATTAAACTGTATTAAATGTATACTTACCTGGATGTTACTACGATTTACTTCGATTTGCATACACATTTCATTGATAGTAAGGCTGAAGTGGATTATGATTGGTCTGCTTTTGCGCAATTGTAAAAGTTGTTAGGTGGTTCGAACAAGAAACAACAAAGATCAGCTGATCGACGAATCAATCAAAAATCCATTTTTTCACATGGAAAGTTCTATGGTCGGTCCTAGTGAAGTTAGCTTACTGGAGGAAATGACAAGTAGTGTTTTGGGTAAAACAGATAGCAAATCGCTACCTTCACAATGCTTATCTCGAGGTCTTCAGTAGTGGACAAGACTCTTGATGCTTAAATTGAAAGCCCATGGTTGCATGGGACAGAGATATATTTGGTAGTGCAGAGATATATTTGGTTGTACAGAGATATATTTGGTTGTACAGAGATATATTTGGTTATACAGAGATATATTTGGTTGTACAGATATATTTGGTTATACAGAGATATATTTGGCTGTACATCTGGTTGAAGATTCAGAAAACATGAGTGATCTAATCTTCCCAGTTTTTTTGTCAACAGGTTACAAAATCCTAATTCTATTTTTGTGAGGAAATAAATATTTGCTAACCTTGGGGGACTAGACTCCATCTCATGCAGCTTGTCCTCTATCTCTCTCTGCTGGCTTGTGAGTTCATCAAACTCCTACAATAACATAGGATAACATTCTATAGAAAACAGCACCAGAGGATAACATTTCATACAGTGGATAGAATACATGTAAGATTCTATTGCAACATAGCATTCTATAAACACTTAGTATTTTTGTTTTGCCTAGAATTCTGTGTGATATACTCTCTGAAGCAGATGCAAAATTAGAATTATTTTGTTCAATGTTGGTCCCCAAAATATTTTCGAGGAGCTGTCTAAATTTCAAGTGGGTGCAGTTGAGTTTTCAGTTGGATGCTTCAAGCTTACCAGCCTTTATTCAATAATGTGTATGCTGCACCAACTTATGCCTGGGTCACATTTGCTCCAATTCATCATTACTGTATACAATTTTGAACAAAATACTCAATCGGGCGGGCGCCGGCCAATGAATCGAACTAAATGTGACCCATGCATTACTTGAATGCTGGAAAGATTTGCTTTGTAAAAAAACCTGGCAATAATAAGATTTGTTAATGAAGAAATATATCGAAATAAAAGATGAAACAAATAAAAATTGTGATGTTTTACCTTACATGCAGCTGTGAGATCCCTGAGTTTACTCTTCACCAGGAACTCTGCAGTGATGTCTCTAGGGGGCTTAACCTCTGATGCTTCCTTCCATTGTTTGTTCAAATCTGCTATTTTATCTTTGACTTGAATCATCTAAATATATAATAAAATACAGTGAAACCTGAATATCCAAACACCTCTTAATCTGAACACCTCTCAATTTTAACACTTTTTCTGGGTCCCAAAATCTTTTTCTCTCATCGACTTACATGTTTACAAAGCCTTGAAATGTGAACACCTACTAATCTGAACAATTTTTGCCAATCCCAGAGGTGTTCAGATTAGACAGGTTTTACTGTATACTAAATAAATTATAGCAATGTGACAATATTGTACCTTTTAAATTTTGATTAAAAGATTATTGGTAAATATCCGAGCATAAGAGTCAGAGTAATAGATGACATATGAGGTGAATGGAATCACAAGACCATATAAGCAACCCAAAACTGATGAACTCCCTCTTAACATGCACAACAAATTTTTAAAAAATCTGATGAACAGTTGTCTATGTCCTGTGCTCACACAGTTTGGAACCTTCAGAGGAATGTAACCAAAACATTTATTTCATTTCTTTATTGTCTCATATTATTGTATTTGCATATTGTATTTATATTATATTATTGTATTGACCTATGTACCACTTTAAATGTTCACAGTTTATCATGTTTATTGTAAATTTAATTATGGGCAGTTATACACCCCCTGGGGTGTCATAGCCTGTATAATGTTGTAATTTTTGTAATGAAAACTGAAATAAATTATTTTGAAATTGAATTGAATTGAATTGAATGTATATCCTGACTTTCAAACAAAAATATTGTTTTGGATTTGTAGTCTCGAACTTTGAGAAACTTAGATAGCACAGTTGTGTGACCTAGTTTGATGATCTTTGACCTTGAAAATTTTACATATTCAGAGCTCAGTAAGGTCTTTTGTGATTAAGCTGACCAAAATTTACATCCAAAAATCAATTTGAAAAATCAACTTTTTTGACCTTTCAAAGGTCACTGAAGGTCAAGTAAAGGTCAAATCCTAAAACTAATGTCACATTTGAACTCGTGGTAACTTGTAGATGATTTTCAAAAAAAATTTGGTCAAATTGAAGCAAGTTGAAAAATAACTTATTTTTACTGTGTTTGACGTCAAATATCAAAAACGGTAAAAATTTGATGCTGACATATATTGAGCAATATGTAGGGAATGCTTAAATCTAGTTATGATGGAATTCATTGTAAGAAATGATCAAGTATAAGGCAAACTTTGAGAAACTTGTCAATCACAAAACCTGCCATTGACTTTATACATGAGAAAGTTTCCTGAAAATGACTAAGTCCTACTTTTTGTCAAATTTTATAGAGTAAACACCAAAAACTGTAATTCCAAGAGCTTTGAAATCTTCAGAGGACATAAGTTGCATATACAGCAACTACTAAAAGTTATTTGAAAGTTCTACTTCAACAAACTGTCTAGTATTTACAGAAAATTTGACTTTTTGGCGTCAAAATCCGCAATTTCTTGGAAACCGGGCGAACTTGGGAAATGGCGATGATAAGTCAAATAGGCATTATGGATATGCATAAAATGAATGTGGATATGACTCAGTCCGAATAGCAGTTTTAATTTGTGCGGCCAATGTTGACAGACGGATGGACGGACCAACGGACGGACGGACCAACGAATGGACGGACCAACGGACGGACCAACGGACGGACGCCTGGTCGATCCCATAGGCTCACTGTGTGAGCCCAAAATAGCTATCAGAAAACAAGATGGCCACCCAAAGGTTCATCAGTTATAATATCATGTAATCCATATTCCTTGATAGCTATGAAGCGGATGGCTAGTCATAAGGGAGTGGATAAAATCAGTGAAGGAAATATTAAAATATGACATGCATGCAGACTACCTCAATGTCTTGTTGTTTCGTACCTGAGTTATGTTTTTTCTGAGCTTTTCTTGTAAGGTTAGAATATTTCTCTGGTGTTCACACTGCTTTTCTTTAACGTGCTTTTCTTGGAGTCTGAAATCATTTATATCATTTAATTTTAACGAAAGGAAAACTGTTATGGTACAATACATGTATACAGTTTAAGTCCACTTAGTGAATTTTAATACCACCACGTCGATATAGCTACAATTTATGACAAAATGCCAGTTCATATATGGCCTAGTTGGTTAAACTAGACTATTCTTTACTTCATGGGTCTATGAACTGGCCCTGTTAAAAGTGTCATCATTCAACAAAACAAACTACATGTACAGAGTTTCAACTCACTTGATGACAAGTTCTAGAGCCTGGCCCAATGTCAATGGTTTGCTGTTAATGTGGTTAAAGTCCATCTGGTGAGACATATATGATGTGGATTCCAGTAATCTATTGAACTCTCTTTCTACCATCTCATCTTTGTCTTTAGGCACCTACAAATCAATAAGAGTAGTTAAATAAGATAAATTTGTGATGGGTAGAGGGGTCATATGGGAAGGTTTCATTATATGGCCATCATTTTGAAACAATTTGAGGTTTTGAGACACCACTTATAGGTCAAAATGGAACAAATGAGGACTTCACATTTTAAAAGTGTAACTATTTGAATTGTCATGAATCGACAGAGGCATGGACACACAGACAAGTGGGCCATTAGAGCCAAAACATGTAACAAAAGACATTTGGAACTTAAATCATGTAAGATTTATCAATGGGAGAGTGAGAAGAAGTTGATGATTTTAATATGAAAAGTAACTGTGCAAGATGAATTGAATCCTGAGTTGTATTTCAACACATAAAAAGAAATCTCCTTCCCAATGAGAACATAGTACAGCCATGCAAATTCTATATCTGTAGTTCCTACACCAGTAAATAAGTAAAATAAACAATAAACAAAGAAATATAAAACTGAATAACAAAAATATTCTAAAAAGTGACAGCTGAGCGCAAATAAATGCAGAATGCCCAAAAACAAAAAAAAGCAGTATCATTAAATGACACCTGTACCGTACGTACTGTTCCTCCATTTGTCTCATATAGAGGGCACTTCTGTTTGATCTTATGTAGCTCCATGTTGACTTGCTTACTCAGGACTGTGATAGGATTACCTCCTGGAAAATAAAAACCTCTTTAGTACAGGGTTCATGACTGCTGTGTCGCTCCGATGCTACCTTTAATTATAGTTTTCAATAATGGGAGATGTTAGTATCTATTATATGGACAATCGCACTATAAAAGAGTCATTTTCTCAAATCTCGTAAAATCAAGAGTGAACGGTCAAAGATTTATAAAATAATTGCAAAATGGACAACTGACTTGTTTCAAAACATTAAAATATTTGGAGAATTCAATTTCGTGTTGCCAATCAAAAATACCTACCTAGCCCTGTGACAACCATAGCCCCAAGATCTGCAATATAATTTCCTTTCCTAAATGTGGCCACACGTCCCCCGACACGATCCCGGGCCTCGAGTACCGTGACATCCATGCCAAACTGCTGGAGTTGCCTAGCTGCTCCCAAACCAGATATACCAGCTCCAATAATAATTACTTTGCCTTGTGGGTTAGCTACAGAAAAATGCAAGTAAATAAGAAATGGGAATAGCACACATTTTCGATATCACACTCAAAGTTATTTTCCTTCTTGTACCAATATATAATATTTCACTTCTGAGGTTTTCAATGTAAAATATTAATAATGATACTAATTATTGAGAAGCTTGAAATACAAAATAATGTTCGGCTATTTAACATTCATTTTGACTTAGCTCTATCAAAAACTAAGAAAATGTATGTATGGTGTTTCTTTCAGTTCAGAAAGTAGAATAACCAGAACAACGGCAACGCCAAAGCGTAGCGAATCCCATCGAACATTTTTCACCTTCTACCAAAAGTGTCATTAGACAGTGTGCCATGCTTATAACATTCACATACCAAATATGAACAAAATCGCTCTACTACTTTTCGAGTTATAGTAAAATACGTTAAAATGGCGACCATTTTGAAAAATGGCCGCCTTCTACCAAAAGTGTCATTAAACAGTGTGCCATGCTTATACGTATTCACGTACCAAATATGAACAAAATCGCTCCACTACTTTTCGAGTTATAGTAAAATAAGTTAAAATGGCAGCCATTTTTCAAAATGGCAGCCATTTTTCAAAATGTCCGCCATTTTTCAAAATGGCCACCTTCTACCAAAAGTGTCATTAGACAGTGTGCCATGCTTATAGTATTCACATACCAAATATGAACAAAATCGCTCCAATACTTTTCGAGTTACAGCAAAAATCGTAAAATTACAAGTAAAGGCCGCCATTTTTCAAGATGGCTGCCATGTGCTTTTTAATATCTACATTTCTAGCTTTATTAATGTCCTATATAATTTTTTTAAATTTAAAACATATTGCTATTACAGTTTTACATATTGCACCTAAATTACTGTAAAATCGGCACTAAAATGGCCGCCATTTTTAAATGAGCGGCCATTTTGAAAATCGGCTTTTGAGCAGAACTTCTACCCCCATAGGGTATATGTGTACAAAATATGAATAAAATCGGGCCAACGGTATTTGAGTTATTGCCCGGACGGACGTACGGACGTACGTACGGACGGACGGACGGACGTACGTACGGACGGACGGACGGACGGACGGACGGATGTACGGACGGACGGACGGACGGACGGACAGAGGCGTTCCCTATATCCCTCCGAACTTCGTTCGATGGGATAATTAGCTTTTATAATTTAATAAAAAAATTGGGAAAAACAAAAGTGAAAAATATCAAAATCAGACTAATAAACTATTGTTTTTCTGACTCCATGTACCTGGTAGAGGTTTGAGGCGTTTGAATACTCCAAAGTTGATGAACCCATATCTCTCAAGATAAGAGAACATGCGCGTAATTAATGGGCCATCACCTAGGATGGAAAAATAAAATTATAACATACTTGGTATATAAGAACAAATTCTTGGAAAGACAAATCAGATTGTTTTGCTCAAGTAAGTTATCCTAAAATGTGAAAAACACCAATAAATTAAAATCAGATTAAAAACAGATTCATTCTCTTTCCAATAATCCATAAAAGTGCATACCATTTAACTTAGATAGATTCAAATGATGTAACAAGTGTTTAGAATCTTTGTAAAAAATATTTCATATGGTAATGTACGAGATGATTGAATTTTGTGACATTTACAATACATGCATACTCATATACTCACTATTATATGGGGCTTCAATCTGAGGTAATGCATTCTCTAGTGTCACCTGTTGGGTTGGATTCTCAAGCCAAAGTTGTAACTGAAATACAGAGAAAAGGACCATATTATGAGTTCTTGCATCATTTTTTTAACCAAGACAAAGAGATGCAGGGAAATGGTACAGCACTCTCAAGGGTTCAATGTCATTTTCTATGAAACTAATTTTGTTAGTGGGAACAAGTACAGATCAGGTTTTGTTAAAGAAATAGCACCACAAATTAATGTTCCTTCAATAAACAGGGAATGGAGGGGGGGGGGTATCTGAATCTTTGCTATGTTAATGTCAAGAAAATGTGAAAACTCTGATGTTGTGGCAGCCTTTAATAGACTCCAAATAATTTAATTCATATTAATATATTGTTGCATTCTGGTTTACCGGACCCCCTCTTATATGCCATTTTGTGTGAGTGAGTATGAGTGCCACTTCGGAAAGTTAAAGACAGACAAAGGGGGTGTGGTTATCACCATGGTATTTATTGCCATATACATGTACAAGACTTACTAGTCTATTCCTTAGATAGAGAAAGACCTTCTGAGTCTGTGGAGAGGCCTGTGCTATATCTGGGAAACAAGCAGCCTCTTGGGCTGTCATCTTATCATGTGGTAAGCGACTTTGGAATGCAGCGCCCTCTAACCCTGAAACATATTCAGGGTGACCTCAAAGAATGCAATTAATATTGGAATGAAATTCTCAATTATGTTGGAATTTTCATGAATTTTCTTTTGTGGATAGGGAGTTCAATGGCCTTGAGGACTGACAATAGATGGCGAAAAATTCATTTAATAGCATACTTTAACATGTAAAAAATGTTCAAAAAATCTCCCAAGTGAATGTTATTGAAAATATCCAAAACTTCTAATTTTGAATCTAAAAACATGTTTGTAAATAATGATGAAGGAAAATATGATATTTATTTGATATATCTAAAGAATTTGAAATTTCAAAACAGCAATATTTACACACAAGCCAATGGGCCAGTTGTGGAGAACAACCTAGTAGTTAACTGCCATCTATACGAGTCCTGGATCCCATTTTATTGCATCTACCACTTAGAGATTTTAGAGAATGAATGCTCTCTAAGGTAGTAAGCAACCTACTTTTTCACCCATTGGAATACATGTAAAATTGACAAAGTACAAATCATGATTTCTCAAATCCCAGCCCATCGAATCCTCGCATCCATTCAGATCATGTAGTCCTATTCAAAAACTTCCCGTTTGGTTATATGATGAGAAAAATATCCCACGAACGAAAAAAGATTTTGCTACATTTATAAGCGAGCATTGATTTTTGGGTCTGTAAAAAGCACATAGGACCTGATTATCCCCATTGATTTACTGAGACCGCCAAAAATATAATTCAATTTTTGGTTCAAAATTATAATCTGTCAGCGGCCCCTGACACTCCTACTAGCTATTACCAAACATTAATTGTCAATATATGTCTAAGATCCAGAGTCCCCCTACAGAATAACTTGATTATAAATCATGTACCTTTCCCAATACTCATGGACTGTAGAAACTACTTTATCCTACCTGTCACATGTAGAACTTTACCAGCTGGGTCATCTGGCTCTGATTCTTCTGTAGGTGGCAACTCTTTCTTTATGGCATCAACCTGGGTGAATACAAAAATATGTGTTATTTATCACGCTTGCATATCTTTTGGACATTTTCAATGAATATTAATAGTTTTGAGCTCTTTAAGACATTCCAATAATTTGAAATTCTGATTCAAATGAATTTATTGGACATGTTAGAAAGCCACAATAATCAATGTATTTTCCAAAAGTTTGATTAAAAGAAAATATTTGAACCAATTTGTATACAAATGTGATATTTTATGAAAAGTATTAATATCAGATCAGTTAAGTGTTCAAATATGTCTGTTAATCACTCTTTAAATGGAAAGGTGATCACATTTCAAGTTATTTTAACATGAGATTCAATGGAAGGAAAAAATGAGACTGGAAAAGTGTTCATATTAAGAGGTGTTCAGATTAAAGAGAGGTTCAATGAACAAGTTTTGCGGAGTCATAAATTAACATCCCATGACCACATTTTACTGCATATCTGATATTGTAAGGTCACAAGGTGACAGAAACTGAGTGGTAAAATATTGATTTGAAAACCTAGGATGAAGTTCTATGCTTTAAGGGCTAAAGTGAGTCTGTATTCATAAGTAGGGCACAAATACACAAACTTTCTTTTTGGTGTCTGGTAAGTTACTCTACTTTGTAGCTAGAAAGGCCGATTGACAAATGTTAATTTCAAAAATACATTCAGATAAGTTGTATTTCAGAAAAAGAGCTCTTCAAACTAAAAGCTATCCTGAGATTCATCAGAAAAAATAACATTGGGTTGACTATCAAAAGTTACATTTTGCCTAAAAGTCTGACCTTACATAAACATCTCCATACCTCCCATAATAAAGAGTACATCTTAGGACTTTCTTAGACTAAGATCACTGACCTTGTTAGTGTTAGCTGGTGTTTCTTTAACAGGTGGTTTTCTACTTTCATCATCTGATGCCTCCTCCTCATCCGACAGATGTTTCAGCTGGTCTGCCATCTCCTTGTACTCAACCTGGAAATGAGATACAGTACTTTCAACATACTATAGACATGTTGTTGTACTATTGATAATAAAATACAGCTATGCTATACAATTCCAATTTACAGCTAGCAAAAATTCACACAACAATACCCATTACATTAATTTGAAACGAACACCTTAGATTTTTCCAAGCAATTTTGAAAAAAATTTGTATAAGGACTTATCATTAACATATTTTCCCCAAATATGAAGAAAATCTGTATATTGGTGTTTGAGTCATGCTAGATGGCCAGACTGATGGATGGACGGATGGAGGGCTTCACTATATCCCAACTGAACATCATTCGTATGGGATAATATTTGGGTTTGTAGAGGATATCCAGATGTCATTCCTTTGTATTAAAGGAATTCCAGTGAAGTAGACTCACATTTATGTTCCTTTCACAAGAGTCACACTTCTCATCCAGTGTTATTGGCATTGCCGCATTCCTTGCAAATACAGAACTGTGTTCATTACTGTGCGTATTGTTCCTTTCTCTGGCTTCTCCAAAATAAAGATTTGATGATTCCAATTGAATATTGTTTGACAATTGTTTTGTTTTTGATAATTCAATCCAGAATTTCCACTTCATTGATGTCATTTCATCATATGAGACTGGTTCGAATGAATAATTTTCAAATGAATACGATCTCCCGAAATGCCATTCAAACAATTTTATCAAATTCCACTCAACTGAAGAAAATTTTGCCCTGTGTTGAATATCTAATGTTATAATTTCATCAGGCAGAGTTTTTTTATCCAATGAAGGATTCAAATCACACGGGCCTGTAGCAATATTTCGATAAAGGGACAGGACAGTATGATCATTTTGCTCAGTCCTATCTGGCTTTTTTGTATCATTGAATAAAATGTTTGATACAACATTTTGCTCAGTCCTATCTGGCTTGTTCATATCATTGAATAAAATGTTTGATACAACATTTTGCTCAGTCCTATCTGGCTTGTTTGTATCATTGAATAAAATGTTTGATACAACATTTTGCTCAGTCCTATCTGGCTTGTTTGTATCATTGAATAAAATGTGTGATACAACATTTTGCTCAGTCCTATCTGGCTTTTTTGTATCATTGAATAAAATGTTTGATACAACATTTTGCTCAGTCCTATCTGGCTTGTTCGTATCATTGAATAAAATGTTTGATACAACATTTTGCTCAGTCCTATCTGGCTTGTTTGTATCATTGAATAAAATGTTTGATACAACATTTTGCTCAGTCCTATCTGGCTTGTTTGTATCATTGAATAAAATGTGTGATACAACATTTTGCTCAGTCCTATCTGGCTTGTTTGTATCATTGAATAAAATGTGTGATACAACATTTTGCTCAGTCCTATCTGGCTTGTTTGTATCATTGAATAAAATGTGTGATACAACATTTTGCTCAGTCCTATCTGGCTTGTTCGTATCATTGAATAAAATGTTTGATACAACATTTTGCTCAGTCCTATCTGGCTTGTTTGTATCATTGAATAAAATGTTTGATACAACATTTTGCTCAGTCCTATCTGGCTTGTTCGTATCATTGAATAAAATGTTTGAAACAACATTTTGCTCAGTCCTATCTGGCTTGTTTGTATCGTTGAATAAAATGTTTGATACAACATTTTGCTCAGTCCTATCTGGCTTGTTTGTATCATTGAATAAAATGTGTGATACAACATTTTGCTCAGTCCTATCTGGCTTGTTTGTATCATTGAATAAAATGTTTGATTCAACATTTTGCTCAGTCCTTTCTGGCTTGTTTGTATCATTGAATAAAATGTTTGATACAACATTTTGCTCAGTCCTATCTGGCTTGTTTGTATCATTGAATAAAATGTTTGAAACAACACTGACAATTTCATCCTGAATACATTTGAATGCGTGTATTTGCTTGGATTTGAAGAACGTATATTGCAACAGTTCCTTCAGACGAACACTTAGTTTTCCATCTAGAAATCGTACTCCATCATTTCCATATTTTTTAAGATCCCTTTTAAGATTGCCTTTACTTAGTACGACATCATCATTCTTATGTTTATTTGATCGTAAATATGTATGTAAGTCAGAAACAATTAACCAATGGTCCTTGTTTGTCTCCAAAAACTTAAGTGATCCCAATGTAGATATTTTGTACTTCATATTTCATTGAAGAAAATCTTAACTTGGGATTCAGTTTAGACATGTAACATATTGTACTGTTTCTTGGTAGTTGCTCCTACATTTTTCCATCCAGATAACAGCAGAAATTTTATCCAATCTGAAAAGCAACTGTGTATCTGTGTAGCTGTTACACAAGTGATCAGTTGACAGGTTATTTAGATAAGATGCAAGTTATGGATTTGACTTGCCTTTAAGAACTCACTGTCTTCCTCCAATGGGTAGATTGCAGTCTGTTTCAATATATATTTCAACGGCAAATTTAGAGTGTTTTGCATAGTCCTCTGGATAACAGTTAATTTTTTGTCTGATCTGAGAACCTCTGGAAAGCTCATTAGTGTATAGGACCGTTGACAGATTATTTAGATTACATGTAAGTTATGGGCATGTCTTCTTAGCTTTAGTCTAGAGTGAACTCCAGTTCTCCTCAGATTTTACATGTCCAGTAATATACTTCACAGGAGACAGATAAAATATTTAGTCAAGTTTGAAGTCCCAAGTTTAATTTTCTACAGTGGAATATGAAGTATCAAATTTAAACATTGGAATCACTTATATTTTTGAGAAAGACAATGATCATTGGTAAAATTTTCTTCCACGTTTTCAAAATTACAAGGAAAGATTGATTCCTATCTGACTGGAAGATCAAGCTTGGAGTCTATGTTAAAACATTCATAGTCCTCTAGATAACTGCAAAATGTTGATCCCATCTGAGCAGCTCTGGAAAGCTCGTTAGTGTTTAAGTTGACAGATTATTTAGATAAGATGTAAGTTATGGGTTTGTCTTCTTGGTTTTAGTCTAGAGTGAACACTGTCCTCCTCTCATAGACAGATTGCAGTCTGATTCTATGTATTTTTAAAGGCAAATATAGAGTGTTCTTTGAAGTATTCAAGACTAAATAAGATGTAACTAGTATACATGTACTATACTACCCAGAGACAGATATAATATTTGCTCCAATTTCAAGTCCGAAGTTAAATCTTCTACAATGGAATATGAAGTACCAAATTTCATTTGGTATACTTATATTTTTTGATAGAGACAATGGTCATTGTTAAAATCAAATAAACATGAGATTATTAATTTATTAGGGTAGTTTATACTTCATGCCTTATAGTTCACACTTCAAAACTAAGTTGAATTCTGATGTCATCTTGAAAATAGAATAGGTCTAAATGGATTCCTGTCTTTTATGTATATATTTTTCATTGATGCACCTGATATCTAAGTGATAGCACCCATCGCACCCCCCCCCCTCGGCTATGCCTATTGTCTAATTGAAATATAAAAACTCTGCATTGAAGTACAAGTATTAAAAGTTGGTTTCACATTCAAATAGCTGATACAGATATTCTATCTACTAGTATACTCATATATGAACAGAGATATAGAATTTCAAACTGATATATGATACATTAGGATAATCTGTTCTGTCATTGAAACAATATTTATGGCCAGCTAAATTTCTGGGAATTTAATTTGTTTCATTCCTTTACTCCTGGGCTATTCAGTCAACGTGTAAATAGTTGTATTAAGTAGTACAGTAAAACCTGTCTAAAAAGAACAACTTTGGTACACTTAAAATCATACCCCTTGGGAGGTGTTCCACTTATAGAGGTTCATCTATGAAGTCAGTTGGTCTTGGGACTCTAGAAAGTGTTTCACTGACAGAGGTGTTCTACTTCTAGAGATGTTCAATTTACAAGGTTCGCTGTATTTCCATTATGGATTGTACTGATATTTTCAATTTAGACAATCTTAGATAACTTACATGTAGACAACTCTATCAATCTAAATACAAAGTAAGAACATTCATTATGAAGTTGTTTAACCTAAAATGAACCTCCTTTTTTGGCTGCCAAAATGGTTTCATTTAACTCCTTTATTTAATCTCAAATTTCAATATATTTTTGATATCTCACTTTTTCATTAAACACAGGGGTAATTACATCTCCTAATGTCAAAATATCAAAGGGTATTCTAATTCATAGATCAAAGTATTCATATGTTTTATTGTGCTTTTTACATCAAAATGTATATGATGTAGTCCGTTCCCACAAACTGGTCATGTAAGGCCAAGAGGTGGTCTGTTTGAAAATGTGGTGGTCTTTGCCCCCCCCCCCCTGGCTCAGGACACTGCTTGTGCCACACTTTGAAATACAACTTTGTATTCATACTTATTCAAGTGCAAGCCCCTGCAGACAGAGGACACATCCTCATCAGGTTATGCTATTCATTTGCAAATTACTACATCGCGGGTTGGTATGCATCGCAAAAAATAAAAGCAGCGCTGAAGTAAAAGATTGAAATTGCCAAAAAAATAGTGCAAGAAAACAAAATGGATGACAGGAAATAAAGTGATGACAGATGGTATGTCAGCCTCATATCCCGTTCACAACATAACCAATTCAAATTTTCAATTGTTTGATTTTCCCCTGGTAAGATGTGCTGTTTATTTTGATGTATTAACTAATGTACATCCATCTCCAAAAAATAGCTTTAAAAATCATGGAACTTTTCCCAACAATTTGTTTTCGTTATTTAGGGACTCGTTACCTTAACATGCATCATAATATAACCAGTTGAACCTAAAAAATAAGAAATCCCCAGTATCCTCCAGTCTGAAATTATTTGACTCCCTATGGAATCTGGAAACATGTTCCAATTTCGTTTTCGATTGTGTTTGGAAAGAGGATATACCCTGAACTCATGCATGAACATGTCTACAATATGTGAAGATGAACATCATCTACTATTCTAGGTATCCCCCTCCTCTTTCTATAGGTTTGAAAAAGAGGAGGGAAAGCCCCGGAGCTTCGTACAGGCAAAAGACAGAGTCATTCTCAGGACTATAGTCCAAGAATGTCAATCATGTAAAGGAACAGCTGGAAAATAAAATTTTGGTAAAAAATTGCTATACCTGCACATGTTATTTTCTGGTACACTATAAAGTATGAAGGCATATGTTAATTTCCTTGCTTTTTACAGGAAAGTATCATTACATTACCTTCTTTTAGTACATTATATCTGGTAAGAGGTCAATGGGAACTCCAGGAAATTCTGATATTTCACTTTCTATTTTTCCAAATTTTCTTTCAAAGTTTCCAGACAACACAGGAGCTACCATTGACCTGTTTCCAGGTTCACTAAAAGTAGACAGTGTAATGATGCTTTCCTGAAAAAAGCAAGGAAATACACACATGTTTTCATACATTATTTTGTACCAGAAAATAACATGTGCAGGTATAGCAATTTTTTACCAAAATGTTACTTTCCAGCTGAGCCTTAACATTACCACTGTCATGACAGGCCTTGCAATATAATATAGCATTGTCACGGTCATATCAGGCTTTAACATTACCACGGTCATGACAGGCCTTGCAATACAATATAGCATTGGCACGCAGTACTGCGATACCAGGCTTTCACGATCACACTACCATGGTCATTGCAGGATCCTTGCGAAACTTAAAAACATTTAATAACATGTTGGCGGTTGTGCCAGGCATAAGTCTTGCAATAGATAGCATGTTTACAAGTTCGTGTGTTGAACTCTGCGTTAGATCTATTCCCCTTCTGGATTGGAAATGAAAATCAGATTGGGCGATAATAGAGGAAACATTTAAAATGTATGTTTTCAACTGTTTTGGACATTTAAAATGTAATATCTAGAATTGTTGTGCACTTGCCTTTCTTTTCTTCCTCTGACTTCGCCTCCCAGGGTCCTGACTATCGCTGTCCTCCGGTGAGGTTCCCCGTTTTTTGTTTTCATCTCCGGCTCCCAAGAGATCATCTTTAGAGTCCATATTCGCTTCAACCGGAGTAGCTTCAGAACTCATCTTTGGTCAAAATGTGTCACGTTATTTATGGATTTGTAAAATTTCCATGAACAGGCAAGTTAATCCCTAGTTCATGTGCATTTCACACTTTTGTTGACAAAAACAACAGACCTCTAAACCGGATGAACAAAGCCAACAACTGCGCATTCTTGCTGCGCAGGTTTACACTGAACGAAATTTGAATATCTATTTCAATAAAGAATCCCGGGAAGTGCAAGGTTGCAAGAATTTCTCTCACTCTCTTGAAGAGTAATGATCATAGGCATTGAGAAAGTGCAATTGGTAATACGTGGGCATAGCAAAAATAAAAAATAGTTATGGCTAACTTATGGGCCAGGCAAAACATGCCAAATCATTATGAATCAAAAATACCTTGACAGATACATGTACATCTGTTGACAACCTGTCTATCCTAGCGCTTACTCTACCAAGGTGATAGAAGTCGCTTTTGAACCAGCTGCATTCAGTAAACTAGCCCCCAAACTTATCGCATCCTAAGACCCCTTTAGATTGTGCCACAATCTAAAGTGGTCGGTAGGATACGATAACCCCAAACTAAGATATTGCAATTCATTAAGACAAGTTGAGAGTTAAGTTTTGATAAATTGTCGGAATTTTACAATATTTTTTGCTCTCATCATCCATCATGCCATGCCTACTTTCTAAAAAGTCCAAAAGTTCTGACTTTATTTCAATCCTTTGATTTTATGGAGGTTAGCCCTATCCATGCCTTATTAAATTCTAATGACAATTTTGCATCTTAATCTTCAATAACTTCTCTATTTTATCAGATATCTCACTTCTATTTCTAGAAAATGAAATTAGAATTGAGAGGGAATCAATGTCGTGCTCTTTGGAAAGACTGCTTCCAATATTTTACATACTGTATTCCAAGGCCCACTTCGCATATTTTCAATGTTTTTGGGCAAAATTAAGACTTTAAAGAGAGAATCAGAGATAGCGAGCAGGCTAAACAAAAAGTTGTTTCAATTTTAGAATATTTTTGGCTCATGTCATTCCTTGTCATGTCTATTTTCTAAAAATCACAAAAGTGCATACTTTATTCAAGAAAAAACGAAAGATTTTTACAATAATGTACTATTTTTCTATAAGAATGGTTACCATTCTTATTATTTGGGAGAATTTAAACATTTTTCACCCATTTTTTACTGAATCATTTATAACTTCACCAATTTATAACATATTGTGAATCTTTTGGGAGATATTGTATTTGATATTGTAAGGAATAGATTGGTAGGTCAATCATGCATGTTGCTTGTAATTTTGTCACCCCCTATAGATCTGATTCTGCCTTTAATTTGAATTCTTTAGAACGTTCAATGTATTGATAAGAACCCTATCTTTCACAACACCAACAACAGCTCAAACGGACCACATCAAAGCTTACAATGAATAATCAAAAAATATTTTGGATCTGTCAAGCTTTATATATCAAGTTTTTATCAATATTATTAAAAGATGGTGAAGTTGTTTGTATTACATGATACATTCATTTTTTATAGAAGTGTCGCCATCTTTTGAATCAAAAGTAATTAAAAACATGCATTTTGTTTTATCATGTGCATGCATGTCTAATGATCTCTGAACTTCAAATGCTTTTTTCTATGCGAGTTATTTTTTTCTTGGTTCAATATTGAAGCATTCAAACTTTGTTCCATATTTGAGGGAGTGTGTGAGTAATAGGTTTCAATGATAATTTTTTTCTTTTTCTTCAAAATTAAGTATAGTGGGCCTTTAAGTGAAAATATCAGTTGAACAAAAGCTACTATTTTAACATTAATGAATATATTTTTTTCTATAAAATACACCAACCATACATGTATTCTAAATGAGATTGTATTATCAAATATTTAACACATATTCATTCATTGCACTTATTTATACTTTGGCAAATCTGAGACATATATTTTTAATACAGTATGTGTCTGGGTGAATCAAATAAAGCGAAATTTTTATGTATCATTCATGCATGTTTTCTTCCTTTTACTTTTAGTTACTAAATAATGATAAATACAATGTATAAAATACATGTACATGTTCTGATGTACATGAAAATGCTTGTAAAATACACTCCAAAATATGTATTCATAAATCCATAGATATACAAAACAGTACTGAGACCATGTGATGCCATTGTGATGTAGCCTTACAGATGTTATCAAATATTTCAAGTTCATCGATTTCATATCTGAACTTTAATCAGTAAAGTTCCATAGATTACATGAAATGAGAATACATTTCACATGGATAAGTGAAGTAAGTTGATATAAAGAATGTCCATCAAGTATTTTTACACTTTACACAGACCTTGTATTGTAATTGTAAAGAGATTTTATGGACACCCTGTAGAATGTAGATGTTATTGTACTTCTACTTAATTTGGCGCTACTTATTTTGGCGGATTGCTGTTTTGAACATTTGCCGCTACTTAATTTGACGGACTTGCAATATCGAAATCTATATTATTACATCCTGACATACATATTACGATTAATACATGGAATATTGAATGAGGCAGTTACTTAATTTGGCAGTTTTAAACAATTTGACGATCCGCCAAATTAAAATGGCCGCCAAATTAAGTTGAAGTACAGTACTTTAAATGGAGGCACTTCATGACACTGTATCTTAGTCGATCATGTACAGCTCAGACGGATGTTATTCCCAGCCCAGATGCGCCAATCCTATAAGGTACATCCATCCAATGTTACTGCTCAAGACCCAACACCTCAATGTTCCGTAAACATTTTAAATGATTACATATAAGAATACCCTTTGTTAAATAACCCCTATTTTCTCACCCTGCACATGATCAATCCCTGCCATTCTGATTAGTACATGTACTTCTTAATGTGCAATACTATAGTAGTTTTGATTATATACTCAATATGACATATAATTACGAAATAAATATCATTGTTGTTGATTATGTCGCATAGCTAGCTGCCATTGTTTCTTTGTTGTGTCATACACATTAAAAATATAAAATAGAATACAAATCTTGCCATTTACGCTCATATTCATATAGGTCTGGCCTTACATATTGTAAAATGCACATCAAATGTCTTGTATAAATGCAGATACATATTAATTGTCATGATGTCCATAATTATCAATTTTAAATGTTTGACATACACATAACTGTAAGTTACCCCTCACAAATCAATATTATGTTTAGCTGAAGATTACATACAACTGTTGATTACATACACCTGCAGATTAAAAACAGCTGTAGATGATAAACAATTGGAATAACATACAGCTGTTGATTACATACAGCTGCAGATTAAAAACAGCTGTAGATGATAAACAGTTGGAATAACATACAGCTGTATATTAAATTGAGCTTCATACTACATACAGCTGCAAATTACATACAGCTGCAGAACAAACAGCTACCCCTCAGTTGGCAAAAATGTCTCCCATTGGAATCCAGATGTTCTTGCACTGGATGCTCTGATATAAGAATTCCTCTCCCTGGCCTTGTTCTGGGTTGGCCCAATCACGGGGTATCCCATAGTTCACCCATGTACGCTTCACATTCTCTGCTGATGTGTATTCCACAAATCTTGACCCCTCTGCTGATCCAAAGTACCACATAGACTGAAATATAATAAGGCATGATTTAACATTGGAATTGCATTTAATAAATTGGATTTGCATTCAAACATTGGATTTGCATTTAAACATTGGGTTTGCATTGAAACATTGGAATTTCATTTGAGCATTGGATTTGCATTCAAACATTGGATTTGCATTTTAACATTGGATTTGCATTTAAACATTGGATTTGCATTCAAACATTGGATTTGCATTTGAACATTGGAATTGCATTTGAACATTGGAATTGCATTTAAACATTGGATTTTGCATTTAAACACTGAATTTGTGTTCAAACATTGGATTTGCATTGAAACATTGGAGTTTCATTTGAGCATTTGATTTGCATTTTAACACTGGATTTGCATCTAATACTTTGTGAAAAGTGGTCCTGTTACAATGATTCAATCAGATTTGCATCTATGTACTTGTGTTAATGTCCTCCCCTCCCCCCCATTTTCAACCTTTCTGAGAGAATAATAAGATACTGTGGGGGCCGGATTAAGGCTTACAAAAAGCTATGGAACAAATGTATTGTTATAAAATCATTAGATTAAAAATCATAAATCCTTAAAATATGAAGAATATTTGAATGAATGATGTATACCTTGTGGATACACAAAGTCCTTACTAAATAAAAATAAATGCAGAAACAATTGTGTATTTCCAAACAAAGGTTTGTGTTCAGAGTCATACTTCACATCCTAACTGATTGAATATGTGCACTTGTACAGAATAAGGTATACATATAGTGTAGTGCCAGGCCTGTAGCCAGCTTTTGCCAAGAGGGGTTCACTTTTTAATAAAATCCAGGAAGGTTCACTTGACAATTTTGGTACAAATATGGCCAAAATCACTTAAAAGTGCACAAAATGGTGAAAACTGCATGATTTTGAAATAATAACAGGGGGGTTCGCTCAAACACATCAACCCCCCTGGCTAAGGGCCTGAGTGGACATGTATATTTCACCCTGTTACACTGTCTACCTGTATATCCTGATGTTCAGTGAGGTATTTGGCAACATGGTCCCTGTCCCCAGTCAGGATGTTCACCACCCCAGCAGGCAGGTCAGATGTATCAAACACCTGGAACAAATAATAATGTTATGAGGAAAAAATGTTTAAATCTCAATATTTTCTCGATCAGAATAGGATCATGGTCTTTTAAAGAAATCATCCTTCATTCAAAGGATTTCATTTATTACTCAGTCCAGCCCTTCATGCAAGGCCAGGTAGTTTCACTTTAGGGGTAATAAATAAGCTGAGTTTCCTAGTGGTCAACGCAGAAAATGCGTTCACAAATCATAATGTTCTATACATAATTCAATGGGGATGTTTTGTCCTCCCTCTGTTTATGACCCTTAATGAGATGCAAATTACTTATGAATTGGATTCTTAACAAGAAATGCATGCAGACTGGGACAATAAACTCATTAGTGAACACATAATGCCTGTTTATCACTGTGAAATTGTTTTGATATAAAATAGTTACAGTATCAGTACTCCAGGATAAATACAAAAAAAAGGGGGAAGGAAATGTCAGTTGTGCTTCCTCTGGTGTGTTCGAGCGTTAACATCAGCTGCGTCTAAGTCAGATCGACTAACAAAACAACCTTTTTTGGGTTGTCAAGTTGGCCGAGAGGGCTTGAGCGCCGGCATGTTCGAGCTAGGCGATTGGGCGCCGTAACCAGAAGGTTGTGAGTTCGAGACGTGTGTGCTCCTTGTGTTTATTCATTTGTATACAAGACAGTCCATCATATATTGATATTTCTTTAAGACATATTACCTGGTAGAAGTTTAATGCTGCAAGGGGGTGTGTCTGACTAGGTACAATGATAATAGCATTCCCACGTATCACAGCTGGGGCAAAGAGGGAGACAAAGCCCAAAAGAGGGAAGTCATCGGGACAGCATATTCCTATAACACCCACTGGCTCGTGGATCTTTACTGTAGCACCATATAAGGTTGTTTCCTGAAAAATATTACGTCAAATTATATATTCATAAAGACTGTACAATGTAAATACTGGTTTAACTAATTATGCAAAACATTGTGAAGCAAATAACCGTGGTTAACCAGCCCTGACCTGACCCTTCTCTATAATGTATAATCGTCAGGCACAAAGTATTCAAGGTAAGGCTTTATATCTTTTGAAGTAGGAGAGTTAATGAAAGATTCTTAAGATGCCAGTGTTAAAACAGAATATACTAAAAATACTACTGACAAGCATTATCTTCAGCCTACCTCATTGCAAACTCATGTAACAGTGAATTATATCCCTAAATGCATACACGACAACTTAACTTAAGTATATGATTATTTATAAAAACTAATTGACATATTTCTTGACCAACCTGAACACTACCACCATATTTGTCACAATAAGCACCCCAGTGGAACAAACGTTGCGTAGACAAGTCCACCTCAAGCTGAGCGTCTTCAAGAGTCTTCCCTGTCATCTCAACTATATTCTGGGCAAATTCGTCACGTCTTAGCTCTAAATTCTCTGCCATGTAATACACGATTTGGGCCCGATTGTGTGCTGCACGCTTACCCCATCTATATTGGAAAATGGAATATTAAACAATACGAAAGGTGAATACATGAATGTTATTTTTTTAAGTTCAGATTCTATACAGACTCAAATACAAATAGTTAAATGTGCTTCTATTTTATCTAGAAATGTCCAAAGTAAATAAAGTTGAAATTAATTATGTTCCAATGATACATAATATAGTTAAATGCACATGTACTTACCCTGGGGCCGCCTTATGGGCTGCCTCGACAGCATTTCTTACATCTTTACGATTTGCCTCACCGACATGACCTAGAACCTTCCCCTCAGGGCTTGTGATTGGTCGAGAATATGGAGCATCTGGACGTTTCTGAGCACCTCCATAGTACATCTTGTAGGTACGGTCTATCCTGTTGTGAAATGAAACAGCCAAAGTTGAACAAGGCATTAACAAGGCAAAATCTCACCACCTGGTTGCAATATTGCAAGTGTTTGTTGAATACGCAGACCGATGACATTGAAATTGACACTGAATGTCTGACACAAAAAACTATATTTTATAACACTACACAATCTGAATGGTCGGATCTGAGATGGGAATCTATAGGGCTGAATACTTAATTAAATCTCTCTAGGTTTCTCTTTCTTGAAATGAAACAAAATGAAGATTCTGTCCAAAACATGCCAACTTTCATCAAATTTTTCATGTGCCTGCAAACCTGAATTTTTAGTCTCCAGTTGGCGCAGCACCTCAATACTCTACTGAGCCAGTTGTATTCATTAAAAGGCGACTGATAAATCACAGTGGACAAGGAAACAAACTTACGTTGGTAGCTCGCCTTGCTTGTTAGCAATCTTAGGTGTGTTTTGGTCAATGGTTGGTCTGCTTTGTACTGTAGCACCAAATGTCTTCAGGTTAGAGTCCTGCACAGCTGGCCTCGCTCTCTCTTCCCACTTAGGCTTGGCATACTCATACAGACCCTGGAAAATATGAAGAACTCAGCATCAGGCATGGAAAGATGCATTAACAGGGCACGTGATCTTGGGTCAAAGACAAATATGGGGGGGTGCCATTAATAGGCCTAGATTTTTGCTAATTTTCAGTCACTTCATGGGCTCTACCAGAGCCCATGGTCACTTCAACCCGATTTTTTCTACAATTTTCAACAAAAAAACATAATTTTGGTGTCAAAATAGAGCTCAGACATTTATCTTACCAACTCCACCAAATAAAAAGTATAGAGATCACAAAACATACTTAATTCTGACATTTAAAATCGTAAGCACATGAACAATAGTTCCACCCCCACTCACTGTGTACCAAAGAAATGTTATTCCCTCGACTTAAATCGAGGTGGACAATCGGTCCAGCACTTCATGAAATGTCTCGGACCGAGCTCAAATCTACTGGTCAAATGCCTGCTCGTTGAGTGAAGTAATCTTAACTAAGTACATAAATTCGCAGTAATATCTTTAGAATTCTATTTTTCATCGGCTCACGATGCTGTCATTGTAAATAAACTGCAAAATTTGATTGGTCAGATTCATGTGTCTTATGACCTTTAAATGAGCGTGAGCACCTGACCAGATTTTCCTGGTCGCTACTAACCAGCTGATCGCAGGCGGAACACCAACAGTGGGAGGCCAGGTCAGTTTATTTAAGTGTAACACTCTGGTAGCTTTACCTTTTCCATACTGACTGCTCAATGGTTACACAAGACTATGAATCACTAAGACTGGTTTGAACTGAAGTTGACATGGTTGAGACCTGTATGCCAATTTGTTCGAGTGATTTTTTTAAACTGAACAGTCTCAATTTCTAAGGAAAGAGATAATCTGATAAAGAGGTACAGTTTGGAACATAAATAAATGACAGGTGGATTTGCTGAAGTGAGGATTTCCCTAGTCCAACAACATTAGACCTAGCCCGGGCCTCGTTTCTTATCTGACATGTGTTATGGCCCGGCTAGGTCTAACCTCCATGACCATTTTGCCTTTGATGCGTTAATTTAATCGTTCAGCAGGTTTCGACAAGCGGAACAAATTAAACCCTGAAAACATGGCAATATTACACAAAGAATGTGATTCAAACATGCATACATACCTTATAAACACATACACCCCGTCCCGTATCCCCCTTAGACCCTATTGATGCATAATTACGAAAATATTGGAGACAGGTTTGGAATATGACGAAAATGTCGGTCAGTTTCGGTAACATCGAAATTGCAAATCGTTTCAGGAATTAACCGTCATCACGGCACTGCATTAACGAACAGTGGGTTTGCAATTAATAACTATTTTGCGTGTATACACGCGCTATATAAATTAATCAAAGATACCCGTTATCCTCAAAATTGATCTTTTTATCCCGAGTAATCGCGATAATAATTATCAATCTATTTGACAACAATTTCGTTTCGCTGGTAGTTTAATTTTACGATCCGGGACACTCAGACGAACAGACACAATGACGGAACATGCGGAAATGTCACTTTAGAGATTGGTAAGTGTGGCCTCATTTTACTTGTATAAATGAACATTTAACACAAAAATATTGTGTTAAATCGCTTGATGTTATGTGTTTTTATATTATTGTCAAGTATCAGTTGCACGTTATCGCGGAAAAATGGTTTCGATGGATTCAGAACTTGCATCAAAGGAAAGAATAGCAAGGAGGTTAAACTCAATAGCGGCCCCAACAAAATTCATAATAATAAAGAACGCCGTTATTGAGTTTAACGACATTGAACTAGGATTTCCCATGTTAAAAGTAAGAGAATTTTCAAGAGGCCATACATCAGTGGATGAGATTATACAAAATGTAAAATATACAAATTTTAAGGGATATGATTGTATCTAGACAATATTGGAAATTATGGGCTTTCAGACAACCATGATTAGCAAATGGTGATAGAAAATCGACCTGTCATTTATTTTTGTTCCCAACTGTAAGTATGAACTCTTTATTTATTTGGGAACTTATCTGTAAAATATATTGCCAGTAACGAACTTAATGTACTAAAAAGCAACAGGTGCAATTATTTCACAAATTCAAAAATGGCTGAGACTTGCTCTACAGAGCTGGCTTTTGAGCCAACTGTGTTCAGAGACCTATTCACAATATGAAAGTATAAAGGTACAGTTGGAAAATAACATTTTGGTAAAAAATTGCTATACCTGCACATGTTATTTTCTGGTACAAAATAAAGTATGAAGGCATGTGTCAATATTTCCTTGCTTTTTTCTGGAAAGTATCATTACAAGATTGTCTTTTAGAATATCTGGTAGAATTCAATGGAAACTCCAGGAAATTCTGATATTTCACACTTTAAATTTTTCCAAATTTTCTTTCAAAGTTTCCAGACAACACAGGAGCTACCATTGACCTGTTTCCAAGTTTACGTAAAGTAGACAGTGTATACTTTCCTGAAAAAAGCAAGGAATTACACACATGCCTTCATACTTAATTTGGTTACAATACACCAGAAACAAAACATGATATTCCAGGCCCGTAGCCAGGGGAACCCATCGAACCCCCCCTTCCCCCCCGGCTACAGGCCTGGAATATCATGTTTTGTTTCTGGTGTATTGTAACCAAATTGAACTTAATCAAAGGACCATGGAAGGTATTGCAACAGATTTCATCAAGTCTTATGTTGGATTTTGGCAATTTTCTGAGCATTTTCTAATGGACAGACAGATGAATGGACAGATGGCTTTTATATATTCCCCTCAAACTTTGGTGGGATAACTCACCTCTTTACCACCATCTCTACCAAATCCACTCTGTTTGTAGCCTCCAAAGCCAGCAGCAGCATCAAACAGGTTATGTGCATTAACCCACACAGCTCCAGCCTTTATATTCAGGGCAACCTCTAAAGCCAGCCCTATCTGCTCCGTCCACACACTCCCACCAAGTCCATATATGGTGTTGTTGCCAAGAGCAACAGCTTCCTTAGCAGTCCTGAATGGAAGCACTACTAGAACTGGTCCAAATATCTACAATTTTTAAAAGCATATTATTTACATTTTTGTACATCAGTTCTTCAATCCTCTTCTACAATTCTACAGATAATGAGAGAGGAATACATAGATTAAGGTACACAGAGTAAATGAATTTTCATGTTGAAACTGGCTTGTTTTATATGTGTGTATCCTATACATTTTTTAATATCTATTATGAACAGTAAAACCTGTCGTAATGGAACACCTTCGGTACCTCTAAAAAGTGTACCATTGCGTCAGTTGGCCTTGGGACTCTGAAGTGTTCCACTTACAGAGGTGTTCAACTTTACAGGTTTCACTGTACATTCCTGTTAGATTCTTGAAGCAATATAGAGAGGCCAAGAAAAGCCTCCACCCACCAACCTCTTCTACGACCACTCTAGACACTGTCTGCACATTGGTGATCAGCGTCGGAGGATAAAACAAGCCTTTCTCAGGAATAGACGCTGATGCCTGGTATACCTCAGCGCCCTCTTTCCTCGCCTCCTCAACATATTCATCAATTGTTTTACGTTGAGACTCATCAACAACAGCACCTTTTATATATGAGATATTTGTGAATTATTATCCATATTCTTGTAATCCTGCATTCTCATTGGTTGATAACTGATAATTTCAAGCATGTTCATGCATAGACTCAGTTTTCATTAATATGTGATATTGTAGTCACACTTTTTTAAAATATCAGACATATTGTTTTATTTCAATGCAGAGTTACAAAATGCATATCAACAAAATAAAACCCAAAGCTTTACTAGTCTTGCTACTCATACAATTGTATTTTCATTCCAGAGAAAAAAAATTATCTAGAAAAACAAAAGCTATAATTGCCTTATATTTGTTATTATGAGAATGTATCAAATAACAAGTAGAATATATATAGGAATCCCTCATTATAAGAATGATATTTGATCATCATACTGGATTTATAAAATGATATACATTACATGTAATTACCCATATCTATAACTTTATCCATGCCATTTCCAACCCTGAGATGCGTCATACGTTCTTTCAGTTTGGCAATCAATTTCTCCTGCACAGACTCCTGCACCAGTAGCCTTGAACCTGCACTACAAACCTGCAAAGTAGAAATGTTGAGATATGATAACGAGAAAAAGTTGCCTTATTCACAGTTCATTCATTCCTGGTTTTAATTTTTGGGCTGATATAAAGATGGCAGTAGAGGTAGAATCCTATAAATAAACACATATTGATCGGCCTGCCATCTTTATCTCAAAATTATTTCTATTGCCCTTTTAGCATTATTGAAGCAAGGCATTAAATAACAAAATGACACACTTTGTTATATTTAATTGACATTTTTTGCTGGTGATACAAAAAGCATAAGCACGCCCGGTGATCGTGAAAATGGGACGGAGGGGGGAGCAGGCAATTTCCGCTAGAAAATTCAACAAATCTGGTAAAATTATTTTTTCAAGACAGAGTTTACGATTGAATTGCAAATTGAATAAGCGCACGGTATGATAAAATATGTTAGGTATTCTAGGATTATTTTTCAACCGATACTCTTTTAAGATATAAGATCTATTAAAAAAGGCGCAACGCAACCAACGTGCAAAAGTCAAAGTTTTTGCTATAAATCAAGCAACAATGGACTACACGACCTGTAATAAATACTTGTAAGTGATGTTATCATAACTAAATTAATGTCATTGCTGAATTTCCATACGTAAAATAAAAAATAATCGAAAATAATTAAAATGGGATGGAGGGGGGGAGGCGACGGAGGGGGGGAGTAATAATTCTATAAAGTGAAACAACTTCACACGAATTCTTGTATTTGAAAATGAACTCATTAACTTAGTAAGAAACTGGATGATATACCCCTGGAGACTGAAAAATGGGGACATTTGGAGTAAAAGGACTTAAAGTCGGGAAACATCACTAATCATGTCTTATATACATATTGCTCCCCCCCTCCCCCCCCCCCTCCCCCCCCCCCTCCGTCCCAAATTCATTAGTTTCGATTATTTTTTATTTCACATATGGAAACTTATTTTATAAATTCAGCAAAGACATTAATTTAGTTATGATAACATCACTTACAAGTATTTATTACAGGTCGTCCAGACCATTGTTGCTTGATTTATAGCAAAAACGTTGATTTGTGCCTGTTGATGGCCTTGCGCCTTTTTTAATAGATCTCATACCTTAGATGCGTATCGTTTCAGAAAAAATCCCAAAAAACCTAACATATTCTACCATACCAAGCGCCTATCCATTTAGCAATTCAATAATAAACTTTTTCTTGAAAAAATAAATCTTGCAGATTTGTTGAATTTCCTAGCAGAAATTGCCTGCTCCCCCCCCTCCGTCCCATATTCACGATCACCGGGCGTGTAAGTTTGAATAAGAAAATGGCTTAATGCGTTTAGATGAGAAGGATGTAAAGAATTGGAACGTCAGGCATTACATGTGAATACAAGGCATTAACATGCAAAATGTCACCACCTTCCATTTGTTACAGACATAAACCACCAAACACCAACCCCTGAATGCCAACCACCACAACAGACACAAAAAAAGTTGGAGACTAAGAATATGTCTCCACTTTTGGTAATTCAAGTAATTCACATATGCTTGTATGTAGTATACAGGAAAAAGAATGGAAAAATAGAGTACAAAACCATGAACTGGATGAAGAGTAATGAAAACGAGGTCCAAAATTGCTTGTATTATGTGGCATGACACCCCCCCCCCCTCCCCTTATTATAAACCAGATGAAACAACACATGACCCTGATGTGACATCTTTCTATAAGATAACAGTTAAATTAACCCAATAATAATAGCACAAGGGTGAAAAATAAGAGCAATCAAAGAAAAGGCTACCCTGAGACATAAAGCCTGGTATCGTACTATCTATTTAAAGTTAACAATTAGCCATTTCTCTATCACAAAAAGAACAAGGCATTAACATGACAAAATGTCACCACCTATTTGCTCACGATATCATTATTTCAATCTTAAGTCAGATTTGAATTTCTGAGAACTTGTAGATGATTTTGAAAAAAATTGGTCAATTTGAAGCAAGTAGAAAAAATACCTTTTTTGAACCTGAGAAGGTCATTGAAGGTGAAATCTCACATCTAAAGTCAGATTTGAACTTCTGAGAACTTGTAGATGATTTTGAAAAAAAGAATTGGTCAATTTGAACCAAGTTGAAAAAAGACCTTTTTGACCTTGAGAAGGTCATTGAAAGTCAAATCTTTTTTGACCATGAGATTGTAACTGAAGGTCAAATCTATATTCAGATTTGAACTACTGATAATGAACTACTGACAATCGTGATAATGACGCCTTTATCGTGAGTATTTATACAAAATCTTTTCCTCAATTGTTCACCAGCATTTATCCTCTCATTTTAGTTCAAAACATCACCAGGGACATCGAAACAACCCATGATTGCTTTTTATGGAGAGATCATGGTTTAAGTGTAATGGTGCAACACCAGCAGTCTATATAGAGCTCGGTCGTTTCCCCCTCTGTCTTCACTTATATTCAATTCATTAATTATTGGAGACAAACTGTGCCTTGTTGACCTACTTTTTCAATTTTCCAACAAGGCATTAACATGCAAAATGTCACAACCTGCCATTTGTTACAAATGCCAAACATTTAATGCCAAACACCAACCACCAAACACCATCCACTTCTGGTGGTAACATAAGAACTGAACGCCAATAATTTGGTGAATTGTGACAATCATGTTGTCAACCTTAGTTGTGAATACATGCTGAGAACCATTATTGCCAAGGAATTCAAAATATGAACTTATTATGATCCATACAGGTTCAAAGTAACAGTGATACATTTTATCATGCTCTCTGATAGCAATATCATATCCAAGATATGTAGGAATTATTTTTATCCTGATACAGTAAGAATGTGAAACCAATCCTTTTTTACTAAGAACACAGACAAAGCAATAGGAGTGTCTTACACAGGAGCTGCATGCCAGAACAAGAAACTTTGATGAACATCGATCAATAAAATTCTTCAACAGACAACATATCTGATTCTGAATATTAAACAAATTTACAATAAAGATACAAATTACAGAATATAAGGGCATGCCTGCCATTCCATCAATCAAGAACAAGTCTAAGTAGCTTGTTTCCTTTTGTGATAATCATGTAACTGCATACATATCATCTAATACATGCTCAATTATATAATGATAACGTGAACTTATAAATAGATTTACTTCTCTACAATATAGCACAGACTAATCAATTTGTCCTGTAACAACACCTAAAGAGACAATATAGGATATTTCAATCTAATAGAATACATACCATCAATTGATTAATTATGTAAAACTACATTACATACAAATTGTTATTCAAATTTTTTCATGTTTTTAATCATGAGAACAATAATATGTGACTATAAATAATTCAGATCATGCTGTGATGAATTGAAATAACATGTATATATCACGCTCACAAATTAAAAACCAGCTTTTCAAAATTCTGATACTCATCACATGTCTCAAAATTGACAAACTCAGATTTATGCTTAAAGTTCCCGTCTAAAGTTTGAAAATATTTTTTTATCATTCATTTACTATTTGTCAGGACTTAAAAAGTGATTTTAGAGATTTTTGAACAAAAAATTTTTTTTGAAAAAAAGTTGTGAGCATTTCATTTCTCAAATATTCAAATTTCCCGCCATTTTTCAAAAAAAGTTGAAATTTCTTAATCATCAAATATTTCTTAATGCATTTCAAAAAAGATTATATTTTTAACACCAATGCAAAGATTGAACAAAAGACACACTATTTCAATAATAAAATGTCATATTTAATGGGCCACTTCAATGTTTTAGCTTATCAAAAATATTTTGAAACATTAGTGATGTCACTAAGGTAACAAAAACTTTTTGAAAAAAATTGAATTTTTTTTTTCGATGTCAATCTTTTCTAAATATGCTAGACTTTCATAAAAAACCAATGTTGATTGTCTAACCAGGTTAAAAGGAAGAATAAATTATGTTTTAGATATCATTGTACCATTGGTTTCTTTGAGAACTAAAATTTTGAAATGCATTTTTCTCAGAACCATTTTCATGCACTGATAAGTTCATTTCTCGCTTGTTTATCAACCGATTTTCTTAATTTTTTCGGCAAAAAACATAGGAGGATGTATGCTATGCATTGGTATGAATTGTGGCTAATTAGAAGATATGAGTGACCTCTAAAAGTTGGTTTTAAATAAATCCAAAAATTTTGGAACAAAAAGTCTATCAAAAACCACATTTTGAAATTTTTAAAAAAAGTTTCACATATCACACTTTCATAACATTGGGTAAGACTACAATATAAGCCAAAGTGGTTTAAACTTTACATGGGGCCTTTAAGTCACATTTGCTCAGATTTATCGGCCGGTGCCCAGCCGATTGATTATTTTGTTAAAAATTGCATTCAGTTTTGAACGGAGCAAATGTGCTCAGGCATAAGCACTAATTTCATCGAATCGGTGAGAGTTTGTTCTCTGATTGCTAAATGAAAGTCATAGGTGTAGCGCTATAATTATGAGTAGTACCCCACCACAGGTCGGGGACATGAGTTGAGTGAAGCCAAAAACGAGAGTTCTGGGGGGTCTGAAAATTTTGAAGTTAAGTTGTATTTGGAGTGTATTTACAGCCATCTGGTATGCCTATGCTCACCAGGCATACTGGGCGCTATGCCTATGTAAGTACATGTAGTATTGCATTAAGGCCCATTACATAACCCCCCCCCACTGACATTCACAGGAGATGGAAGGGGAAGGCTATGAGGTAATGGTGCAAGGCTACTCTGCAACCAAAGCTCTTATTCCTAAACTCGAGGTCCTGGAGTTCATATCCTGTAATATCCCTTGGAGAACAAGCATTAGATAAAGAGAGACACTGATAAATCAGAATATCAGGTAGTAAGTATTATACCACTCTAAGTCCAATTACAGTTGTATAACATGGGTCTATAACAACGATATACAGTGGAGAGTGGTATATCGTCATCGTATACAACTCCTCCGTATACACTCCAGCATATACCACTGTAGAGGTGCATTCTGGGAACTAATGAGTAAAAAAATCATGAAAATTTTCATGATTTCCTAGAATCAAGTGACGTCATAAATGGTTCCGGCATGATTTGCTAGAATCAAGCCACGTCATAAATGTTTCGAGATCAACATCAGCATTATTGAGTTGGCTATGGGATATTTTTATGTTATGATTGTGTTCGAATCAACTGTAATTGAACTTAGAGTAGACTAGAGTGGCATAATAAGATTATACATGTATAATGGTTCATTCTGTATATCGTGCATTTTATACTCTCGTGAGAATATAATATATTCACTCGTTCACTACGCTCACTTGTGAATATATCATATACTCACTCGAGTATAAACACGATATACAGAAAGAACCATTATATAACCTCATATTATATCATCGCGATAGCCACGTCCGTTTGTCTTATCCTTCCAAAGTGACAGTGATTTAACGTGCAGTTATATTCGTTCCTCAGCCAGCTTTATCCACGGGCGAATCAAAAGACGCTTTTCAACTATGTCATCATGATTGACATATTTCTATGGGTTGCCAATCCATCTTAATAAATTGGACCAATCATATAACATATAATAATCATATTTCTCTCGCAAACGGCAGATAAGGGGGCTCTGGCTTACCAGAATGGTATTATATCAGTTATATGATAACCCTAATTATGATACAGAAACCTAGGCACTATCTATCAAGTATCTCTACTGTAGACCCTGGGTTCAAAGCTCTATGTTCCTTAGTTTATAAATAGATGAACTCCTTGAGTTGTTTCATCCTAGGTTCCTCTTACAGATCAAAGCTACAGGGAAGGGGAAAATCCCCAGAATTCATTGGTGAACATATCATATCACCATATAAAGGTAAACCTCTATCATATTTATCTTAACGTAGAAATAGGTTCATTTATGAAATCTGGGATATTCCTTTTGCAACAGGGGTAACAGAATTTCAATTTTGCATCAAAGCTACTTCCTCATTCTTCAAATCAAAATATACATTTCCTCAACCATATACTGTAGGCTACCTCTATTTAATTTGACGGCTGTTTTAATTTCGCAGATCTGCCAAATTGTTAAAGTGTGCCAAATTAAATAACTGCAAAATTCAAAATTTCACATTTCAAATATGTATTATATACATTTCATACATATTGCAAGTCCAACAAATTAAATAGCCACCAAATGTTCAAAACAGCAAATCTGCAAAAATAATTAGCACTAAATTAAGTAGAAGTGCAGTAGTCATTATGTGAAGCAAGTGTTGAAGAGTGATTTACTGTAGACCTGGCATGTTTGCAGCAGGCCCGTAGCCAGGGGGGTTCGCAGGGTTCGGGCAACCCCCCCCCCTGGCCAAAAATTCTTTCAAAATCATGCAGTTTTCACCTTTTTGAGCACTTCTCAAGGGATTTTAGCCATATTTGGGCCAAAATAAATGTGAACCCCCATTGGAAATTTTTGAAAACTTGGCAAATCCTGGCTATGGGCCTGTGCAGAATCATTAATATTCAGTATTGCAGTAACAAAATAAATACTATAAATAATATGATGTTTGAATTGAAGTATTGATATTTATACAAATGTATTTGTTTCAATAAACTGCTTGAGCAAGATTAACAGTTTAGTTTAATGAATATTATTAGATATTTTCTAGTTTTTTAAGTTCCTATAGTAGTTCAAATATGGTCACACCATGTAACAGTACAGACTGTGTACCCTTTGCATTAATTCAACTTTGCTTCTTAAAAGAAAGCTTCACCTGGTTTAGAACTCCAAGTTCTCTGCACCCAGGGTGTATATAAACAATGTACAAATGAAGTACAAAGCTGAATATAACCAGATCATAAAATATTCGACCTGCCTAATATCCTGCTTGATAAACCCTGTGGCATTTCCACAATGAGCTACTTAGTGTGATTGTTAATAAAATGTTTGATAAAAAGATTGTTTCTGATTGCAATATGATTGTTATTTGCTCCAATAATGCATTGCTTGCCTTCCTGCTTATCTCCTACACCAGATGTTCAACAACCCCAACACCCCCCCCCTTTTTATCTAGACAATTGTCACCCACTCATTCATCCCAAGATTTTCACAAACTCTTGCCCCCCCCCCCCCCCCCCCCATTCAATCCCATATTTATACCAACTGTTAAACCCTCCCCCTTCATTCCCATGTTTACAACAACTGCAACCTCCCCATCCCCCTTTCTAGATTTTCACCAACAGTGAAATTATTTTTATACAATGTGTACTTAACATGATGACAAAATATACATGTATATACCATCATCGTCCATCAGCCATTACCCCAGAAGGAATTACCCCTTGATAAACTTCACACTGCATTACTTTAATATCTAATAAATATTTAATTAAGAGCTCAATAGTATACAGCTAGGCAATGATTAATTAACATGTATGTACAATACATAAGGCCAAATAATCGTAACTAACAATAAGTATTTAACACATACAATTAGATTGGTATACATGTATATCTCTTACGTAATACACATATACATGTAATACATATATTTTATGTTAATTTCTGTTAAAATACACGCTTTAATCATGTTATTTTTAAATCACCATCAAAATGTTTAATTGTACTGCATCATTTTAACTTTGGGGTCTCTGATGCTCTCTTAAATCAGTTTAACTTTTTCGGGGAGAGGGGGGGGGTGACATGTTGATTTTACACCTTCATATTATTTACTGTGTGCTAAACTGATCAAATATAGACATTGATTGATATAACATACATGTACTAAATAGTAAAAGTATATGAGAACAGAATAATGACTGCTATAAAGAGCTGAATGTGAATTAAACTTACTTTTTGCCTCACTATCTAAATTTGCCTCACCTATTCAAATTGCCTCAGCTATCTAAATTTGCCTCACCTCCTATTCATAATGGCCTCACCTATTTAATTTGCCTCACCTCCTTTTCATATTGGCCGCCCCTATTCAAATTGCCTCACCTATTTAATTTGCCTCACCCATCTAAATTTGCCTCACCTCCTATTCATAATGGCCTCACCTATTTCATTTGCCTTACCTATTCTATTTGCCTCACCTATTCAAATTGCCTCACCTATTTAAATTTGCCTCAGCTATCTAAATTTGCCTCACCTCCTATTCATAATGGACTCACCTATTTCATTTGCCTTACCTATTCTATTTGCCTCACCTATTCAAATTGCCTCACCTATTTAAATTTGCCTCAGCTATCTAAATTTGCCTCACCTCCTATTCATAATGGACTCACCTATTTCATTTGCCTTACCTATTCTATTTGCCTCACCTATTCAAATTGCCTCACCTATTTAAATTTGCCTCAGCTATCTAAATTTGCCTCACCTCCTATTCATAATGGACTCACCTATTTAAATTTGCCTCATCTATTTTCAGACACTGGCTATGCGCTTCATATGTGCACAATGTGTTACTGATTTGCATCTTTTTTAAATTATTGATTGGACATGACTTACAAGTACAAGTAGATGTATGCTAATTACAGGTATGTTTGATTCTGAACCCAGTTCAGACTGAAATCAATCAATAAAAAATATCAAAATTGTTTGAAGGCAAAAACAATTTATATGACTTCAGGGGAAATCATGAAGATTACAGTTATTTACCGAACAGAAGCAATTTCACATTGTTTATCAGAGCAACTGTTGAGCAGAAATGGGAGAAGATTGCACTAAATTGGACATGAGCCAGAAGCAATCGAATCATCTTCACAGCTTACTGTAATGACTATTGCAGTGTACAATACCTACAGAAATACAGATTCTGAATTAGTAATTAGAGTGCAATTAAAGGCGTTAAAGATTGGATAGACTGTGATAAACAGACAGCCTGCAGATGGTTATTAATATTAATTGTTATCTCTCTTTGTTATAACATCTGGACAGGAGAAAAGAAATGGAAATAAAAACATTGATTATGGTACATGTATATGTGAATAAAGCCAACCGAAGCTGTATGTATATATAACCAGATTAGTCTTCAGGAGGTCCATAGGGTTAAAGAGAAAGCAGAAATCTATTATAAGAGCTAAGAGTCCGGGTATTGAGTGCTATATTGAGAGACTGGAAATCAATAGTACAAATACTAGTGGAGATTGCACTGAAAATAAACATGTAAGTACCCTGCTTGCAGAATCTACTTATAAACCATGAAGCTCTCTTTTAAGAAGTAACGCTGAACGAATACAAAGGGTAACATTTAAGCATATCTGCTCAAAGACCCTGCACAAGAGGGTGATAATAATTTCACAACATATAGCCTATGAGTCAATGCTCAAGTCCAGGCATACTATACTAGTTCAGTACATGTAAGCTGTACAAATTGATAGAGCTGATTTTAGCATTATTACAACAGTATGATGCTATATTTTCATTAACCTGGATGCAGTTTGGGATATATAACATACACAAGTAGACTTGCAGCTAGCTAGGATCAAGGAACTTATCAGGCATCAGGAATTAAACATAGCCGATATATACATGCTATAGGTAATATATAATTGTTGTGATTCTTTCATCTTTTTAAAGTTATCTTACCCTTTATCTTTTTCATGTGAACTAACATGAGCTTTTAGTTCAGCTATATGCACTCAGACAAACGACTTATGAAAATTGGCAAAAACATTTTAATGATGTAATTTTAGTATTTATATATAAAGCACTGTTTGTAAGTCTTTTGTAAAATATTAGAAAATTGGCAAAAACATCTTAAGTATGTGATTTTAGTATTTAGTACTATACATATTTAAAGCAGTTTGTTAAAACTTTTGTAAAATATAACAATTACAACATAATTACAGATGATGATAGAAAAATTGGTAAATCAATAAAACAGTTGTTGAAAGCTTCCAACTAAACTAAACTTTTTTACCCCTGACATTGACAATCAAGACCAGGATATAATCAAAATTGGCAAAAACTGATTGAAAGGTCCATGTGCAGTATGGGGACTTCACTTGAAAGAAAACATATTGTTTTAATGAAAACCACTGTATTTATGCCAAGAAAGTACTCATGGTGAAAGATATGACCGTCTAAAATGACTTGTCATACTGCACATGGACCTTTTTGTGGCCTCTGACTGACCTGAATTGTTCAATTTTGCCTTTCAGAAAAAGTCATGTGGAAATCAGAACAATCACTGATGACATCTCTGGGTCCCGTCAGAGGGCACCACAAGAAAACGACTAACAAACAGAAATATGAACGAGACGTCACAAAATCATTTCTTCGTGCAGCACAGTTTGGCAGAACAAAATGCATGGAAACGTTACTTTGTGAATTATGGAATATGCCTTCACAGGAGGTGCTGATGACCCAAAATGCAGCATTACTAACAGCTGCAAAAAATGGACAGTTACGATGTATAAAACTGCTCCTTGATCAAGGTATGCAATGTTTCCATAGTTTCTGTTGGCTTCCTTCCCCTATTCGTAATTTAATATAAACCTGTAGTAGGACATGGGCTTGTCATAATTTCACACGTTGATGAAAATTTTTTGAAACCAAGATTTCTAGATAATTGTACGATTTCAAATATGATATCACTATGACTGAATTTGGATTAAGTATTTTAATGATGTAAATCAAGATTATTTCAACATGCATCTTGTCTACTGTTACATTTCCCACCCCATGCCTACCATTTTGTGACATCTCCCAGCCTATCACTTTGTGGAAATACCACAAGATACACAATTAACCCCCCATATAAAGTTTAAACCATGTTGGTTAATATTATAGTCCTATCCGATGTTATCTAAATTCGCAAATTCAATATATATCTTTCAATTTAACCTAGATTTTGAAGGACTTTTTGTAGAAAAAATTGTAAAATTTCAAACTTCACAGAGAGACTTCAATAAATGACCTCAATGGTATAAATATGTTCCAGGTATCAATGTGAATGTCAACAAAATTGACTGGAACAAGAACACAGCACTGATGCACGCAGCGAGACAAGGCCACACGCAGTGTCTCAAGTACCTCATCTACATGGGGGCAGATCTCAAAGTCCTCAGCGTTAACAATCAGACTGCGTTAGATGTTGCCTGTGAAGAGGGAAAACTGGCTTGTGTTAAAATACTTCTCAAACATGGCGCAGAGGTCAACAAATGGCAAGAGTGTGGTGGAAAAAGTCCACTGATGTATGCCTCAGAGCATGGCCATCCAGAGATTGTACAATTGTTGCTTGATTATGGGGCTATTGTAAATGAAACTGATAGAAACCATATGAATGCATTAGCATATGCAACTGTCAAAGATAACATTAAATGTGTGAAAGTGCTGCTCGCACATAAAGCCGAAGTGAATATTTCATTTGGAAAGTTGAATTCAACGCCACTGCACCATGCAGCCATGAATGGGCAAATGGAGGCTATGGGCATGTTGATAGAGCATGGCGCCTTTTTGGACAAGCTAGACAAAGAAAAGTGGAGTCCACTGATGTATGCATTCGACAAAGAAAACCTGGAGTGCGTTAAGATATTGCTCAAACATGGAGCTAGCCCCAATGTAACGTACCAAGAATTTGATGATAAACGCTCACTCCTGATGCATGCTATTGAACTGAGACACACGTCACGTGTCGAGTTACTTCTATCTGAGGGGGCCAACATTAACCAGACTGATGCTAATGGAGCCACTGCTCTGCTTCACGCTGCCAAACAGTCAAATATTCCCTATATGAGAATGCTTCTTAATAATGGAGCCCATTTAAGTACAACTGCTTGCGACTTCTGTGGTTCAGCCGTCAACCTTTGTTACGACACAGAAGTGTTACATCTTCTTGTATTCTATCTCGGTTGCTTTAAATGCAAATCTGATATTAAGAAGGACCAATTGAAATACCCGCTGCCAGATGAACAGATAGCTGATACAGTGAGTAAAATATTAACAGAAACCATGAGCTTAAGACATCAGGCGAGAATGTCCGCACGTCAGGCTTTAACATCAAAGACACCTGGCATCGGGGAAAAATGTAACAACCCTAGCAAGAATCACATCACTGCTAAATGGTTTAATGAGAGTGTCAACACACTACCATTGCCCAATCAAGTCAAAGAATACATCAAGTTCAAAGAACTATAAACACTAAATTATAAGAATAGAGTTAGTGTATAGTCATAATATTTCCTTGGAATAAGTAAAATACAGGTGTATTTAAAATACATCTAATTTATTACATTGTAAGTACCACAATTTGAGAATTGAATTTCTAAATTAATGATAACACGCCTTTTGTATTATCATGACATTTTCCTATAGTACAAGAGGAACACTCCAAGGTCATATTGAATAGGTAGGTCTATGGGGGGGGGGCTATGATTGAGCACCCTGGGTGAATGTATTGTATTGGTGGAGTAAAGGAAAATATATTGGCGAATCCCGAAAAACCAAAGGTATACATCAGTCAGAGTCTTATAACAAGTTTATGGGTAAACAGTTTAGAGATGTTGATTTACCAAAAATGATATTGTGTGATTATTATATAGTTGGAGCCGGGACTACATGTGATGTAGCATGATTTATGTGTTAAAAATTCTAGACATACCCATGAATTTACCATAGTATTTACATTTTATGATGTTATTTAATTATTTATTTAATTATTTATACAATTACTTATTATAAAATATAATGCTATTTAATGTATTGATTTTACTGGAATGGTGGGAGAGGGCATATAAAGTGTCTGAAAAAGGTTGGTGCCTTTAGACAATGGGATATTGATAAACTTCATGTCACCATAACATATGTTTACATAAAAATGTATTTTATATTAATATATTTCAGGGATGGTTTGTTAATTTTAATGACTTTTAAATTGTTGATTTTATTATAGATGTATGTAATTAAATCACGGTACATTGCACTCAGTATAACTTAAACTACCTGTCACTAAAATATATATCTTAACACTGTAATTTACATACAGGATGATATGAAAAATAATTTGTGTTTTAGCCAAAATTTATATCTTACAATATAATTAGGAAGACACCATACAGGTTGACTGGACAAAACAGTCAGTGGGACTTTATGTCAAATACAGTTAGACCTGTGTAGATTGAACGTTTTTTTGCCGAGAAAAAACATTCAGTGTTGGGAGGTGTTCACTACAGAGGGAAATTTATACAGAAGTTGGTAGAGTATTTGTGGGGGAAGAGTGTCCACTAGAGACAGGTGTATACTATAGAGGTGTTCACTAAAACAGGTTTTACTGTATTTCAGTATATCAGATATGTTCACAGCATCTTCATTTTGCACCTTTAACCTTTGTATTTTGAAGTTATAACACCCTATGTCTAGAAAAGTTAAAGGTTTGGAGAGGGGTCTTCTCGACTAAACAACTCTACATTTATGACTAAGACCATTCTATTAATTATTTATTTTTAGTTTCAACTCGAATATGACACTTTTATGTATTATTCAAGTCAAATTTAATTTTGAAATGGTTAGACTTGATAAATTGTAGAAACAATAGAGCCAAAATGTTAACTCAAAATTTGAAGAATTCATAGATGTTCAGTTGCATACAATACAATTGCATACAATACAAAGTGTACAATACAAGGTTTTTCACAATGGGAGTTTATTGTTGTGTTTAGTTCTCTATATAATCCTTTAAATATGTATACAGATTAGATTAGAACTGCCGCATACACATTATAACATATTTACTCCTATTAAAATTTGTATAAAGCACCCCTCTCCTATTCTCTCTCCCTCCCTCTTTCTTCTATCCCCCAATATTGATCCCAAAACCTCAACGTCTGCTGATGCTTGAATGGGAGGTTAATACAATTTTTATGAGTACAGGGGCAATTTTCCATGTTTTGCTTATGCTGGGAGTTTTTGTGCCATTCAGCTGAAGCCCTACCCCACGCGCAGGCCGCAGAGTCTAGTTATAAACTACACTCTGCCTAGTATAGACTATATTTCAGTTTAGCAGCCCCGCCCCGAAGATTGGTGTGCCTGTGACAGGCCGGGTAATAAATAATTTCAAATCTACCACGCTGATCCTTTCTCAACCAATCAGCAAAGTGGAAGGAACACATGCAAAATACGTGCTCATCAACTATGGGGGGATGTCAGAGGAAATGACCATATAGAAAGTCGTCCATATTTCAATGACGAACTCTGATTGGCTCAGTGAGATCAGAGATTTATTGTAATATGAAAGAGTGAAGACGAAGCTCTCTTTTAAGACGGGAAGTCGAACGAATGCAAAGGGTACTGAAGCCCTGGCATGAAAAATGGCCAAATTGTTAGGTGATGCCACAGTTTTTTTTTGTTTTTTTTTATTCATTTTACAAATACATATACAATACATAAACATTGTACACTTGTAGTGGCTTTGCTGAAGGCATTATCAGCCACTTGATTAATAATTGCAGGGTGAAGAAAAAATAAAAAATAAAATAAGAACTCGAGAGTGAAGTGAGTGGTGGCAGAGAAACCTACACATTTGCACATTTTTCTAAAAATGTCACAGTAAGGTATCCACATCAACTATATCCCACTCCAGAAGGAGAAGCTATTATAATCCTTTCATTAAGCTAACGGTTTTGACAATAATTGATGCAAGAGATGACGCAATCCAGGGACTGTCAATTGTAACAATAACATTTGTTTGTGCTGGTTATGAAATTAATGTCTATCGATTTATATGTATATACATACATTGAACTTAATGTTATGCTATGTTATGTTATGTATACATAATACCTAGCAATGCTATTATATTCAAGCCAATGTAAAATAGGCAATATATGAGTCCTATGACTACACTATACAAACCTGCATAGCCCTATTTCACTTATTTATATACCGGATATAATTTAGATGGCAACCTTATATGATGAACATTTTAATAAATTCTACCAAATTCTTATCCCCTGGTATGTGTGTGTTACATCAAAAACACAAAGTAACCCTAAGGTAAGTTATACATCAAATCCATTAAATATAGATCGTTTCTTCTGATTAAGCCCTCTATAATGCTTTTCTTTGAAAAATGAAATACCTTAAAATTTCATTATTTCTTGCATTTTCTTTGAAAAATGAAATACCTTAAAATTTCATTATTTCTTGCATTTTCTTTGAAAATTGAAATACCTTAAAATTTCATTATTTCCTGCATTTTGATCCATCAAAGGACAGGAAATTAATTATCGCTAAAATATAAGTTATATAATACAAGTTCATTATTTCCTGCATTTTGATTCGTCAAGGGACAGGAAATGAACTATCGCTAAAAATATGAGTTATATAATACGAGTTTTGCTCACCTGTCCCTGATTGAAATAGATGGCGTCAATGATTCCCTCCACAGCGCTATCAAGGTCTGCCGATTCAAACACAATAATTGGTGATTTCCCACCTAACTCAAGTGATAGTTTCTTGCCCGTACCAGCAGTTAGACGTCTCAGTGTTTGACCAACCTGGAAAAAGACACACACTTTTAAGAATGGAAGTTATTTTTCACATAACTAGTAATATAATTGCTGTTAAGGTAGTTCAACACTTTCACAATGAGAGCTGAAAACAAAAAATTGTCATTTTTCAACATTTAATCAAAATATTTTGATTTTGAACAATATATTCAACCATGACAGGCAAATATCTACACAAAATGTGAAAACATTACCAATTTCATTAATCACTAGCATAAAAACATTTTAATTACATAATGTAAAATAAGCATCATGCAGATCTACCTTAATGTTGTAAAGAAAATGGAAGTGAAGATGTGTGTTACGTTTGAGGCTCAATCATTAACTTTTAATACAGCAAAAACAAACTCAGGCTTATTTTCTTAGTAAAAATAAATTATTTAGCTTTTGTATTTCCTCATATTTATGTGTTTTAACCATTATCACCAACTCAATGATGCCATCTATTTATTTTAATTAACATGAATTACAACATGTTGGAGATACTGGTACTCACCCCTGTTGATCCAGTGAAGGCTACTTTGTCCACATCTACATGCCCCGCTAGCATACTGCCCATGGCTCCACTGCCTGTCACCACATTGAATATATGGATATACTGGTACTTACCCCTGTTGATCCAGTGAAGGCTACTTTGTCCACATCTACATGCCCTGCAAGCATACTGCCCATGGCTCCACTGCCTGTCACCACATTGAATATATGGATATACTGGTACTCACCCCTGTTGATCCAGTGAAGGCTACTTTGTCCACATCTACATGCCCTGCAAGCATACTGCCCATGGCTCCACTGCCTGTCACCACATTGAATATATGGATATACTGGTACTTACCCCTGTTGATCCAGTGAAGGCTACTTTGTCCACATCTACATGCCCTGCTAGCATACTGCCCATGGCTCCACTGCCTGTCACCACATTGAATACACCTGGAGCAGAAAACATGATATCAATTTTTCTGAGTTCACCATTTTTTGAAGGTTGAATTCTGAGCTATCAATTTCCACAATTATCCCTGCAAAAGAGATGAGAGGAAACAAAAATTTCCAAAGGAGTTGGGTAAACTAGCAACAGAGAGTGCCCCAATTGAAGTGTGAAAAAACTTTTTTAAGAATAGGAGAAAAAAACATCAGAAATGCATAGATTGAAGTCTATATTTTAGGGTAGTATTTTTAAAAAAAATTTAGAAAAAATTGTTACGGTGTCTGGAGACCTTCAAAGAGGGTGGGGGCCAGAAGGAAAAAAAATCACATATTTTGCAACCCTCTTGATGAATTCCAATTTACTCAGCTATGAATGAATGTTTTTGATTTATCTGTCCAGGATTATGTAAATATATATTTATTTGATCCATACATACAATTGATTTAAACAATATGTACAGTTTAGAGGTAAGTAAAGCTTTGAAAGGACATTTCATGCTGAGTCTGGGTGACATTTTTATTCACTGGAGGTAGTAATCCTTTGAGTGTTTTCACATAGAGCATAACAAGTCTCCACTCTAATAAGTGCTTCTTTAGTTACATAAATGTTATATTGTTGCATACAAAGAATAATTTTGATGGAGACTTATTATGCTCGATGTGAATTTTAGAACTTCATAGAAAGTTTTTTGTTGATTATTCAAAATGGCCAAATGCTATTCATGCTGCATATGTAGGAAGCAGGTAAATTCTCCTAGAAAACGGAGAAAGGTTACAGAAGATTTAGCTTCACAAGTCAAGAATGCCAAAGTTGGACAGATAATATGCAATAACCTCTGCAAGGGCATTATAAAATTTTAGATGCTAAAATACCTGAAACATCAAGTGGTTATATGTGCACAACATCTGAATCAGGTAGTTCAAGTGATGATGAGTAAAACTAATCAGAAAATGTTTCATTGTTATTTCATTAACAAGCCAATGATGAAATGTGTTGAGATTTTAGATGTTTTTCACCTTTTAGGTGATCTCCAAGAAGTGATTATCTCCGTTATCTGTACTTACTGTTTCCTAGACATTATCAGAATGATTGATAATAACTTAATAGTTGCTTTAAAATTATGTTGAATAATATCATTATGTTGAATTATAATATATACAGTGTGTGTTTTAGTGTGTGGTTTTTAGCATACCCTATGTCGCTAACAGGAAGCAGGACATATTTCTCATAAAAAATAAACATTACTTTACGAGTCAAATCATGAAATGTACATTCTGAATTTAAATGAATTAAAAATAATAAAGTATTTTCATTATTTTAGGTACTTTTGTTCTCTCAGTGTTGCGTGGGAAGGGCGGAATATATTAATATAAATATCTCATTATTGGCAAATTGCCAATTTACTATATATTGTAATTCCAACCTCTATGAGACTAAATTCCTACAGATATTTGTGATATTTTAACAAAAAAGGTATATTTTGGTAGAAAATAATGAATTTTTTTAATTTGACCTTGACCTGGGGAATATGACCTTGACCTAAATTTTCATACATTTTTGAAACACATATATCACATAGATTGATAAAATAAAGAGAAAACTTGAAAATCAGGTGGGGCTTAAAATGGCCTTGTTTACCCAACTCCTTTAATTATTTATATAAATATTTATTAAAATATGTCTAAGTCAACAATATAGGGGCAAAGAATTTAACTCATGTCATATAAAGGTAACAGAAGGGAAAGAGATGTGTTGAGTGTTAAGTTAATTAGAAACATCATTGATTTCTATACAATTTTGACCCTAATTACTGATTTATAGCATTTAAAAGTGAAGAGATTCATTTGAAGTCAAACTAGTTTCTCAGGAGTATAAACTAGACAATGACAACTCCCCGGAGTAGCAAATCCCAACGAACAAAATATCAATTACCGAATTCCAATCAATTATACTCATTACTTTGGTTAAAATTGAAAAATTTAGATTTTAGAATTGCGAATTCCTGCAAAGCAGCCATTTTGAATTTTCTGAGGTACAAATCTGAAGAATAATACCATAATTGTGATCCACTCCAAAATTCCTTCAATTTGAGTATAATATAGCCATACTTTGAAGGGATCGAAAAATTATTGCGAAATCGTACATTAGACTGCCATTTTGAATTTTATGAGGCTCGAATCAGAAAAAGATACAATATTTGCAATCTACTCTTAATTGCCTTTCATTTGAGTATAATAAAGCTATACTTCAGAAAGATCTAAAAATTAGCGAAAATTACTGTTTTCCTTACCCCCCATATACGGCCCCTGGGGGTCAGGATGAAAAACACAGAATATATGTGAAATAGATAGATGTTGCGAATATACTACCAAAAGTTCAAACAATAATATTAATTACTTTGGTTTAAAATGAAAAATTTATGGTTTTTGCGAAAAAGTCCCGTCATTTTTAAAGCGGCGGCCATCTTGAAAATTTTTTTTTGCGTACAACTATTCACCAGTATACATCTTTCCACTAAATATGAAGAAAATCCGTCAACTCGTATTTGAGTTATCTTCCGGACGGACGGACGGACTGACGGACTGACTGACTGACTGACAGACTGACGGACGGAGGGCTTCACTATATCCCTACCGAACTTCGTTCGTTGGGATAATAATTTGAACTTGAGTGACATCTTTTTTATAATTTGAAGTTTAAAAGCGTTTAATCAATCAAACCTGGAGGTAGGCCTGCCTCAGCACAAATCTCCGCGAACAATAATGCTGACAATCTGGTATAGGTGGCAGGTTTGAGAACGACAGTATTTCCCATTGCGAGAGCTGGTGCAACTTTCCAAGTCAGCAGCATGAGAGGAAAATTCCATGGTACTATAGCTCCAATAACACCTTGAGGAAAATTGAAATGCAAAATGATAAAATAATGTGTAAAAACAATCTAGATGAAAGTCAGTACCACAAAAAATTTGAAAAATACTATTTTATAAGATCCTGCATTTCAAATACAAAGCATGTGAATATTTCTATAATTTAAGCCGCCGAAGTGGTTTTAACTTTATATGGGGCCTTTAATAATCTGCTTTTTAACCTACCAACTGATTTCCATTCTCTCATTTCTGTATCCATCAACTGTGCCCATCCAGCGTGGTGGTAAAAATGGCGGACAACAAGTGCAATGTCAGCATCTCTAGTTTCACGGAAAGGTTTCCCATTATCCAGGCTCTCGACCACACTGATCAGTCTGTGGTGTTTTTGTACATGTCTCGCAATGCTAGAATGTAATCAACATGCTTTTGTCCTGTGTATGTAAACAAGATTTGATTTATATGACACCCGTCCACACGCCGCATCGCCCATCAGCACAAGATGACGGCAATATAGGATTTTTTCAAAGTTTGATGAAAATACAAAAAATTGGGTCGTGTTAAGGTCAGTGATACAATGAAACTGATTTTTTTGTGTAGATTGATGGAAAGGTACTTATCAATTATCCTGTAGAGATAATTATATGCATGGCCCAAACATGGCATATGATAACTAACCTATACAGATGCCTGACCCGAGCATTGCATGATTACTCACCTTTAGAAATATCTGGCAGATCTGCCCTAAGCATATCAAAATAACTTGTCTATACAGATGCCTGACCGAGCATGGCAGGATAACTCACCTATACAAAAGCCTGACCCGAGAATGGCATGATTACTCACCTTTAGAAATATCTGGCAGAATAGCTAGAGATATATCTGCCCTAAGCATATCACAATAACTCACCTATACAAAAGCCTGACCCGAGAATGGCATGATTACTCACCATTAGAAAAGTCTGGCAGAATAACTAGAGATATACAGTTTCTGGCCCAAGCATATCACAATAACTTACCTATAAAGATGCCTGGCCCGAGCATGGCAGGATAATTTACTCCAAGACTCATAGGCTTTTCTAGATGACTTTACAGCAATGTCAACATCTTCCTGTGTGGCTTGACATGTAGCTGCGAGAACTTCCCCTGCAATAAACCAGAACTGCCATTAGTAACGCTTAAAGCATTATGGTATATAGTAAAACCTGTCTTAGTGAACACCTCCCTCTAGTGAACACCTGTGTTTAGTGAACACTGCTTCAAAACACATTTTACATTGACTCCTATATAAAATCCTCTCTCTGTTGTGAACACTCAGCTACAGTGAACACTTTTTGGGCTTCATAGGTGTTCACCATAGTTATACTATAGTACTATTTAACACAAATCTTATCCTGTATATTTCTTCATATGAAGTAAAACAATTAAGAAATCAGGCCAAAATACATTCAATTCACAAAAGATAATACTATACCATATTAATTTCTGTGTAAGAAATATAGACCATAGGACAAGGTGTTTGTTTGTAAATAAAAGATTCCTATGACAGTTTCTGATTCTTGACTATTTTTCGTCTGGGAAGTTGTAATAATTTCCTATATCTCGACTTTGGAGGTCATTAAAATAAAGTCAAATCTCACCAGTAGCTGGGTTTTTGGTCTGGTATGATTTCCTGCCTTCTGGTTTCACCCACTTGTTATCTATGAACAGGCCAAAGTCACGCTTGTGGTCATCTAACCAAGCCTGAAACATATGCATGGTTTTACGTGAATGTTGTACATAACAGCACATCTAGATAGATGATTAACTGATGCATGAAATTACTCATAACTTCTCAATGTGGGATTTCAAATTCAGTGAGAATAAGCAAAAATTATGGTGATTGGAAAGAAAAATGGTAAGAAAATGGAATCTTTTAAACTTATTCTCACTTGTATATAAGATACTTGCCAATTTTTGATCCTGGTGTTCAAGAAGTTAAAGGAATATTCCATACAACATTTTCTGCCTTTAGAATATGGACATATCTATTGGTCTTGCTCAAAGACTGTATCCACCCCCCCCCCCCCCCACGCCACCTTCACTCTCTTTACCTGGCAATATACAGAGAGAGAAGGATAAAGGGGGGGGGGGGAGTACAGGGTCTTTTAAGCAAGACAAATATCTAGGGACATAACATCCACCTATACCTGAGCTACGTTGGGTGCCTCAGGTGCAGGACCATAAGACATGCTCTCAAATATGGAAGTGATGGAGTTCAGATCGCTAGCTTGCTGCTGTCCCGACATCATTCAGATCAAGTCTTATTCTGAAAATGCAATACAAAATGTCACAAGATTTTCCATTGAAAAGTGGATGTCGCAATCTAATGTGAAGGAAAGAATGGCTGATAGAACAGTTTCAACGTTATCCGATTTTGTTGAAAAAAAATCGGTGAACTACCAGCACCATTTGTACACTCATGTGAAAGGGACATTGTGATTTGAGATTAACATTCTTGAAAAAAGAAACATCCTAAGGTACTCCCTGGGAAGTAAGCCTGTTGGGTACACTGTATTCAAACTCTGGCATGAGTTGTAAGCTCATAGGCTGAACTCTCAGATATCAGTATGTTCTTGTATCAATCTATAACATTTCAATATGTTCCCACACCAGCAGTAACGTGTAAATAACACCCCAAAGCCATACCAAATGTCTAATAAATAGTAGAGGTGTCACACCAACCCGAAGTCATCCCAAATCTCGGGTCTGAAGGCTCGGGTCGGGTCACGAACAGCGTTGCTTGTCTGGATAAGATATTTCAAAATATAATTTTTGAAAGAACCTAAAGCTCAACGGATCCACCATTTATACATCTCACTCAGCAGAAAAATCGAGGCCAGTAAATGAAATTCTACCTAGCTAAATTTAAATATATATTATAGACTATATAACAAAATGGAGACCCTATCTGTTGCAAGACTAACGCCTGGCGTAACCGTCACTATGTTATTTAGTGTTTTTTAAGTAGTGCAAGGATCCTGCCATGACCGTGGTAATGTTATAGTGAAAGCCTGGTATAACCGCGACAATGCTGTATTATATTGCAATGCCTGCCATGACCGTGACAATGTAATATAGTTCTGCAAGGCTTGGTATGACCGTAACAATGTAATATAGTACTGCAAGGCCTGGCATGACCGTGACAATGTAATATAGTATTGCAAGTTCAGGTATGAGAGTGGTAATTTAGAAATTTACGATTAGGACTGCTATTACCGTGACAATGTGTATTGCAAAGCCTGGCATGACCATGGCAATGTAATATAGTATTGCAAGGCTTGGTATGACCGCCATGGCAATGAGATATAGTATTCCAAGTTCGGGTATGAGAGTGGTAATGTAGAAATTTATGATTGCTATAATTGACCGTGACAATGTGTATTTGAAAACCTGGCATGACCATGACAATGTATTATGGGATCGCAAAGCCTGGTATGACCGTGACAATGTAATATAGTATTGCAAGGCAAGGTATGAGGGTGGTAATGTAGAGATTTAGGCTTAGTTCTACTATGACCGTTATAATGTATTGCAATGACTAGTAAATATGTATGACATTAATGCCAGGAATATCCTTAACAATTTTAAGTGATCCTCATTACAATTAAACAGTTTAATACTATGATCATGGTGTTTAACTACTGTACCTTAATCATGTCAAAATCAAAATTACTACTATACATTAATATTCACATTCGCTTATAAACCACAATAAAGGCTACGGTCGCGCCAGGCTTCCACGATAACACTTCCAGGGTCATGACAGGCCTTGCAATAGAATACAGCATTGTCACGGTTATACCAGCCTGTCACGGTTATACCAGGCTTACACGATAACACTTCCACGGTCATGGCAGGATCCTTGCGCTACTTAAAAAACACTGATTAACATGGTGACGGTTGTGGCAGGCGTAAGTCTTGCAATAGATAGCATGTGACAAAATGTATACATCAAAGTACGTTTCATCTAATTATGCCGTAACAACTGTGCGTGTGTCACCATGGTTTACAAATGTTGAATAACAGAGCAGCTGAAACAATCACTCAAAACCGGAATATGGATAAGGCTTTGGACCTACATGTAAGTAACCCCCCCCCCTCCCTTGCCTGCTGTGTTGAAGTGGCTGATACCAAACTGACAAAAAATACCGTGAAAAGCATTAGTATTAATCAACAGTTTTAGATGCAGATTACAGAAATGTGTATACCTAAAAATTCAGGAAGGTTTTTATTGCGAAAAATAAAGTATTTAACGCTGCAACAGAGAAAATATTAAAACTTTAAAGAAAGTTAAAAACACAAGTTACACTGACCTTGACTTATGAGTGACGTCTAAACAGCAAACTCTAATCTAAAACGAAAATCACGAAACATAAAATCCCTGAAATCTAATGAAATATATTTCATAAATTCAGGAATAGTGAACAGGAAAAACCGATAAAATAATAAAAATTACCATATTTTGATTTATTATCGATTCAAAACTGTCTCAGTTTTGTTATTTTTGATTTTTTGCTATAAATGGATTTTGACATTTACATTGACCGTACCAGTTCTACTTTCGCTTTCACTTTGATTTTTGTGCACTAAAAACATGTCGAAGTTTTCTCTAAAATTCACTGACTACGATGCCTTTGGATTCGACTTAGACCATACATTGGCTAAATATAAACTACCTGCATTATTTAAAGTAAGTATCTATATGTATTCATTTAGATTTATTAGAAAAAGTCGACTTTGCATTCATTCAAATTTCAAATTGTTTCAATCATTTGGCAAATGAAGAGTCTAAAAAGTAAAATAAATTCAATTTATTTGCAAATGATTTGCATTGAGCTGGAATTGTCGCATATGCCAATGTTCTAACATCAATTCCTTGACTTGGTATGACATTCCTGACTTATTGATTTGGCATTGTCTTCACCCCAGCAGGCCTGTCAACTTGGGAACACCATGAGTTTACTCACTTCGAGAGCCATGTTAGATTTTGAAACTTATGGCTCTCAAACGGAGAAGTGAACAGCTGATCAATAGTGACCTTTGAAATTGAATTAAGTCGATCCGCGGCTTACTTTTGGTCTCTAACTGTGTCTTACATCAGTATCATCAATCCGTGTAAGTATTGGAGCGCTGGAGTACTTCTTTTTCGATCAAGACTTGTAAATTGTTCATCGAGTTAAAGTTTTACAGACCTATTTCCAATATGGCGGTTTGCTAGGTGCGAGATACGCAACGAACGAAATGAATTTTGAGAATTAGTTAGGTTCGGACAACCTCCGGAGATTTACGAAGATGTCCGAGCAGAAACCGCCATATTGGAATTTGGCAGTAAAACGATTCACTCGACTAACAATTACAAGTCTTGATCGAAAAAGAAGTACTGACAGCGCTCCAATACTTACACGGATTGATGATACTGATGTAAGACACAGTTAGAGACCAAAAGTAAGCCGCGGATCGACTTAATTCGATTTCAAAGGTCACGATCATTGAGCTGTCCAAATGCTCCGTGGGAAAGCTATTATATCAAAATCCAAATAGCTTTCGCAGGAAGTAACCATGAGTGACTTACAAGTGTTGAACTTCAAATTCTGGACACCTTGGCCCAAATCTGAACACCTTGCCCCACAGTTTGAACACCTTGGTTCCAATTTTATTGCATATAATCAAATTTTGAACACCTCTAAATTTTTTGGGTAGGTACGAAATATTTCCATGAAAATGCATGACATATACGGTATCCGTGTGAAAAGTCCGACCCAAATGCGTTGCTTTTTTTTGTCGTTCATTTTTTTGCTGTATCAGTGATCACTTTTTGAAGTTTTTCTTCAAAAACATTTTTGCTTGACAATATTCTGGTAAAATGCGTATTTGAGTGACATATTCTGTCACACAAAAATTACTGGCGTGACTTCAAATTTTCCAGCAAATGAGGAAATTGCGGGACAGTTGGACGGCCTGCCCAAGTCTTCACTCGGTATTTTTATGCTGCATCACCTCCCCTGACATACAGATGTGACATCCCCTCTGATTCTAAATGGATGTTGTACCATCTTCTCCAGGCCGTCCAGCTGTCCTGCAATTTGCATATTTGTCACGCATTTGCCTAAGATAGAATATTTTAAGCAAATAGACATTTTTTATGATTATTGTCAAGCTTCTCTGACTTGATGTGACATCCTGCCCTGACATGATGTGACATCACTCTGATGTGACATCTCCCGTGACATTACCTCTTTCAAAGGTTGGGTTTACAACTTAACATACTAACAGATCAGTCAGCCATTGAAAGATGTAACCATGATGTAAGGGACGCTACCCTTCATTGCTATATAACATTTCATATGTTGCAGATTCATTGTTGTTGTTTTTTCTTTTTGTTGTTACTCGCTATATTGTCTTCTGTTTTGTATAACGCATGGCAACTGAAGATGGATACATGTTTTGATTATCTGTAATGAACGAATAAAAAAATTTTTTAAAAAGTTTTTTTTCTTTACTGACTTGTAGACATTTTAGATAATATTAAAATATATTTTTTAGTTGTGCCACAATGCCTTAGCAGAGTTCCTGGTCAAGGAAAAAGGTTATCATCCAGATTTGCAGAAGCCCTTTGAACTTGACAAGGACTTTTGGTATGTTAATATTTTAAAGTCATATAGTAAACAGGTCCATGGAGTTTCTAACATTGATGTTTAAGTCCACTTAATGCCAAATGCCTTGACTTTCATAGCAGGGATTAAGACTGCCATTTTCAAAAATGGATGCTTTTTAAAAATCAAAGAATAAATGTGTAAAGAATTTTATAGTCTGTGTAGAAATACTTCAGAACCATAAGTCAAAATTTGAAAAAAATCTCATATTATCTAAACTTTGGCAATATGTTGACCAAACACTTTCATTTGTTGAAATACAAATTGCCTAAATGTTTACAATACATGTACATGTAGCTACACTCCTACATTAAATGATGTACAATTTAGACACTTTTTTAATACTTTCGTGTTGATGAACATGTATTTTTATTATACCTTTTTCAGCACTAAAGGATTAATCTTTGACACGGTAAAAGGCAATTTCTTCAAACTAGATGAGAATGGAACAATTCTCAGGTTTGTACCAGATTAACATTTAGAAGATCCCAGGAGAATTTGTTCATATTTCATCAAAATCCTAAATTGTGTGAATGCAAAAACCCGGAAATGTGAGCACTTCCTGTTGATATACGTCCATGGCTGGTACCTGAGGTAATTAGATTTGATTAGGTTTTGCTCTATATGGACTATGATTTCTTATTCCATAATACTACAATCGTATTGTCCCCGGGAAAAAAATCGTATTGGAGCGTATTACATGAAAAAATCTTATTGTCCCTGGGAAAAAAATCGTATTGGAACGTATTAACCTATTTTTGGTTTCTCGGTTATTTTTAACCTTGGCTAATTGATAAAACCAGGCCCGTAGCCCCAGAGGGGGAGCTGGGGGAGCGGAAGCTCCCCCCCCCTGGCCAGAAATTCTTTCAAAATCATGCAGTTTTTCACCATTCTGAGAATTTTTCACACGAAAACCATTATCCATTTTAGAGGAATGTATTATGGAATGAATAGGTTATTTCTGGTCGGGATTGAATATGGGTTTTATTCCTTGGAAAATATGATATTGACCTTGGGAAATATCACATTGTCCCTCGGAATAAAACCCATATTCAATCCCTCCCAGTAAGTAACCTATATATATTGAAAGATTAGCTGTTCTCCTTTTCAAGAAAGGTAATGCACATAATTTTATCGACACCAGAAGCTTTAACTTTTGGCAGTCAATTTGAAAATGTTGAATATTTCCAGAGCAAGTCATGGGACTAGGTTCCTTAGCAATGATGAGATATGTGCCACATATGGGCCAGATAGGCACTGGAAGCAATACTCCAAGCTAGCAGAAACAGTCAATAATCTTGGAGGTTGGTGCATCCTGTATTTATGTACACATGCACATAATGTACATGTATCAGGCCCATAGTGAGGGGGTGGTGAGGCCAAAAATTCTTTCAAAATCCTGCTGTTTTTATCATTCTGATTACTTTTCAAGCAATTTTGGGCCAAAATTGTCAAATTTGAACCCACTGGAATTTTAAGAAATTGAACTCCCCTTGGCAAAACCTGGCTACAGGCTTGATACCTGTATTATTACTTATACTGATAAGAATGAATGAATATTTTTGAATAACATAGATTCTGGTTATGAACATTTCAAACTGTTTAATCTTCAAGCATGGGTTTAATCTAGTACAGTATACATGTAGTAAAGTTCATTTTTTAATGTTTGGTTTTCAACGTGCAAATTATAAACTCCAAACTTTTACAAATTTTATTTTCAGATGAATTTCGGATCTTTGAGAACTACTTTGACATGCCTGGAAAAGTCATTTGTGCTAGAATGGTTGATATATTAGACAGAAAGGTATTTTATGGTTATTTTGAAGTTCATTATCTTGTGTTTTAAATGTGAATCTCCCTCGCTCCCAACATATACATCATTAATTCAACTTTATATTCTATACATTGAAATCAGGGGTATCAGGCCCATAGCCAGGGGGATTTGATGGGAACCCCCCTCCCCCGGCCAAAAAATCTTTCAAAATCATGCAGTTTTTCACCATTCTGAGCACTTTGTAAGTGATTTTGGCCATTTTTTGATCAAAATTGTCACAAGTGAACTCCCCCTAGCCTGGAATTGTTCAAGAGTGAACTCTCCATTGTCATCGCTTGCACTTGTAGCCTAGCTTCTCCCACTCAATTGCCAGAGCGTAAAGTTCTTCTTTGTGAACACATCTTAATCCGATCAATTTTGGCTGATCTTAGAGGCGTTTGGATTAAACAGGTTTTACTGTACCCCCATTCATCTAACCTCTACATATTTACACAATGATCTAAGTGCATCATATATGGTTCCAGGGGGCACCAGAAAAATATGACATCTGGAAGGATGTCTTTGATGGATACAATCATGTCTACAACCCAAAAAATTTCTCAGGTTTGTTTGTTTGTTTATTTGTTTGTTTGTTTGTTGTTTTGTAAGGTAATATGTGTACATGTGAATGTATGATGTCACAATTAATCCATATCAAAAATGTGTTCTTCATATTTTTACTCATTTTTTCTAATATTGTTTTTTCTGTCAATGCAATATTTAATGTTTTGCCATGTAGAATGAACGTAATACAAATATTTCACTCTATTGAGGTGAATACCTGTACATCTTTCACAAGTGATATTCCAAGAAGCCTGAAGGGCAAGTGGAATATCACCTTGTGTAAGTGTCACAGGTATTCGCCGAAAATAATATCACGACTAAGTCGTGACTGGTGAATATCATTTGATATTCAATGAAATCACACGTGTAGAGCATAGACCAATCAGAGAGTGAGTAAACTTTACAAAGGCATACAAAAATCACACAAGCGATGTTTGTTTCAGAGGAAAAAGGAGGTTTTTTCCCAGAAATCAAGTTACATCCAGAGAAATACTTGAACAAATGCAGTGAAGATATTAAACTTTGGCTTAAGAAACTTAAGGAAGGAAATCGTAAAGTTTTTATCCTGACATCATCATACAACGACTTTGCAACACATCTACTTAAATACATTCTAGGGTAAGACAATTTAGCTCTTGGGACTCATATAAGTGGCCGTTTATTTTCATTAAATTTTAATTCTTGGTTATGTACTCCTAACACCAGCTTTGATTTGTGGGTAAATATTAGTTACATACACAGTAAAATCGATCTTATCAAAACACCACTGGAACCAGCCAAAAGTATTTGATTTGGCATGTGTTCATATTTCAAGGTTTTTTCTATGGATGATTACAAAAATGGGACTGAAAAAAAGTTCACATTGAGAGGATTTCAGATTAGAGAGGTGTTTAGATATTCAGGTGGTTTTACTGTAAATATGAACATATATTTTGTTTTCTGTTATAGAGAGAACTGGAGTGATTACATTGATATAAACCTCACATTTGCAAGGAAGCCAGGATTTTTCAATAAAAACAGACCTTTTCTCAGAGTAGGTCAGTAAACATGGTACATGTATAGGGGGTAGGGCTGGTAGTATGGAACGGAATCGGAATGGAACAGGTTTTAGAATTTCGGAATTTAGAATTTTGGACCTAAAGTCAGTGAGGTTTAATTTATATACCAGGTGTGCAATAAGCTCATTAACTCATTGGTAGTTTGTATACATCGATTATGAATGTTGTAAAGACTTTACTGCTTAGTGCTAAAATATCATTTAAGCCAGATATCACATAGAAATGGATTTATTAAAGACAGTTAAATATAAGAAATTAGAAGTTTTTCCTGTTGGATAACTTTAGCTATGGCAGGTGTCTCCCATGCACCCTACTCCACCTATTTTAGAGAACACCCCACCCCCAGCCAAAGTGAAGTAACTTTATTAAATGTAATATATATGTCTTTGAGCAGACCAAGAGCTTGAGAAAGAGCCAGTCCAGGAGCTAAACATGGGCGCCACCTATTCTCAGGGAAATCACAAAATTCTCAAACAATTCCTCAAAAAAGCTACTGGAGTAGATGATCCAAAGGTATAACCAATAACAATCTTTTCATTAATTTTTCCCTTACATTGACCTTTTGAAATGCTCAAATTAATCTCTGTTTCTCCATTTTTTAATGTAGTTGCCTGTAGGTTTTACTTGTTAAAATAGAATTGTATTTCAGGAAATGTCCAAAATGACAAATGATTTGATAGAATTGAAAGAAACAAGTTATTGTTTACTAGGAAATTCAGAAGTGGTGACATATTGTTATAGTCTCCAACACTATTGTGGATAGTGTTTGGTCCATTTGTTACAGACGCCAACTGCCAAACACCAACATCCAAATGAAGTTGGTGTTTGGCAGTCAGTGTCTGTAACAAATGGTAGGATGTTAATACCTTATATGTATTTGCCATGTATCATTCCTTATTTTATTGTAATATTGCAGTGCATTACTGTAGCATTTTGCTAGCAGATACATGTATATACTGTACATGTAATGTGTATACAGATGTATAAAAGGTCATTAACATTAATAAAATTTCTATTGATTGTTCATTGTACAAGTATCATACTGTACATTAATGTTTTAATCGTTGCTTTAGAAATGTTTCATCTCATTTTTAGATTCTATTTTTCGGAGACAGTTTACGCTCAGATGTATTCCCAGCCAAAATGTACGTCAACTGGGATACTGTCGTTGTTTTAGAGGAAATGGAGATTGAGGGCATGCTGGGATTTGATGTCAAAGGTCAAGTACAGTCAGATCGCGAAGATGATGATGAACCTAGAAAAAAGAAGATGAAATATACAGTAAGTTTTTTTCTTAGTATTATAATCATTACATTTTTGTACTTTTAGATTCCTTAAATATGTTAGTGATTGCTACAAAGAAAGAAAATGTGAATACATCCTTATATTGTCAATTTATAAAACCACCAAAATGTGCATGGCCCGTTCTCACCATTTTGAGCACCTTTCGAGATTTTGGGCCAAAATGGTCAAAGAACCCCTTGGAATTTTAAAAAAAGTGCTGCTATGGGCCTAATGTGTTGACATTGACAAAATGGGGCTACTTGGTGCCCCTAACATATAGTTCATGTGGCAAACTCAAGAAGTAGTGGCAGGATCATCTTATACAGGGAACAATATTGTATTACATATACATGTATAACGTTTATTCACATTTGAATGTAATGTAATATAATTTGTATGCAATTAAAATTGATGAGTCCTTTATACTAAAGTAAGGTGACAAAAAAAACTGGAACCCATAAATCATCAAATTTCTCGGAAAGTATTATACCTACATTCTTCATTTCTTCAGGGTAGAAACTAGACTGAATGCATGACAAAATGACACAATAATGAGTACTGTAGCTTAGATATTAATCATGCCATGGACGACAGAAGAAAAGACTTATATTGTGAGAAAGTATATCGAGACAAAATCCTATAAAGCGACACAAACTGCCTATATGAGAGATCACGGGGCAAGAAGAGCCCCTTGAAAGTCACAGATCTTTAGGCTTGTACAGAAGTTTGATTCAGAAGGAACTGAGAAACCAACAAAGAAGATAAGTGATGGTAAACCAACCTATTCGGGGAGAGATAGGTCTGTCAGAACTCAAGACAACTCAACAGTCAACTCAGAACGTTACATCCCTAACGTTCAAAAGTTTCGGAGAGCGCTGGGTAGACGACGTGACTTGAGAAGGGACCCGCAATGGTTCCAACAAGATGGTGCCACACCCCACACCTCAAATGAGTCCATTCGATGGCTTCAGGCTCACTTTGGCGATCAATTAATCAGTCACCATACCCGCCACATCTGCCCCCCCCACTCCCCTGATTGAACCCCCCAGATTTTTATCTGTGGGGGTATCTCAAGGATAATGTGTATACAGATAGTCCACTGACCATTGATGACCTCAAACTCAACATTGGAAGACTAATTAGAGAGATAGACAGAGATTAATGCAGTCGGGTCATTGACAATTTTGCAAGAAGAATCCAGCTCTGCATCCAACATCGTGGTGCACATTTGGAGCACATTATCTAATCGTGCCTCATTTGGAGACTAATTGGGCTAGAATGCTAAAACTTTGACATTGTGTCATACATTCAGTTGACTATACATGTACCAAATAACTAAGCTCAACATGCATCATTGACGAAGTTGTTAAGACTTAACTGGGTTCCAGTTTTTTTTTGTCACCCTGTATTTCAACATCACGGCAATTGGTATTTATAAACATGTCCCACAAATCAACACTGATATCAATGGATATAAAACTGATCTATGTGAAGAACATGGTCTGCAAAATGTCTGTTACATGTATTTGAACATGCGCTCAACACATACGTTTTAATGCTATACATATCTTAAATTCAAAAGCATTTGTCTGACTTTGCCAGATTCTGCCACAATGTATAATATACTAGTATTCAAATAATGAGGGTGTAATATAATTGTGTCAACACCCAGAGTCAATAATTGTGAAATGTTAAAAGCTTATCAAAATAAAATAATTGCAACTGTACTAAGCGGAAAATATAAAATACATAAGTGTAATGCAGAATAGCAATATCTGTCACAGATCTTCGTGTTAATATTTAGCATAAATAAACTGTTTTTCAGAAGTTCAAATCTGACTTTATATTTAAAGACTGACCTTCAATGACCTTTCCAAGATCAAAAAGGTTAAAAAAAGGTCAAAATGAATTTTTTCAACTTGCTTTAAATTGACCCAATTTCTTTTCAAAATCATCTTCAAGTTATGAGAAGTCCAAATCTGGCTTAAGATTTGAGATTTGACCTTTAATAACCTTCTCAAGGTCAAAAAAGTTCAAAATTGTCTTTGTCTGGTTCAAATTGACCAATTTTTTCCAAATCATCTACAAGTTCTCAAAACTTCAACTCTGACTATAGATTTGACCTTAAATTATATCCTCAAGGTCAAAAAAGATTTGACCTTCTCAAGGTCAAAAAGGTCTTTTTCAACTTGCTTCAAATTGACCAATTTTTTTGATTTTTTCTGACCTTCCGGGTCGATCAAAAAGGTATTTTTAACTTGCATCAACTTTCACCAATTTTCATCTACAAGATCTCAGGAATTCAAATCTGACGTAAGATTGAACTAATAATATTATGAGCAAGTAGGTGGTGACATTTTGTCATGTTAATGCCTTGTTGAATGTGACAACTGCATTCAGCTGCATCATTTATAAATTGTATTTCTGTGCCAGGTGTGTTTAAAGTAGATGGTTTTGAAAGCATGACATAGCAACAGTTCTAATATAACCTTCATGACATCATTGAAATCTTGAATCTGATTGGTTGATAATTGCCTGGTATTTTATACCATATTTATTTTCGTGTTTTTTATGCTGAACACTATTTCACCACTTCCTCCTACATACGCTCGTGTAGTTTAATTATGTGGGGGACTATCCATTCCAGAAGGTCAAAGATTGGGTCACCACATCAGTTAATAGATTCATCTAATAATTCAGAGTACTACCTGCAGTGACTATTTGCTATTAGTAGTATATTTATCCCAGGAGTATGCAAATGTGATCATGTTTATTGTGTATCAAACACCCCGACATTTGAACTCGGAATCCTACAAATACTCAGACTTCAGCAAACATGAGGTTTGGGCAAATTAGGTTCAATTCTTATGCCGGGCATAAGAGTAGATCTGTTCTTATGCCGGGCATAAGAGTCAATCTGTTCTTATGCCAGGCATAAGAGAAGATCTGTTCTGCAAATGTGATCATGTTTATTGTGTATTCAATTAAAAGTCAATTAAATGCATTCTGATACTCATAGCATCTTTCTGTCTCACATTTCAAGACTGAGAAGAAATGAGATGTCATGGTTTATCATGATGATTACAGAGCTGTCAAGTGTCCCGAATCCCGAATGGCGGGATTATCCCGCGAATTTGATCAAAATTTGGCTAATTCGTGTGTCCCGCAATGTCCCGCGAGATCCCGCAAATGTCGGCTTTGACCTCCGCGAATTTCCAAAATTATAACAATTCCCGAGGCTAAATAATTGTGATTATCTTGTGATATACATGTAAGAAGCTAAGTTTTTGCGCTTTTGAGGAGTAAAGTTTACCTAATTTGAAAAGTGCTGCCAAACTCCTAGAGCATCAGATCATCGAAGACTTATAAAAAGCATATAGTCCATTTATAAAACTGTGATTTTGATCCAAATAACACCATAGTTGGTTTCTCAAGTACCTAGTATGCCGTTATAGTGGTATCAAAATAAAGAGGAAGAGTGCAATTTTCATAGGAGCAATAATCAGTGCAGACAGGTCATTCAACGATCATGGACCAGTGTCAAAATATATTTAAGGATATACCAGTGTAACCTCCAAAAAAATCGACCATTTTCAATCTCAACGAGACTAGGTTTTTATTATAGACATAGATGAAGCGATTCGAAATATGTAATAAAAAGGGTAGGTCAAAGGTTTAGTTTTTTCACAAGAAGCTTCTGAAAATGGTTGTGACGTTATCCTCATTTGAACATTTGTGGCGGCATTGATTTCACAGCCAAAAATATATTTTTTCTATATTTCTTTGATAAAATGATCGTCATTCGGCGTCATTGATATTTAATACAGAACACTTGTCAAACGTGAAGTTAACAAACAAGCTTTTCCTAGAGGTGTTTATTTTCTATATCTGTAATTTAAAAATATATTATCATTGTCGTAAGGGTTACACTGGTAAAATGAAACATGGTGGGTCTTAAAAATATAAAAGTGGAAGTCCCCTTTTTGAAGCTTTGAACTGAATTTACACTTCTTAATGCTGAAATTGATAATTTATCCGGTACTCACACCATGGGCTTTCAACTAGAAGGGTATGCAACTCTATGTAATAACATGAGACCTTCAAAATGAGCAATGACATGCTTCCCTTTTATGGCAATATTTCAAAAAGTATTAGATAAATGTATATGTTTTAGTATTATTTTGAATAAAAATCAATTTTTAATATGATTTAAGCATAAAATATATTCAATATCATATAAAAGTAAACAAAAGAGACCAATAAGAATAAGGGTTATCAAGATGTTCTCTTTGAGTATTGCATTGTGGGTAATTATTCAAGAACACATTCCAATAAAAAGATAATTTGTGGGAGAATGTTCACTTTCTGTATTGTCATAATTAGGATGAATTCCAATTTTTATTAAATTATCAAGATGTATGTAGAAGATCATGTTTTTATTTTTGAGTTATTTCTTTTAATCATCAATAAAAAGTACAAAATAAGATTTTCTTGGAATGTGTACATTCTCCAATTTTGAAAACCCATGGCAATGTTTATGTATGAAATATGGGAAGTTGCCTACCCTTCTAGTTGAAAGCCCATGCTCACACCTAAAGCGTTTTTTTTTGATTTTTAATAGTTTAATAATATTTCTATACGTATTTTGTGGAATTGTGTTGACGTTTACTAAAGTTAAGTGCATTATATTTGATAAATCAGTATCTGAAAGTTTGATTTGAGTACTTTTACATTAAGCCCCAATCACGCAAATCCCTTGAATGTCCTGCGACATCCCGCAAAATTACGTGGATGCCCCGCAAAATCCCGCGACTTTAGGACACGTTGTCTTAAAAAATCTGTCCCTCTGTCCCGCAATTAGCGTATTTGTCCCTCGAATGGTCCCGCGAAATCCCGCGAATTTGATCAAAATTTGACCCTATTAGCGCAATCACGCAAATGCCTTAAATGTCCCGCGAAATCCCGCGAATATAGGTGGATGTCCCGCGAAATCCCGCGAATTTTTGGCACTGGGTCTAAAAAATCTGTCCCGCGAGAGAAACTTTGGGGGTTGACAGTACTGTGATTACACAAAACTTCATTTTGCATTGGACCTTCAGGCCCATAGCCAGAATTTTCCAAGGGGGGGTTCATTTTTTCAAAAAATTCTAGGGGGGGCTCACTTTGGCAAAGGACGATTCTCGGTTTGGAGAACAGTCTCCTGGTCTAATAATTTTTTTCATGAAAAATATAGAAATATTACCCAAATTAAACTATGAATATTCAAAAGAGGACATTTAAATCTACAAGATGTAAAAATAACAAATTGGTCTGAAGCAGGGGTAACGCTCAATTAGACCGATTCAATAAAATACAAGTCTCGATTTGGGGAAAGAAGTTCATCAGTGTACTGCGCTAATATTTTTTGCGAAAAATCTGGAAATATTACCCAAATCAAATTATGACTATTCAAAAGAAGATATTCAAATCTATACATTATGTAAAAAAATCAAATTTGTCCGAAGCAGGGATAATGCTCATTTAGATTGATGAACTTCGTTCTCCAAACCGAGAATTGTCCTGTGGCCAAAAATCACTCAAAAAATAGTCAAAATGGTGAAAAACTGCATGATTTTGAAAGAAATTTTGGCCAGGGAACCCCCTGAACCCCCCCCCCTGGCTACGGGCCTGACCTTTTCATACAGAATCAATAAGAATGGAGTGATATCACTTTTTGGGTTTATGTTTTAGTTAAATGTCCATTCAGTATGATTGAGGAAGAGGCTTCCACTTGTGAATTCATTGATAAAGGATCAAAGGATTATCGCAAAATGAAGTTAGAACTTTGAGACACTACAAAATGCACAACTTCGACTTGAGATGGAAAATATTTAAAAAAAATTGTCTGTGTTCATGTATTCTTTCTGTCCTTGCTTATTACATGTAATAATTGATGTTAGTTAGAAAAGATGGTAAGCTATTGCACTCACTTATCAGTCTGTTTGTCCGTCTGTCCATCTGTCAACAATTAGCCCGTTTTAAAACCTCTGTCAATAGGATTCCCGTTTCAAGTTATTTTTGTTCAACATCAAAATAGAAAACCCCCCTTGACTCCTGGTTCAAAAGCTCGCCTATTTTCATAATGGCAGCCATTTTGTTTCTGGAAATTCGCAGAATTCACTTTTGGCCCATTTCCTAGCTTTACAAATAATTTAGGATGTCCTGCATTGTAAAAAGCCATGTCACTATAAAGAGTAGTTGTATGAAATAATTTAGTTACAAAAAATCGGCAATAATTCTATCAATTTCTTTTTATTTTCTGCCATTTTAGCCATCATTCACTTTTGAGCAACACCATGTGAGCCCAGTACCCACATTACTATTTATTTTTAAACATACAATGAAACCCATAATCCAAACACCTCTCATTTGAACACGTTTTCCTGGTCCCAAATTTGTAGATTCACATTGACCCACATATTTAAAAAGCTTTTAGTTGTGACCACCTGCTTATCAAACTCTTGGCTGGTTTTGCTGGTGTTTGGGTTACACAGGTTTTAATATAAAATAATTGATGCATTCAGAGAGAAACATCACTGTAAATGGAAAATGTTGAGTTCTACATTGAAGAATACCTATTTAAGCACAAATACCATCATACACAAACTCCATTGATTTGTCCACCTGTCTCGCGAAATCCACTTTTGGACCATTTGCCTTAAAAGCTCTGTTGAAAGGATTCCAGTTTTAAGTTATTTTTGTTCAATATCAATAGAGAAAACTCCCCTATGACTCCTGGTTCAAAAGCTCATCTATTTTCAAAATGGTCACCATTTTTGTCTCACGAAATTCACTTTTGGCCCATTTCCTAGCTTTACAAATAATTCCAGGTGTAAAAAGCCATGTCACTGTAAAGAGTAGCTGTATGAAACACCTCTCATTTGAACACGTTTTCTTGGTCCCAAATTTGTAGATTCACATTGACCCACATATTTAAAAAGCTTTTAGTTGTGACGACCTGCTTATCAAACTCTTGGCTGGTTTTGCTGGTGTTTGGGTTACACAGGTTTTAATCTAAAATAATTGATGCATTCAGAGAGAAACATCACTGTAAATGGAAAATGTTGAGTTCTACATTGAAGAATACCCATTTCAGCACAAATACCATCATACACTAATTCCAACATGGATGAACTTACAATAAACACAAAATGAATTAATTACAATCAAATTTTTTATTTCAAATTTTTGGTACATTTTATAAATTATGAGGTAGACAGTTGTTTGATATACATTCAATAGAGCAACTGTTCTTTCATCAGTCTGTTGTATCCTCTCCCCACCCACCTTCATTCACCTTCCCCCTGCATTCACCTTTCCCCTGCATTTCCCCACTGTCCCTTTCGTATTCCCGCACCACCTGTTTTCTGCCTCTCCCTGAATTCCCCCACCCTATGCATTCCCCCATCTCCACTCTCCTCCCCCTGGGTTCCCCCATCTCCTTCACTCTCCTCCCCCTGCGTTTCCACATCCCCTTCACTCTCCTCCCCCTGCATTTCCCCACTGTCCCTTCTGTATTCCCGCACCACCTGTATTCCGCCTCCCCCTGAATTCCCCCCACCCTCTGCATTCCCCCATCTCCTTCACTCTCCTCCCCCTCGGTTCCCCCATCCCCTTCATTCTCTTCCCCCTGCATTCCTCCACACCCTGCATCCCCCTGTATTCCCCAACCCCCTGCATTCTCCCTCCCCTGTATTCCCATCCCCATGCATTCCCCACACACTCACTCACTTTCTCTCTCTGAAAATAGGTTAAGAAACAAATAGAGGGGTTCCAAACAAAAGAAACATATCTGAATAAACGTATTATACAGTAAAACACCTGCATATATGGAACACCTTTGATATCTATGAAATGATATTTGAGAATTGATTCTAGCTGCTCTATTGTACAATAAGAATAAATATATCTGTATATACAATTTAAATAAAAACATCACAAATATCACAGTTTTAGTTTTTGATGGTTTTTCTCCTACGAATTAGGTCACAATTACTGTCAGGTTTATCCATATGTGTAATGAACATTTACTTGTGCTGATATGCACAGGAGTATGGGTGTGTTCATACCTATTCATTATCTTTTGATTGCCCAAAAAATATATTTTAGATATACATGTCTTGCCTAAAAGTATGTGTTTTGGTTTCTTGTATGTGTTATGTTGGATATCTTAATAAGTAAAACCTGACTAAGTGACCACTTCCAAACATTGAATGTTTTTGTCCAGCAAAAACATTTTAATCTAGTACAAGTTGTTCTATAAGCACATGATACATACCAAATTAAGCGTGACAGTTGAACGCGCTAGAAACAAGACCACATCTTTCTGAAACGATGGAAACATCTGTTTGCTCACATTTCATCACCCTTGTGTTGGAACGTACCACGTGGGTTCTGTCACTGTCACGCTTAATTTGGCAAGTACCCTGTGATAAGTTTTGACTGGTGCATTCTACTTTTGTAGTTCAGGCAGTAGTGAAACGCTAACTTCCACATATTCCAAGAATTTCTCGAAGTCTCTTAGAATCATAAAGTCTCGTACATGTCTATTCTGATCATCTCCTAACTCTGTTTTTAAGCTGGCTTCAATCGTACTTCTTTCTGGAAACTCGTAGTAATGTTCCACTTTCGTAAATATCATAGCTTTGTGAAGGTTACAAAATGTCGCAAATAAAGCGTGTATTTTTATTTGTTCCATTTCTTCTAGCAAACTGGCACTTGTGTGGATGAATGATTTGACCGTCTCCTCTTTGATCATGTGGTTTATGAATAAAGTAGCGACAGCGAAATGTTCACGCAGCATTTTGAATAGAGTAGCTACCTGCAACATGAACATATATATTTAGTGTTATTATAGACGGTGTTAACCAATTTTCATCTTTTATATTCAATTACAGTAAAACCTTTTAATATTTATGATACCGGACTGGACATAAGTGTTGGGAGTGTCAGGTGTTTATATTTTAAGGTTTATAACATGGTAACCAATGGTAGATTAAAAATGACAAAAAGTGTTCACAGAGAAGTGTTCAGACTCAGAGAGGTGATTAGAAAGGCGATTGGATACATAGGGAAACCTGTCCAATCCAAAGAGCTCTGAGAATGACCAAAAGTGTTTGTATTAGCAGGTGTTCACATTTCAAGGTTTTATAAATATTTAAGTCAATGGGAGATAACAAATTTTGGACGGAGAAAAAGTGTTTACATTAAGAGGTGTTTGGATATACAGGTTTACTGTACCTGTACATAATTGTGAGTACTATTCATTGTGATTGGCTCTTCTTTAGAGGTTCATAAACTTAAGGAATCAGTGTACAGTACAGTGAAACCTGTAAAGTGGAACACCTCTGTTAGTGGAACACTTTTCAGAGTCCAAAGACCAACTGACTTTATGTTAAATGAACCTCTATAAATTGAACACCTCACAAGTAGAACACTTTTTAGAGTAACCAAATGTGTTCCTATAAGACAGGTTTTACAATACTTGTCTGACCTACATCCCTATAGTAACAATGTACTTGGTATGAATGTAGACTTATGTGTGTATGTATTTATTAACAACCACTTCCTCAATTTGTATAAGCATTGCTTTTAATTGAACAATAAAATATGCATATCAATCATTGTGATCAGAAAAAATAGTTCTGCATTTTATTTCCGGGTTTGTGATAGAAATTTCAAGATGAAAAAGAGTTTATCAATATCTGTTAAAATACATTACAAGTAAAGTGTATTTAAAATTCTCATTCTGACATTTATATAGAAATGAAACAATATCAGTCCATCTCTGTGCAATATCAGTACATATGGTAGGATTGGATATTCAAATGAAGCTATCAAAAACTTTTGTTACTTTTTTTAAGTTTGGTGCACAAAAAGAAGCACTTTTCTTCAATTGTACGATTCCTTTCATATGCTGACTAAGTACTTAGCAATAAAGTTTCGGTGAAAAGAAAGATGAACGAACTACAAGTGTATTGAAATGCCTGATGCCTGTTTCAGTGGAAATACAATGGAAAGCTCTATTTCCAGAAAAAATCATGAATAAGTATGAATTAGTATGAAATACAATGAATTGAAAGCACACATTATTATAAAAGCAAGAGAAGAAAACAAAATAGGATAATATGACTACTCAACCAGCTCATTTGGTGATAAATTAAGTACAAGAGTACTCACTGATGAAGATTTGTTGACTAGTGTTTTTTCTTCTACTGAGATGACAGGCATATGTCGAAGGAGATACCCTTCATGTCTTGCAATGATACGTGTTGTAATTCGTGAATGTTTCACCTGAAACAACAATTTACAAATCAATTATCATATAAAGCATTTTCATTATATGGCAAAATTCATTATTGGTTTGATTGATTAGACTTTCAGAAGTAGTCAAAGTTTTGATATAAAGCAGATTCAGGTTATTACCTTAAAAAGGATGCAACTGATTGGCACACATGGACATATGTAACAAATAGTCTGCTAATCACATTCAATTAAGATTTCTCTCTTCTCAGCACAACCCTTTTTTAACATCACTCCATGCATCATTAAACATTCCCTTTTTCTTTTTATAGCATAATCATTTAACACTCCTCTCTCAATAGCATAATCATTTAACACTATTGTCTCAATTGCATAATTATTTAACACTACTCTATTCATTGTTTAATCATTTAACACTCTTGTCATAGTATAATCATTTAACACTCCTCTCTCAATAGCATAATCATTTAACTTTATTGTCTCAATAGCATAATCATTTAACACTCTTGTCATAGCATAATCATTTAACGCAGCCCTCTCCATAATATTATCATTTAACACTATTCTCTCAATAGCATAATCATTTAGCATTACTCTCTTCATAGTATAATCATTTAACACTCTTGTTGTAGTATAATCATTTAACACAGCCCTCACCATAGTATAATCATTTAACTCTATTCTCTCAATAGCATAATCATTTAACCCTACTCTCTTTTTACAGAGTTTTTATTAACGCCGTTTTGACACAAAATTAAGCGAAATTTTAATCCTGGGATGGAAAAAATATCTGACTTCGCGTACAATGGGACGCAGATTTGATTTTTTGTTTTTGCACTTTATTCTTCCATTCTCACTTCAGTTATTTAGCTAAAACTTCTCAAAACATAAGATTAAGTGATTACTTACCAAACAGATACTTACTTTTCCAAAATAATGTCTGAAAATTCTGCAATTTGAAGATGGAATTGCCGAGTATTTTCAGTAGTTATTTTTATTTCCTAATTGTGATTTAAGAAAAGAGACACCTATTGATTGGAACATTGGTTCCAATAAACTTCCTCCCTCCTATGAAATTTGCAACTCCCATTTTATCATGTAGATTTCATTTTGATAAATTGAGGAGGGACACTCTGACACGGAACAGCCTGATTCAGTAACAACTATTTGTATTTGAATGGCATTCCATAATAACATCATGATCAGATAAGACTACATTGCACACTCGATAGAGGAAATTATTTTTCACCATGTTTCAGAAAATTAGGGATCATAATTTATTTATTATTTCATGCCATTTATAAATGTCATATTAAAGTAATGCAAGACAAATTATTAATTAGTGAATTAGCAAAACCAAAAATCGATGAAAATGCTGAAGTTGTGCAATATAGAAATGCTGAAGTTGTGCAATATAGAAATGCTGAAGTTGTGCAATATAGATATCAGGAAAAAATCTGGTTTTCAGTCAGGGAGGTGCAATCGTGGCATAAGAAACCCCCAAAATTGAAGATTTGTTTTGAATTTTACAAAAATTGATGCAACTTTCTTCAAAATTTAGCTAGAAGCTTCAAATATTAAAAAGCGTTTTAAAGATCTTCTTCGTCTATCTAATAATTCTTACGCCTATGGATATGATAATTGGTACAAACATGAGAAATAAATTTCAATATAATCTTGTTACAGTATTGCCTAAAAACAATCCCACGGTTGCATGGTATATTTTTATGGTTTTTCTAACTTTTGCAGAAGAGATCATTGCTTCTAGACACAAATTGTTTGTGATAAAATAAATACTTACGAAAGTGTCTATGAGTGCATCAATCATAGTTCGTCCTTTTTGAGCTTGTTTGTATATATCCTTAAAGTGAGACTCCCCACTTATATTCGGGGCTGTAATATTGCTCCATATAGGGTCATAGGCCTGCACAGGTGGCACCGTTGAGCCATCACCGCATGGGTTATCCCATGTTTGGTCCAGATAATCGGGTGTCTTTGGTGTTGTTGAAGTTGTCGGTGTTGTAGATCTGATAGCTGATATGATGAGTGTGGAATTTACAGTCATGATAACACTGTTGCATAATATTACTGTTACAATTGAGTTGAGTGCACCTAAAACAAAAATTAAAAATGAGGTTATCAATACTGAATGAATACTTAATTTTCTTTATGGAAATGAGATAAAAATTAAAAGGATAATATTCATGAAGAAATATGGTTCTCAAAAATAAAAAAAACAACTAAAGTATTTGTATTATATTAGGTTGCAATGATTCTTGCAATTTCAAATAAATCTTTATTTCATATGATTTTAATCTATCAATTTGTTGATTAACATGAAAATCATAGAACTTACAAATGAACTTACCCATTATACTTATGTATAACTTTCTTTATATTCCACGGTAATAAACTTTGATATAAATCACGAGGGTTTGATCTCTTTGATTCCAGTTTAAAATGCTGACATAAAACATAAAGATCTTCTTTATATACTCCAGCCATTTTATGCTTACATGAAGTAAATCTCACTCCCACAATTAGAAACATTTACAGACGTAAGTTAATTTCAGTTATGAATTTTTCAATTTACTTCCTACTCTATTTTCATTCGTCCGATTGCGTCAAATTAATGCAATCGTGTCTTTGTTTTATCCATCTACATTGTACTGTAAATCACTTTTATGATGAATAAAATTTGATTAATTGATGTCTACAGGAATATCTACAGGAATGTAGATTCTAGTGTAGTTAGATAAGTAAAGAATCATAGATTCTAGTGTAGTTAGATAAGTAAAGGATCATAGATTCTAGTGTAGTTAGATAAGTAAAGGATCATAGATTCTAGTGTAGTTAGATAAGTAAAGGATCATAGATTCTAGTGTAGTTAGATAAGTAAAGGATCATAGATTCTAGTGTAGTTAGATAAGTAAAGAATCATAGATTCTAGTGTAGTTAGATAAGTAAAGGATCATAGATTCTAGTGTAGTTAGATAAGTAAAGGATCAATCTTGTAAGTGGAATCAAACATCTACAAAAAGGTCAAAATTATTTTAGATGGTTAATTGAATATCATGTTAATAATCAAACAGAAAGTCTGACATTTTGAACAAATTGATGAAGCAATTTAAGCCTCACATTTTCCAAGTCCAGTGAAACCTATAAAGTGCAACGGCCCTGTAAGTGGAACCTGTGTAAGGTGGAACACCTGTATAAATAGAACACCTCTCTGTGAGTGGAATCCATGTTAAGTGCAACACCTCTGTAAGTGGAACACTTTTCGGTCCCATGACCAATTGACTCGTGTTGAATGAACATTTGTAAATAGAACAGGCCCATAGCCAGGATTTGTCAAGGGGGGTTCACTTTTTGAAAAATTCCAGGGGGTTAACTTGTGACAATTTTGTTCAAAAAATGGCCAAAATCACTTAAAAGGTGCTCAGAATGGTGAAAACTGCATGATTTTGAAAGATTTTTTTGGCCAGGGGGGGGTTCGCTTGAACCCATCGAACCCCCCTGGCTACAGGGTAACTGGTCAACTCAACCCCAAGTCAACTCAACCCAAGTCAACTCAACCCTTAGTCAAGTCGACCCCAAGTCAAGTCGACCCTTAGTCAAGTCAACCCCAAGTCATCTCGACCCTTAGTCAACTCGACCCCAAGTCATCTCAACCCTTGGTCATCTCAACCCTTAGTCAACTCGACCCCACCATAAAAAAACAAATAGATATACTATTTTCATGGTATGATATTGATGAATTTTGAAAGAATGAGGGACTAAAATGATAATTTTCCAAAATAAAATTATCAACTATTGAAGTTTGTGCTTAAACGCATTTATAATTTTTATAAATATGACATTTATTTACCAAAATAATATTTGATTAATCTTAATAGGGCTATTCACGATGCTATACAGATATTTCACCCCTTCATATTTGAGCTTGTTTTATCTCTCTGAAATAAAAAAAATTATCTACACACTTTTCTGTTATACCGAAATTGTTGCAACAGTATTTTTGACAACAGGTAACTTATGCAACATGTGCATTGTGCCAACATCCATCCATTACTTTGTATTGAATGATTTTATATTTTGATGATAAAACAATATGATATAGTTCAAATCTTCCTTCTGATTGTGCCAACATCCATCCATTACTTTGAATTGAATGATTTTATATTTTGATGATAAAACAATATTATGATATAGTTCAAATCTTCCTTCTGATCTATAGGCGATAGAAATGTTTATTTTTTTGAAGCTAGCTTTTAAAACAAGACTGAACAAACAATGGGATTTATGATTTTACAATTTCCATTATCGTACCCATGTCAGGTGTCATAAATAACAAGATTAGGATTTTATAACAATAAACAATATGATCCAGTTCAAATCTTCCTTCTGATCTACAGGCGATAGAAATGTTTATTTTTTTGAAGTAAGATTTTAAAACAAGACTGAACAAACAATGGGATTTATGTTTTTCTATTTTCCATTATCTTACTCATATGTCAGGTGTCATAAACAATCAGATTGGGATTTTATGATCCAGTTCAAATCTTCGTTTTGATCTATAGGCAGAAATGTTTTTTTCTTTGAAGTTTGATTTCAAATCAAACTGCACAAACAATGGGATTATATTGTATTTTAATCTACTTAAAACAAGTAAAATCATTTGGGTCGACTTGACTAAGGGTTGAGTTGACCAAGGGTTGAGATGACTTGGGGTCGACTTGACTAAGGGTCGAGATGACTTGGGGTCGACTTGACTAAGGGTCGACTTGACTAAGGGTTGAGTTGACTAAGGGTTGAGTTGACTTGGGTTGAGTTGACTTGGGGTTGAGTTGACCAGGAAGCGGCTACAGGCCTGTAGAACACCTCCAAAATGAAACACTTTTTAGAGGTACCAAAGGCGTTCCACTAACACAGCTTTAACCCTACATTAATACATGTTATTAAATTATGCATGTACATGTGTATGTAGTAAAAAATGCTTCCTGTTTTTCTATTTCTGGTGGTTATAGTATGGCATATATGTAATTAGTGACTTAGTATATAATTAGTGACTTAGTATATTGACATACACTCGGAAAAATTAAAACATGCATTTAACCACAACCGATTAATACCACTGAATGCAGGCACATATAATAAAATCTCATTATATTCATCGATAAAAAAACAATATGCTTTCATACATAAATACATATTATGATTTGATGGGCATTTTGGCTTTTGTGGAGAAATAAATTGCAAGATTACTATTTTGATGCAGTACATTCTCTTAGAGTGAGGGGAAACCATTCATTTGAAAACCAGAAACCATGCTCATAATATCATATGTGAGGTTTGTCATGCTAAAACTGTTTTGGTAAATAGAGCAAGCCATGAGTATTAAGAGGATATTAAAGTTATTTCTGTAACTCAGATGTTTCTTTATGGCATTTTTAAGAAAAATAACTCTATCCCTTATTGAAGACAAATCTTCCAATCCAACCCTGTGTTAAGATGAAATTGTGAATATTTTTAAAATGAATAAAGAGAAAGGAAGAAATTAGACAGGATGCCCCAATTTCTTGAAGGATGATGAGGGGTTAAGGCAATGACTATGGCCCATCATTTAATTTGCATATTGCCTAATTTTTTCCAGGTTCTGAAAATTAAATGCCGGAAATATTATCTACATAATGTTGACCAATGGGAAGTTTATTGTCATTAGCAAAATTAAAATTAGGAAAAGTATGTAATTCGACCATTCGATTAAATACCACTTCAGTGGCGGATCCAGAATTTAATAAGGAGGGGCCCAAATTTTGACTCTGGAAAAAAATGTTGGGCACCTAAAACCAAAAATTGGGCCCAAATTTTGAAAAATTAAGGCCCATTTTTTGATAAATTGGTCCTAAAAAGGCCAAATTATGCCCCATGCCCCTCCCCCAGATCCGATACTTACACAGTATACAAGAGAGGGGGCAGTGAGGTCTTCTTATAAGTAAAAAGTGGGCCTTAGCCATGCCAACACTCATGAATTATTAATGATTTGTAACACTTAGTAGGAATATGTATCAGGCATATCTACAAATAGACATTATATTAGCAATAAATACTGTATAAGTGGTAATTTTGCCTAATCATTTAAATAACACATGATAAAGTTCCTGTTCCTGTGAGTTACACTCACTAGCTTGGAATTATATGTACTCAACATCGGCTTTCCCTCATTCTACAATTTTATTCTATTTTTCCTTCGCTGTATCATTTCAACATTATGAGCCAATTTTTACGAAGGTGACATGGCTAGAGAACCAAGTGAGCCATCTCAAAATAATTGGCATATGATTTTATTAGGCCCATCGTTTGTTTTAGGTAGGTAAGGTTCTTGTCACATTAATTTGGCTCTGCAAGTTTGGTTGATAGTCTTGAAGTGCTGCAAGGAATGGTTCTTTTAAAATTTTCTGCCAATAGACTTCCAGTGAATCCCAGCCTATTTAGATAAGCCAAGGGAATTAGTGTATTGGCTATGACATCATGCGTTGCAGGCAGCAATGGTTGTAAACTAAATTATAATTTAAAAATTATCATTAAGTTAATCACGTTTCTACCCTGAAACTAAGAATAACATTATACCTAAAATGTGTCACAGGGCTCTCGCCAGGCTTTTAGACTGTGGCGCAGCTCCACACTCTATTTAGCACCCTCAACACCCTATTGGCAAATCATGACTGTTTCCACAGTCTAAACTTGACTGAATATACAATAATAGCATGTAAAAATGATAAAACATTACATAAATATAATTTATCACAATTGAACGGTTATTCTGAAGATGTTAGCACCACACCCTAAATATTTCCTGGTGAGAGCCCTGTGTCATAATATACTGGATTCGTATTTTTTGATTTCGAAATGGTGTTAGACAGCAAGCAATAAGACATGCTATAAAAAGTCATGCTGATGGTTCTATGATGAGTACACGCTTCCTCACCACCTACTAGCGTCTATACGTATGTTTGAACACATGCCTACTTGACACATTAATGAGCGTTAATTTCATTGATAAAGCTCTAACCACTTCCTGTCCAAGAGTATTCGTTGATTCAGCTGTCTTCTGGCAGAAATTGCCAACTCCGACTTTTCAAAAAAACATTGTTTTATCGTGTGATTTATTTTCCCTTATTATATAAACATTAACATTTCTAGGAATTTTTGAGTTACTATAGTAACCTGGATATAATAACGTTTGTTTATTTAATTAACACTGTACTGCACTATAGTGAATTATGCCACATTATTTGTTTAAATTATATTTAGTCGTTTAAAACAATAGCAAGCATTGCAACATCGTATGTCAATTATAGTATCTAATTTTAATATGTGTATGTTGAGAGTATTGTTAAGTCCTGTCATGGTCTATCAATGGTCTATTGAATGCCCATGGTCCAGTGAAGCACTTTCTATGTTCAGCTACATAACAATTTAAGTTACATTGTATAAAGCTAAGCTACCAAACAGTATTCACACTTGTATGTTAAAATTGTATTTTCTCTCTGAGTCCCATTCTATCTTCTAATCCGTAAAGTCGGTTGAAAACTGGCAGTTATGTGTGTATACATACCATCCCTTTACCTCACAGAGGCGTAACCATGAGTTTTCAAAGGGGTGTGTCACCTATTGGCCCCCTTGGTACATGTATGTCCATGCTTCATATATGAACCTGTTTATAGATTTAGTTCTCCGTGTACATTCATTCACCATGTTATTTGATTGTAGGGTCCCAGTGTCGAAGAAGCAGAATTCCTGGCATCATCTAAATGGGGTTCTTTCTTTTATGACAACTCCTGTATGGGGAAGGAGGAGGGGAAAGGTCCGAAAATGATGAATACATTCTGGGGTTACTTGATACGAAGATACAGTGATATATCCATACCTCAGCTAGACTACATTGTTGGTAAGAAATATGGAACAATTTTATGATACAGTATTAGATGTGCATCTTGCATGTTTGGTAATTCAATCATTGTTTAGTTAAAGGTGCAACAATGAGTGCAGAGGGGCCATTCAACGATCATGGATCAGTGTCAAAATATATTTATATTCGGTTATTGGATGAACATTATTTGCCCTGATTAAGGCCCTGATAGCTCAGAAAAAGTAAAAAATTTCGAATTTTCTCTCTACAGACCTTGTTGCCCCTTTAAATACAAGTAATACCTTTTGAATGAGGTTTGGAAATCTGGTTGCTCATACATTCGTCATTATATGGTACTTACTGAAATGGCTTTGGGAATGTGTGTTGGAATTTTGTTACTGTCCCATGTGCTTAATGCTTCAGTCATGGTATTAGTCTCTATAAAAATACAGATAAATAGTGACACATTGTGAGATATATATTTGATATAGAAATATGACTCAGAATGTTCCATTTATTATGTCACCACCAGAAGTGGTGATTTATTGTTATTGTCTCCAACTTGTTTGTGGCTGGTGTTCAGTGTCTTTAACAGCGTTTGGCATCTTTAACAGTGTTCGGTGCTTGGCATCTGTAACAAATGGCAGGTGTTGACATTTTGCATGTTAGTACCTTGTTTTGAATGTTAGTGTTGTTGTTAACTTACATGTAGTGATTTGTTTACAGCACATAATGTAAATGTTATAATTTTTCGTCAAAATTCCATGGGTATCCACTTGATATATTTATGTAAAGATGAAATTATTTTCAGATTTCCCAATGGACCATGAGTACAATGTATTCGACCATGAAGACTACAAGAGAGAGGGCTTCTACCCTGGTATACCAAAGATTCTGGCAAGCAATTCCAAAAATGTGGAAAAAGATTAAAAACAGTATGTGTCTGTGACACCAATCAGGTTTATGTACAATGAATGCTGGATGAATTATTCATAAGATTTATAATACAGTCTGAAGATGGTGACTGACCATTGAGCAGAATACTAAAGTGACATGCTCCCTGCATTTCAGAATACTAAAGTGTCATACTCCCTGCATTTCAGAATACTAAAGTGACATACTCCCTGCATTTCAGAATACTAAAGTGACATACTCCCTGCATTTCAGAATACTAAAGTGACATACTCCCTGCATTTCAGAATACTAAAGTGACATACTCCCCCCCCCCATTTCAACTCAATATTTTACACATTTTTACATGTGGTAGGCTATACTTGTCATTTGAGGCATAAAGAGAGGAATGTTTTTCATGCAATCCTATTTTGCAATCATTAGCCAATTCCCCATTAGACCAGGCTTTAATTGTGATAAATGTACTTTGAAATATGGGATTAAGGTTTAACAAAGATTGATGTTGGAGAGATGTATTTTATCAATGTGATGACTACATCGAAGTGATGACTACATCAAAAGCAGCATTAATAAAACATGGGGAGTAAGTCATCCCCCAGCCCTCTTATATTCTATGTACTGTACAGTAATATATAGATTATAAGAGGGTTTTTTGACTTAATCCCCATAATAAAACAGCAATAATTATAATTATAAAGAAATGTAGCTTAAGTTGCAGTATTCAGACACTCCTTACCTACCAATCAATATTAAATGATATTGTATAATCGATATTTAATGATATTGTGTATTCAAAGTTTTTTATGAAAATGTACAATAAAACCTTTTTACTATAAAAATTATATTGTTTATCCCAAAATTTAATGAAAAGAGCAATAGGGTACCCATTCAGATTGTATTAAGGGTGTGTTTGTTCTAATATTGTACCAATGGTGTGTTTGGTGTAATATTGTACCAATGGTGTGTTTGGTGTAATATTGTATCAATGGTGTGTTTGCTCTAATATTGTACCAATGGTGTGTTTGGTGTAATATTGTACCAATGGTGTGTTTGGTGTAATATTGTATCAATGGTGTGTTTGCTCTAATATTGTACCAATGGTGTGTTTGGTCTAATATTGTACCAATGGTGTGTTTGGTGTAATATTGTATCAATGGTGTGTTTGCTCTAATATTGTACCAATGGTGTGTTTGCTCTAATATTGTATCAATCGTGTTTTGTCTTAAATCGTTTCAATGATGTGTTTGGTCTAACATTGTTTCGATCGTGTGTTTTGTCTAACGTTTTATGGTGTGTTTGGGTTAATATCGTATAAATGGTATATTTGGTCTAGAATTCTAGCAGTAATGTGTTTGGTCTAACAATACCCACACTTACTGAACAGTTAAGACAGTAACATTTATGTTGGTTATTGTTTTTATAGAATTATAGATGTCTCACTCAGTCACTCTTGGAAGAAGTGAAGCCATATTAAAGCTATGGAAAAGTATATAGCCACTACGGGAAATGAAAGATGGCAGCAGTTGTCTATCTATTTGGTTTATATCTTTAAAGGGGCAATAAGGCTTGTAGAGAGAAAATAGGAAAATTTTAACTTTTTCTGAGCTATCAAGGCAACAGTTGGCATAACATCTTCTTCGACATACCTATTTTCTTAAAATGTATGGATAAACTATCAATTTCGGCATTAAAAAGTGTAAATACAGTTCAAAGCTTCAAAAAGGGGACGTCCACTTTTATATTTTTAAGATCCACCATGTTTCAAGAGGAATATAAGCTGAAATAATGATTATCTAGGGGGTTTCTTTGTAGAAAATAAAAATAGATGTTAGTCTTGATGAAATATCCAAACTTAATACATTTTGACACTGGTCCATGATCGTTGAATGGCCCCTCTGCACTACTTGTTGCACCTTTAAAGAGAATGTACAATATAAGATATATTCAGAGAAGATATAAAGTAGACCACCACTAGCTGTCATCTCTGTTTAACTAGTCTTGAGAAAAAGATAAACCAATGTCAATTGAAAAAGGTGTGAAGAATCGGAGCCTCAGCCATCATTCACAGGTTGTTGGACAATAGATTGATTCCTCACTAGTATGAAGAAAACATCCTACACGCAGATTCCACAGTAATCTACCCTGCGTGCAGAGTCTAGTTAGACGAAGCTCTCTTTTAAGAAGTGTAGTCAAATGAATTCAAAGGGTAACAGTAATCCACAAATGGCCAAGGAAACAACTTTTACCAAAACTACCAGTTATCCTCTGTAGTCCAATGAGACTGAGGAATAACACATGACATGGTTCAATGTCGCCTTGCAGCGTAGTATACCGAGTTGTTTAATTATATCCTGGTAATCATAGGTGCCAGGCATGCATGAGGCAAGCGAGGCAATATTGCCTCAGTCAAAAAAGCTAGTATAACATTTTACGTGTGATAATAATGTGCACTTTAATATGCCTATATTTCTCGACCATGGCTATGCCTCTGTAGGCTTAACTCACTGGCGGATTAGGGGGGGGGGGGCCCGGGCCCCCCCCCCCCCTTGGGTGGGCCCAGAAAAAAAAAATTGGGCCCAAAAAATTTTTGGGCCAAACAAGGCCTTCAGGCCCCAAAAAGTGGGCCTTTTTGGTCATTACTGGGCCTTTTAAGGCCTTATTTGTTAATTTCAGGCCAAATTTTGAAGAAAATGGGCCTCAAAATTTCAAAATTTGGGCCCACTTTTGGATTTTAGGGGCCCAAAATTTTTTTCCGCGCAAGCGCGCACGTTTTTTCTCTGACCTGAAATTTGGGCCCCCCCCCTTGTTGGTTCCTGGATCCGCCCCTGTAACTGTTTATAAATTTCATAACACACAAACAACAATTTTGAAATATTTTATCACTGTATTCTCGGATCTCAATCAGAGACATCTCTGTCTCAATGTACTTTCATCATCATGAAATGTCATTTCGTTCAGAGCACACTGAAGAAAACCTATGCCTATTTATTCTCCCGGGGGTCGAATCTCTGTGTATGATACTCTATGGCCTCAAAAGCTGAACTTTGAAGTAGTGGCACACGCCGTTGTTTAAACTATTGTGTTTCCCTAATCCACTACACATAAACCAAACCTTTCATCTCACCGCTAAGCTGAAGAGCCTTAAATTCAATTACTGATTTAGCATGGTTATGTACAAGCTTATAATATTTATTGCGCTTTTTATTTACAATTTGATCCACATTGCAGTAGATTGTGTATATTTATTTGGATTTCATTCATAATTTTGAGAATATTCCCATGCCTGGGGTCATGATCTCACCTTGTTACGAGTTGCACGCGATGACATATGAATATCAATTACTTGACTTTGGCACTCGTTCTGTTGTTTTCATTAACATCAATCGGTGAGGTTCTACTACAGCCCTGTAGTGACACACCGTGGTTACGACACTTGGTGGAGGTTGACCTTTACCCCTACCGGACTGGCACTGTACATGGGAGAGAGGGGGTCTCATAATGTCTTAATGATAACGCGGAGGGATCAAGCAATTTTTCGTGACAATTCATTTCATGTAAATGTTGAAATGAGAAACGTAATTTTCACGCAATTTCAATGTTTTTAAACCGGCGTGAAACGTGACACTTCAAATGTTACCGAAATCATTGCACTCGACAATTCCTCAATGAGTTGTAGAGATTTTAATTATTTAAAGAATAGGCTGGTTTGTTTCATGTTCAACATTCATTAAAATATCTAAACAAGATCCTCTGCCTGTTCTTCTTTCATCTTTTATCGTTTTCAATATAATTAGCCTCGCCGCTCAAAATTGTCATTTTGCCGCCGGGATGATTTTCACTTATCATTTCAATGAAGATGATCACGATCATAATTATATCGATACGGTTAACCATGATCACTGCCACGCGACAGGATGAAAGTTGCCGGCGGGTAAAGATTGCATAACGAGGGTTTCTATGGGTGGAGCGTTCTCTAAACTCCGGACCAACTTGGTGAAATGTACGATGTGTGTTATTGTTTGCATCTAACCCCCTTTGAAAACGAGAAGCCTATGAGAATGGCATTAGTTATTTAATTTATTACTTCATTTAGGCTCTAAACATTTGAGAGCACAGTCGGCCCTTTGATGTGCCCATACTACTATACATAGGGAGAAACTCCGGGTGAAGTTTACTGGTAAATGAGTTTTGAATTTTCATTAGCCATTTCGACGGATATTGTATTTATGCCTTTGATATGCTACCTGTTTGAATGGCAATGATGAATCGAGGGATGTTCCGAAACAATACAGGAATCAATCGTAAGTTAATAATCATTATCAATTTTCGGAGAGCACTCCTGGTGGGGTCTACTAAAGATTGATCGATCCCCAGTAAGCCGATGCACTCCGTACAAATCGACAGTTCTAAATACAAAGGTAGGGTTACAGTTGTTTGACTATCTCTTTGAATCTTGTTCAGAAATCAATTTCTTCATGAACTTTTGTTATCTGAAGTGAAAAGGTGAAACGAGTGTGTGCGCTTGTCCGGGGTAATCAAAGACATAATCACCAATTTGAGGAGTAGTTTCCTTTTCAAAAAGCGCAGAAATCAATAATATAAATACACTTGAAAAGAAAAACACAAAATAATTGTTATTTCTCGAGTTCTATTTATTGGAAGAGAGATCAAAGTACCGAGTTCATTTCAGTTGTATTTTTATTAGTGAGTGATTATAAATATTTCCTTCCTCCTCGGTTTCTTAATACAATGTCCTCATGAACTGAGTATTAACTATCATGTATTTATAATTACTCATACTAATACAAGAACCCAGAGTCGATGTCAACGGAATACAAAGGTGAGAATAATTCGTATTTGCATTTTTATGACGTTGTCGGAGTTTTGGACAAATATTCTTGACCAGCACGAGAGGTCATACTAATCTATGATAATTCGACATTCGAAGGTCATTTTGGATTTTTGAGGTATGTACGTTATTTCATAACCTCCCGAATTCTTTTTTGCTGCTATGAACGTTTGGAATGTGGTATTTCCTGATGTGAAGTGGGGCCTGTGACATACCTCCCTCGAGGATGTTTACATCCGGGTACTTACATCGTCCACCTGGGATTCGTAATTTTAGAATTCCAACTTACAACCGCGGCCCCATGGCAACGGAGTTGATTGTAAGAGGATTCCAAAAGTGAATACTTCGTGATTATGTTGGGATTTGAGCCGATAGCATAAGTTCCCAATAAGTGGATTTACTTTCCAAGTTAATCAGTATTTTAGGATCTTAATGAAGACGATTAGGTTCAGTTGTTTATATAGTTAGCTGGATCCTTGGCTGGATGATGTATCACTGGGTGCAGTTGTACATTCTAATTGTCTCAATTCCCTCGCAGACGTTATATCATCTTTCTCAATATTATGATTGTTTGGAATGAAAAGGTCCTAACATTTTATGGCGGATATGTTATATATATATGGAATACATTTATTTCTTCAAAGCATTCTTGGAAAATTTGAGAGCGAAAATAAAATAGGTGATTTCTTTGTGAGGTATATCTCTTTGATGTGTATGGTAAGTGTGCCGTAGTGGTTCATTCTCCAGAACAGAGTTTAAGCTGTATCTGGCGCCTGGTCAGGCGGAGGCAGAGAGAAATGAGAAATAAATATAATGTTTGGAGGTTGTGAGGTAAGTTAGGAGCACACGATGTTAGTAAGATAAACAGAATCTACAAAACCTGGACTCTTTTTACTTCAGGAATTAAAATCCAGTTGATATTCTTCGTGTTCATGGTACGAAACATGAATTATATGATCATAACTTGGGGGGTATGAGGGATTATATTCCCTGGGTTCTTTTAATTTCTAAGCCTTAGTTATGTTCCAATGACTTTTTGGCTCGAGAATACACACATTCCACCGAATTCACGGAATTTAAACAATATTGAGAAGGGAAACAAATGCGCCGAACCCTTATTAAGAGAAGAGCTTTTGGTAATAATATCCCGATTCCCATCTCCTGATAATGTCCACTCTATGATTTGTTGTTAACATTTAACAATTATTGTTCATCGAGTTGTGCAATTTACGTTTCGGGTAAAAGGAATAAATCAGTCTTTTTGGAATTCCCACGATTTTTCATTTACCAATATAAGTTGGATGATCTCTCGTGCTAATAACCATCTTCCTTTGAAGTTTGGAGAGGGGCGACCCATATAGCCTGGTAAGTGATGTTAGTTGATAAGATAAGTAATCGCACTTGGGTTCCATATTCTATTTGTTCCGATTTGATTTGAGCATGAAGTATATGCTTGCAATGGGCTGTGCTGCATAAAAAGTTGATTGATAAAATTGCTCTCAGAGGGCAAGCTCCCCCCTCCGCTTTACTCTAGTTTTTTCATTCTTTGCCGCGTGAAAATAAGTCCTGCTTTTTTAAAGATTTACGGTGAAGAGAATAGAGGGTATATTACTCCTAGGCTTCCCGTAAAATAGTGCAGTAGCAGGTTGAAACTGACAAGCCAAAATGAAATTGACTAGCCATAGGCTAAAAACTTGTCCCGGTTTAAAGAAATAAAACCCATTGAAATATGTCGCCCTAACCAAACAAATATATATTGGTATTCTAAAGCTTTTAATTGTGGGGTTGGATTTCAATCGGTTGATTGGTCCTCTTTTAAGATAAACCTGCAAATCGTAGCAAGTGGTCACTCGAATTTGAAAGGAGTACTTTTGTTTTTATTGTTGGTGTGGTTATCATATGGTCCACCCATTCAAAGAACGTAAATGTCGTCCGTTGTGGGATGCTAGCATATTACTCTTAGTTTTCAAGGCACCCACTCTTAGTTTTGAGAGATGAGAAGTCGAGTGGTCAGAAAAATTAACGGACTCAGAAATTTATCAGATACTTCACAACAACATAACGTCGTATTAAAACAGAATTTAATGATAGATAATATTTTTATTGTTATTTTATTGTAGACGATTTGTTATGAATAGCAGGATTTTGTGATAGCAGATCGAATGCGCGTGCCAAAGAAAAAACGAACCAAAAGAACGAGGAAACGAACGCAACCGAAACGATGACAAATATATTACAACAACGTGAGCGATTAACTTGTTGGGGATTAACAATAGTTACTATAGTCTCTGGATTAGTTACTATAGCAACGGCGTTGCCAATGGCACCATTTATACGTGGAGACTTTGAACCAGATATTCCATTGGATTATAATGAACTGAAAAAGATAGGAGGTGGAAATACTGAAATCGTGTTTAAACTCATTAAGCAGATTGCAACAGCGATGCATCACTGTGGGATCAACGAAAATAATAAAGAGATGGAGAGAACGTACCTCACTAATACGTCAGTCACCTGTAACGACGGCTCTCGGGCAGGGTAAGTACATCTATCTAATATTTCATTGCCCAAATTAGTGGCCCTTTTTGACACGATTATTGGGCCTCATTTTTGAAAAATTTTGCCCAATTATTGGTTTTCGGGGATTTTTTCTGACTTGAAATTTGGGCCCCTTTGTTATTTTTCAGTTCCACCCCTGCTCAGCGTTGATAATAAAAAAATGTAATTTTCACACAATTTCAATGTTTTTAAATTTCAAATTAAATGCAATCGAAATCATTGCGCTCGACAATATTGTTCAATAAGTTGTACATATTTTGATAAAAGAATGTGTCGTGTTTATGTTTACCTTAATATGGCTTCTCCACCGAGAGAAGATTTGATTCACTCATTTACATCGACAAACCCTAACTTAGCACGTTCTATTTCTTTTCTATTTTGAATTACTGATATACCAAATAGCCTTCAATTGTCTTATCTTACTTCTGTCTATTTAGAGGATTTCGGAATGAATATTTTAAAATCAATTTTAATTCCAGGTACTACATAAGAAAATCAGCAAAGAGTACAAGATGGATCGTGTTTCTAGAAGGTAATTAGAATTACATTTAGTAATTTCTCTTATTAATAAGTAATTTCTCTATTTAACAGTTTTAATAATTACTTATCATTTTTATTTTATATATCGTCCAAGAATCATAAGAGGCAGATGTGCTTGGCTGCAAAATTTTCAAATGTGAGAAGTACACGACTCGATCGTTCGACTAAGGTCTGTTGAAAGATCAAAATTGCTGTGGTTTTTGAAAAAACTAAGTGGTACATTGTTTTTTTGACAGAAATTTGACAGCATAAAATCGGACCGTCACAGTGGACGATTTGTAATCAGCGTTGTAATATGTATGAAAATTGAAAGATCACCTCAATCTGGGGTCCTATTTGCGTTGGGTTGGTGAAAGTGACGTACATATGGGGGGGGGGGTGTTCACACTATTGAAGCAAGACTAACATATCACCGCTACAATACAAGCCTCTAACTCTCAATTGTCAAAGTTATTCAGACGTGTCACCCCTGAAGTGCACAAATGGTACATCCTCAATGGACCCCAGATCAAGGGATTACATCCCATTACGTGTTACAGAGAAAAAGAACCAGGTTGATAATTAATCTAATAGACAACATCAAAGGAGTTTACAGGTAAACTAATTCAATAGAGATACCAACTTCTAAAGTATGTAAAGCTACGTTCTTCAACGTATATAGATACATGATATCCCATGATACTTTAAATCAAGTGGGTGCGATTATTCCACAGGAGGGTGTAGCTATTCCATGAAAAGTGCCTGCACCACACAATGATGTACCTATCCCCCGAGACCAATCCCACCAAAACATATATAGATGTACCTGTACACCGTTACAACCAAGGACAATTGGTCAGATATCGAAGGAATATCTTCATATAAAAGTGGTCAATTATGCACCTATATAGGTTTCATAGGTTTTAATGAAATAAAAAAAACATCGCTTCCCAACTAGAAATTAAATACTCAACCAAACAATCAATTGTATTGATTACATATTTCCTCATGCAAGGAAATGTTTAAAGTTTAAACAAACAAAGAAGTATGGTCAAATATGGTCGCGACGGACTGACTGACGGGCGCACGGATGTCATTTGTTGTTGCTGCATCAGTGTCTTCATTCGTTGTCTTCTTTCTTCTTTCTTTTTCTTGATTTGATTGTTGTCTGAACGGACAGCCTCGCTATATCCCTCACTAAAGACGTTCTTCCCTCGGGAACTTTTTTTCGTTGGGAAAATAGACATCTCTAGAACAGAATCAGGGTATAAGTCATATGTACCCCTTTACACTTTACATCCATACATTAGCATATGATTGCACAGTGATGAATTCAACCTCGGGAAAATATTCTAATTCAGCTATGTCGCGGTCCTTTTGATCTTGAGAAAATTGAAAATAATTCATAATTGTATATTTATGAAAAACGGCATATGCAAATAACCCTTCATTAGTTTATCTGATATCCACAAATGTATATAAGGTGGGGGTATTTGTTAGCCATTGATTGTTATTTGGAATGATTTTCTCATTTTCCTTTGTTTAATTGTAATTTTCACCTGACAAGTCCCCCTTTGAAGTAACCGCCAATTTATCAGCGATAAATGTCGGTTATAAAGCATCTTATCCAGTGTGTTTGATGCATGGATCCACTGATTAAATTAATGAGAAAACTTTTTCTTGAATATGTTAAAGAAAAGTTATAAAATGAGTAATTGGTTTTGTATGAGTTATTATCAATATATAAGTAAATGATTATAAGTGAAACGGGATCAATGATTTTAACCCTACATGACAAACCAACTCATGCAAAAGTCCGACTGATATATAAACCACCTCCTGCAACTAGCTCAACTGAACATCTCCACTTGTTTACCGATTCTACATGGGGTAGAGTTTGCAGTTAAAAATCCCATTCAGAACCATTATAACGTTTCATCTCATAACTTGTTGACGGGCACAGCTAAAGCTACATATTTCAAAAAATTATTCTGCTCTAAACAGTCTCTCCGCCATCTCTAAAAACCTGTTTCTAACCAAACATGGAAATGGTTCCTGATAGATCAGTTCCTCCCCTATCGAAGAGGTAAAGGTACAAATAATTGGTTCAAAGAAGAATACATTTAGGAAAAATTGAAGGTTCTACCGAGATTTGAACTCGGATCGCAGGATTCAGAGTCCTGAGTGCTAACCATTACACCATAGAACCATATATTTCGAAAGATGCAAAGGTACACATTAATTGATTCAAAGAAGAATACATTTGGAAAAAGATTTGAAGGTTCTATCGAGATTTGAACTCGAATAGCATAATTTAAAGTTCTGAGTGCTAACCAGTACACCATAGAACCATATATTTCGGAAATTCAAAGATATAGATAATTGATTCAAAGAAGAATATATTTGAATTTGTAAAAAATTCACATATTTTGACAGGCGCAAAGGTACAAATGAAACGATTCAAAGAAGAATACATTTGGAAAAATATATAAAGGTTCTACCGAGATTTGAACTCGGATCGCAGGATTCAAAGTCCTGAGTGCTAACCATTACACCATAGAACCATATATTTCGATAGAAGCAAAGGTAGAAATAATTGTTTCAAAGAAGAATACATTTGGAAAAAATATAGAACCAAAATAGAAAACATTTTGAAAAAATATATGAAGGTTCTACCGAGATTTGAACTCGGATCGCAGGATTCAAAGTCCTGAGTGCTAACCATTACACCATAGAACCATATATTTCGACAGAAGCAAATGTACAAATAATTGGTTCAAAGAAGAATACATTTGGAAAAAATATATAACCAAAATAGAATTACATTTTGAAAAAATATATGAAGGTTCTACCGAGATTTGAACTCGGATCGCAGGATTCAAAGTCCTGAGTGCTAACCATTACACCATAGAACCATATATTTCGACAGAAGCAAAGGTACAAATAATTGGTTCAAAGAAGAATACATTTGGAAAAAATATAGAACCAAAATAGAATTACATTTTGAAAAAATATATGAAGGTTCTACCGAGATTTGAACTCGGATCGCAGGATTCAAAGTCCTGAGTGCTAACCATTACACCATAGAACCATATATTTCGATAGAAGCAAAGGTAGAAATAATTGTTTCAAAGAAGAATACATTTGGAAAAAATATAGAACCAAAATAGAATACATTTGGAAAAAATATATGAAGGTTCTACCGAGATTTGAACTCGGATCGCAGGATTCAGAGTCCTGAGTACACCATTACACCATAGAACCATATATTTCAATAGCAAAGGTAGAAATAATTGATTCAAAAAAGAATACATTTGGAAAAAATATAGAACCAAAAAAGAATACATTTGGAAAAATATATAAAGGTTCAACCGAGATTTGAACTCGGATCGCAGGATTCAAAGTCCTGAGTGCTAACCATTACACCATAGAACCATATATTTCGATAGAAGCAAAGGTAGAAATAATTGTTTCAAAGAAGAATACATTTGGAAAAAATATAGAACCAAAATAGAATACATTGGGAAAAGATATATGAAGGTTCTACCGAGATTTGAACTCGGATCGCAGGATTCAGAGTCCTGAGTGCTAACCATTACACCATAGAACCATATATTTCGATAGAAAAAAAGGTACAAATGATTACTCCAAAGAAGAATACATTTGGAAAAAACATGTGAAGGTTCTACCGAGATTTGAACTCGGATCGCAGGATTCAGAGTCCTGAGTGCTAACCATTACACCATAGAACCATATATTTCGATAGAAAAAAAGGTACAAATGATTACTCCAAAGAAGAATACATTTGGAAAAAAAATGTGAAGGTTCTACCTAGATTTGAACTCGGGTCGCAGGATTCAAAGTCCTGAGAGCTAACCATTCAGCCCATAGAACCATATATTTCGACAGAGGTAACGGTACAAATAATTGATTCAAAGAAGAATACATTTGAAAAAATATAGAACCAAAATAGAATACACTTGGAAAAAATATGTGAAGGTACTACCGAGATTCGAATTCGGATCGCAGGATTCAGAGTCCTGAGTGCTAACCATTACACCATAGAACCATATATTTTTACTGGCGCAAAGGTACAAGTAAATTGATTTAAAGTAAAGTACATTTGGAAAATAATTTCTAGGTTCTACCGAGATTTGAACTCGGATCGCAGGATTCAAAGTCCTGACCATTACACCATAGAAACATATATTCGCCGATGGCAAAGCTACAAATAATATCTTCAGATACATTTTGAAAATGGATTTCGGAACGCAGGATTCAAGGTCGCGAGTGCCATTACACCATAGCACCATATATTTCGGAATCTGCAAAGGAACAAATAATTCATCATGAGAAATCATGGTCTTCGATAACGTCAATGACAACGGAATCTGAATTTGGGATATTAAATTTACAAAGACAACGGCATATGGAAAATTATTTAAATTCGAAATTGGGATTTCATATATGATACATCATCACAAGAGTTTAATGCATGCACAAAATTAGCGACGATAAAGTCCCATGAAACGAGGACCAAGTGATTGAAGAATTGAAGCGACGGTTATGTTCGCCATTTGTGACAACGGTATCTGACTTTACCGTTGTCAGTCTTTTCCGGTGTAAAAGGTTGAAAAATAAAACAAATTGGACACGGCACAAATGTGTAAATCAATGAAAACAATCCCAAGAAACAAGCGTCAACATGCACGCACCTACTTTAAAGTATCGCTGAACTGTCAAGGGACATTAATGTCTATTTAGTGCCATTTTGATCCATTTTCCAATTTGATGCAAAGAAATCGAGTATGTGATATGCTCACATCATCGGGAACTTGTTCGCGATTGAAACCGTTTGTTGATAGACTTGAAGGTGGTAAAACTTTGACCTTGGACCACAGGATTCACACTAATCTCTCTCTTATTAAAATAAAACTTAATACACACAACATCACAACAAAATTCATTTTTCTCCATGTTAAGTTGAGACTCAAGGTTGTCGTTGAACAAGCCCTCAAAGTTATCGTGCATGCATGGGAGAAATACGGAGGAAATAAAGATTTCGCAAAATACCATTTTCAGTTTAAGATTATTAGAGAACTGTGAAATCAAGATAAGTAAAAGAGACCGACTTGGGCAAGGCTATGAACTTATATAATGATAAAATATGGCCTTCTATTAGTTTCTTCATTGCTGAGGAAACTGCAATGAGAATCTGAACGATGAACTTGGGAATTCTAAACTTATATAAGTTCTTGGTTATATGTTTCTTATTTATTATGTACATATTCTCTTTGTTCCAGGTGGTTGGTGTTGTTTCGACCGAAACAGTTGCCATGGACGATGGATCAACATGAAGGGATATATGAGCTCACTAAAGTGGCCAAAAACCAAAAAAGGTATGATACGTTATTTCATTATATAATACAATTGGACAAAATGACCTTTTATATGATATTTGTGTGACGGTGTGGATGCAACGATGTGATGTTGCATGTGATGAAACTATACGATATGATATTATGATCTTTTTACGATAAAACTTGTGATATGATGTGACGTGATATGATATGATATGATACGATATGATGATTGTGGTATGGTATAATGTGCGATATGATGAGATATGATAAGAATGGTATGATATTTGTCATCTTGCGCAAGATACAATGTGCCAGGATATTATATGAATAGTAGTCTCAAGTAGTGGATTTAGAATATTTGCATTGAGTTTATTATAAACATCGAGATATTGTATAATGGTTTGAAGGTTTCATCCACTTGTTTGCTAACTTACTGTATGTTTCAGTAAAATTATCTATTTTGGCATGGTGCCATATTGATTTACCATTGCCTCGAAATCTCGGACTCAATCTCAGACCTCTTAAGAATTGCATAACAGTGTTAAATGTATTCATTTAGAATAACTTCCTGATCAATTGTCTGATAAACCAGAGCCATAACCGGAATCAAACATTTTGGCGAGGCAAATGTAAAGGCGAGGCAAAGGAAGTGTTTTACTAACTCTAGCGTTTTGACGAGGCAGTTTATTCGCTTACCATACAATGCAAAACCAATTCCTTGAAAAACTTCTAAAAAATTGACGAAAAAAAGTATTTGATGAATGAAACTCAAACACTAATAATTTTCATGGCGAAATTCGATGAAACGTTCACGAGCCCATAGAAACATTGATATGAAGAAAGTGAATGACAGTGAAGCATCCGCCAGCCTTAAAACTTCGTTTTTCTGACTCCATAATTTGAAAGAAGAACGCTCAAGGGTTTTGTGGGATGACAATTAAACCACTTAATTCAAATGAAAGAAATCCCGTCTGTAATTACACGGGATATTAGTTTTGTGGTCAGATACCACTCGATGATTAGTATTGTCATCGGTTAATGAAAATGATGTTTCCGGATTGTATGTTTCTCGGTCTCTCGGGCTCTGCTACATGTGGTCTACCTCCTCAATTCTAGATTCATTATCTTTCATTTCCACATTTCAATTTAGTGTGTTTTGAATCATCGTTTAATTCCAAGTCAGATAATATTCCCTAGCCCAGTGCGAGTTATTAGTAGGTGCATCTTCATTATTACCCTGCGCGCAGAGTCTAGACGAAGCTCTCTTTTAAGAAGTGAAGTTGAACGAATGCAAAGGGTACTTCATTATGATCTTGGGAATTACTCTGGACTTAGAGTTTGGTGTTGTACCCAAGTCAAACGAATGCCAAAGTCATGGGCATTGGGCTTGGTTTGAACTTTCATATATACAAATAATGCCCAAATTCAGTGTGGAAAGGGATTAGGTAACTACTAGTATTGGGCTTGGTTTGAACTTTCATATTATACAAAAGAATGCCCAAATTCAGTGTAGAGACTTAGTAGTTGGCCCAAATTCAGTGTAGAGACTTAGTAGTTGGCCTTTATTAGGTTTTGGTTTTTACTTTTTGGTTCATTCGCTGATGTACCTGTTTAAATACAGCCTTGACTTGCATCCCATATTTCAAATGCTGATTAGGACGCAAAGCTATGCGCAGTAGCTCATCAGAGTGAATTCCAAATGGCAATGATTGGTGTAATGAGCAGAGTGCGATTTCGTGCAAATTCTTACTGGAGATCAAAGAGCTCTTGTTGTTCAAATAGAGATACACGTAGCATCCTTAACTTCCCGGTGCAACAGGTGTTCTAGTTCAACAAGTTAAACCCAAAACCACGGCTTTCATTTATTAATCTGAATGTTCTTGTTGCCGTGGTTGGGTTTAACTTCCGTGCTATGCTTTCATTTGTTGCAAATTCTCACTATCAGTTATTAATTAAACGCGCATGGAATACCATGCGCTACCATAGGCCACCATTAAATTTTTTGCATCAAGGGCCGAATAGGCACGGACGTTAAACCTAGGGCGGCCACAAGATATGTCAGATAAGAAATAAGGCCCAGACTAGGTTTAACTTGTTGAACTACAGGTGTTCGAGCTCTTACTACCATTCTCCAAGTACAGCAATCCCTTTCAATAACCCTCTCTGCATGCTGGAGAATGATAGACAAACATTCGCCCTTGGGGAATGAGACAATAACCATCTGGAGCAAATAGTATTGTCATCATCGGGATGGTAAACACCTTTACGATCTTCAAAATGCGCACGATGAAAATTCAAAGTTTCCCTTCATGAGAAATTTTCGGAAATGTTTCATGACATAATCAACGTGTATCAAGTATAATGACATGCAGGCACGTAGCCAGGGGGAGCTGCCCCCCCCCCCCCCCCATGGTTATTCACCATTCTGAGCACTTTTCGCATGAATTTTTAGCCACACGTGTAAAAAGCTCTCCCCTGGCAAAATCTTCCTCCTCCCCTTGGTACCCTTGGTAAATCCTGGCTATGGGCAACGGCATACTCCGATACTCGTTTACCAGTTTGATTTCCAAACTTTGGTTCAGGATGGTATAATGGAATAATGGACTGTAAAGAAATATCAACAGACATATCGTATGTTTTTGCTTGCAGTCTCTCAAAGTTAGTTCAAGTACATTTGTCATTTCTAATTACGGACGTTCTTCTTGGAATGTGACAGTTATTACACCCAAACATGTTGGAGTAATTAAATACCCTTGACTTTTTAAAGCTAATAACTATTTCAGCACACTACTGCGTAATCGCCACCGGGAAAGTTTGATCATTACTTTTAAAGAGTAGCATACCCTTTGCATTCGTTTGACTTCACTTCTTAAAAGAGAGCTTCGTCTAGTTTAACTAGACTCTGCACGAAGGGTAAGAGTAGCAGAACTTCCTAATTCAATAGATGATTGCTGAAATAACCAAACGAATGTTTCATCGTCAGAACATCTTCGGATTCCAAGTGGTTATTAGTTGGAGCAACTAATACCTTGAGAATCAAGATGCCGTCAGAATGCAATCCGAAAATGTTTAGTTGACGGAATTCAGGACCATAGGACCTCCCCATGGGCCCATGGCCAAAAGTTATTTCAAAATCATTACAGTTTTCAGCATTCTGAGTACTTTTCAAGTGATTTTGGCCATTTTTGGGACAGAAATTAATTAATTCGTTTATGTTAAACGTCCGAACAGGTTAATGCAATACAATACAATTCATCATATCACGATCATTATATATCATATCATATCACCCTACATGTTTGGAGAACATATCAAATACAAAGTTACCAGGTAGTTTACCTATGGAATGTGTACGTATAACCAATTGTGAGATATCGTTCGGTCATTTAATGCAGTTATCATCAGCAGTCGTGGCCGAGTGGTTAAAGACTAGAAATCTATTGGGGTCTCCCCGCGCAGGTTCGAATCCTGCCGACTGCGATTTGTTTTGTCACTTCAAATAGAACGTTAGCAATGAATCCATGGATCTGCTCTGAGCATACAAGTGTTTCTGAAATCAAATAATGCCCTGTCTTCTTGCAGTAGACAACCTAAAATCTGAAAATGAAGGAAAGAATATGAGAAAACGTCATCCTAGCAATATGAAAACGACACGATAGCAAGCTATATCTCAGTATCCTTTTATCTCCTTGCCTTCTTAAAGGGCTATCTTTGGATCTGCTCTGAGCATACAAGTGTTTCAGAAATCAAATAATGCCCTGTCTTCTTGAAGTAGACACGGGAGTAGACAACCTAAAATTTGAAAATGAAGGAAAGAATATGAGAAAACGTCATCCTAGTAATATGCAAGTACAGTGTATTGTCTCATCGGCCATTTGTTTCTCTTATTTGGCAATCGTTTGCAGTTTCATTGGAGGACATACAAAGTCATCATGATATACCATGACATCTCATTTCTTCTCAGCCCTGAGATGCCATGATATAATGAGCTTGATTTGGCGATCCAAGAGAGCCCAAAATTGAGGATTTTTGAGATCTTTCATCCCAGCTCATATTTCATTTAATTGGGGTCATTAAACTTGTGTACGCGTACCTGTGCTAATATCTGCTGTTAAATACAATGCCTATTGTGTAATGTATTGACATTAGGTAAATGATTATATATATCTTTTATTGACTCTTTAGATGTCATGACCTGACATATTAGTCATTAGCCATGATAACTATCACACTTATTGACAGTTATAACTCTTCCCATCTGATGGGCTCAGATCACAGAATATGCCTCATAATATCAGAGCATGTTTCAGGTGAAACAGAAAGATGCTATGAGTATCAGAATGATACAAAGTTACCAGGTAGTTTACCTGTGGAATGTGTACGTATAACCAATTGTGAGATATAGTTCGGTCATTTGATGTAGTTATCGTCAGCAGTCGTGGCCGAGTGGTTAAGGCGATAGACTAGAAATCTATTGGGGTCTCCCCGCGCAGGTTCGAATCCTGCCGACTGCGAACTGTTTTGCAAACAAAAAGACTAGAACGAGGAACAGACCCCAAAGTTACATTTCTGCATCGAAATACAAACTTTCCCAATGAAGGCTACCAGGATAAATAATTCCGCGTTTTCACCATCAACAATTTTGAAAGCTATAACTTTAGGAAACACTGAGGACGAATTCGACTCGTAAAAGCTGTTAAATATAACAATAAAATGGCATGGGTCAGAGAATAAAGTCACCCCTTGGTAGTTCTATACGTTTAATGTGGTATATGTTTGTGATGAAGATAGAGACATCAATCACTCAAAGTATCGTGGCTTCGTATGTTCTTATCTCTCTGTTCTTTGCTTTATCAACGTGATCAAGGTAAACACGTTTATGGACAACGTCTGATAGCAACTTTGATGTGGTAACACCAGGGTAACACCAATTAGATGAAACCGGACCAGAAATCAAAGTGAGGAACAAGAATCCCACCAAATTATGACATAATTCGGTCTTATGGTTCTTGCACGATACGATCAAATGTTTTTCTCACACACATAGGTTGTACAATATTAAGAAACAATCACTGATTATCTAAGGGAAATATGTGATATCTGATAGCATGGGAGTCCACTGATTTTGGCCGTTTCAGCCTCCCCATATCATGACTCTGCGGCCTAATTGAGCATTCCCCAAAGCCTTTCAAGTTGCTGATGCGATATGAAATCAAAGAGATGTTACCATGGAGTTTGTATCGTCTAATAACACAGTAATTAGTGTTTCTAAGATCTCTGTCTCAGATCCTGTTAGAATGCTAACTTTCATCTCCAGTGATGAACCTTACATTCCATCAATATTGTATGCATGGAATTTACTAATCCCCACCCTGTAGATGTTATGAGTGCGTTCAAAGATGGTGTGAAAAAATGAGAGGAGATGAATGAACCGTGAAGATCAAACGCATGTCATATACTGCGCAGTGCGCAACATATTGACTCAACCGCGAATAGTTTTTTTGCGATAGATATTTATAAAGTGTATTAATGATGAAAATAAATCATGTATTTCGTGATTCTAATTACGCCTCCTACAAGATCAAAGTATTACTTCTAGTTTATTAAGCTAGAAACATATTTATGTTATAAATGTACCAACTAAGAAGAGGCTGTAACGTGTACCAATGAGTTGTTATATGATAAATTGATCACGAAACAGATTCATATGATTTATGTACCCCACCCCAAAAATATTTACGAGATAAATGGAATCTTAAACCATATTCTAATCAGAAGGTTTCAAAGAAGGATCGTTACCTAGTTACAATGATTTATGATGTTGGGGAAAGGGACCATCTCAACACTTCAATTATAAAGAAAGAGAATGAGACCAATTATAATACATTGCACTTCTTGTACATTAAAGAATGATTTATATGACTAAATCTATAGCTAACAAAAAACAAGCAAATGAACGAACGAACTAAAGGACAAACAAACAAATTAACTAACGAGAAAATTAGCGAACGGACAAACAAACAAACAAACAAACAGATTAACCAAGTAACAATAGGAAAGTTTGAGCTTCTTCAAATAATGAAATATTAATCAATTTCCGCATTTATATAAAAGTGTATGTTCATACGTTGTGAGACCCAAACTTTCAACTATTACAGGGCGTTCCACTGAGAAACTACTTAAACTTCTGAAAACAATAAAAATGAAAACTTTTCTTAAAAATCTAAAAAGCATAGAAATACTGAATATATTGTTCCATAAACATCATTGTTCGAATGTAATTGCAATATTCTTTACAGGGTGTTTCAGATTGCCCATATCAATATTACAGGGTGTCAAGAATAGCAGTAACAATTGTTCTTTCTATTTTAGGCAAAGGAATTCTTTCCTGGAACCCAGAAGAAAATCCAGAGTTCTTCCATGCCAATATGGTGTAAGTGAAATTCTGATAAAATATTTGTGAATGTTCAAAAAGGCGTTATTCACATTGTATGCACCTTCATAGGCGTCAGACCGTAAATAAAAAGAATATCACAACATCTTGCGCAGTAATTGGAATTTATGCTTTTATTTGCTAATTTAAAGTTAACAGTTAAAAGGGTCTAAAATAGACATTTTCTGATTGTATTTACTGGTTTTATTTTGATCTTGTTGGTAAAGGATGTATCAAAGAAAATTTCATTTCAACATATTGACTGTAAATTCTCAGAACGTTTGATGTTGGTATGTATTTAGGATTCTATGTTGAAAATCAAAATATTTTCGTGTGGGTTCAAAAACAATCTGTATGCGCTATATCAGTTATTAGGGCTTTTGAAATATAGCGCAAAGGAAAAATGACCAATATGTTTTCTATCTTTAAACATGAAAGGGAAACTAGTGATCATAAGAATAAGTTTAAATCATATCTGAACATGTTTATATGCTCCTAAGTTCACTTGCCTCAAAACATATTGAAAGATAGATGGACAAATCTATATACTTGTATTTATTGATATTTATTTTTGATTACAATAGAACAGAAGAAGCCGGAGTTTTATTTGTTTTGATAATTATGATTCGAAGTGCATAAATATGTCAATATCCCAAATTGTATGTTATAACGATCCATGGTAAAATGAACACAAAATTGTAAAAATACGAATGAACTGCAACAATTTAAGAAAATACTTAGACAAGGGATGATATGAGACCAAATATTAAAAAGAAAACAGTAACAATGTAAAACGATTTGTTGAAAACACTTGAAACACAATTATAGTAATGGACACAATAACTCATGACTATGCGATTTTTGCAGCTATGTTCCTTACTGCTCAAGTGACTCATGGAGCGGGAATCTAAAGGCAGAGAAAAAAGGTAAAAACTGTGACTACAAATCATTATTTTGCGTGTTTTAGTGAACATTCTAAATAATGATGAAAAACATTCAATAAGAATGTGTATTAAGTGTCGTAAAACTGATAAAAAAAATCAGAAAAACCCATGGTAGCAAAAACAGAGTTTTGATTTAACATTTCTTTTCTTCATACAGATCAGTAATTTGGCTGTAAAAATTATAATAATTCACATGTTGTAAAAATGATTGGTGATATATGTGATTGGTCCTATTTATTTGATCAGTGCTATATTTGATTGATTGATGCTATATATTCGAGTGGTGCTTTATACTTCATGGTTGTTGCAGGGGATTTCTCCTTCATGGGTTCTCTGATCGTGGAAGAGGTGATTAAAGACCTCCTCCCACATGGCCTTCAACATGCCAAGAAGCTGCTTCTCACAGGTAGCAGGTATGTAGGACACTTTTATTTCATATTTTAACGCAAATCAAAGTATATAAAAGATTTTCAAGTACAGTAAAGCCCATAATCCAAACACCTTTCAATGGAAACACTTTTTCAGTCCTAATTTTTGTTATCTCCAGCAGATTCACATTTTAATAACCTTGACATTATATGAACAGCTTATCTGAACACTTTTCCCTGGTCCAAGTGATGGTCAGATTTGACAGGTTTTACTGTACTGGTGAGAATGGAGGTTTGCATGCTTTATAAACGTTGCCCATCCACTCATCTCCGCCCCGGTAAGTGCTACGTTCACTTTGCTATTTAGTAAAACAAAAGTGGGCTAATCATTGTATGTGTGTGGTCTTATAGTCTACCTTTTCTAGTAATTAGTTAGACCACACAGGTAGTTTGGTGTTCTCCGAGAGAGGCGTACTTTGAAGACACCACACGATTGTCCATTTTGACCAAACCGTTTGATTGATATTTTGAATACTTTCATGTATGCAACACGTGACCTCAGTTGACCAATTGTAGATATCTGAATCCTTTGATGTCATCATGTGACTTCAGTTGACCAATCATATTTGAGCGTTTTTATTCATTCATCATGCATGTGACCTCAGTTAGCCAATCACTGATATCTGAACCCTCTTGTAACCATGTGAACTAAGTTGACCAATGAGATAAGCAATCTGTTCAATGTTCCGGCAGATATACAAGACAAGATTGAGACAAATCAAAGAATTCAAATTTCCTTAGATGTTTCTTTCGCAAATATCAAATTGTCTGAATAAAAATTGAAGGAAAGGGAAAAATTCACACTACAACCACCAACCGAAGTAAGATCCGAACTAAAGTATCATTGTTAGATGTAGTCCAATGAAGCACTGCATTAACGCTAATTTAAGTATTACTTCCTTGAACTACCTTTTAAAAGTTTTCAGAAGTTACCCTTTAAAAGGTTGCCTTGAAGGTGTGTCATATTCCTCGAAATAAACAAAAAATGCATGAGACCCATCTTTACAGTAATGGTAAATACATACATACTCAGAAAATTTGAGTTGCAACATTTGTTGAAATCTCAACTAAAGTTTATGTAATTGCCTCCTTTGGTTAATCATTGAAATATCAAACCTTCTGACACGTAATTTGCTTCTCTCGAGACACCCCTTAAAGATGAAAGCGAAAGGAAGATAGTTTTTCTTTAAGTTGGATCAGGGTCAGTAAAAGTATGTCTTTGTACTAAAGAGCTATGGGCACTACATTAATTATGCCCTATCAACAACAGATACGTTATCTTGTGGAAAATTCACAAGTTTATAAACATTTTCAAATTATTGAGAATACATCTGAACTTGCTTCTACACACGAGAAATTATGACCAGATATGTTTAATAATTATTTAGTGATTTGGAATCTTTAAAATTACCAGGATCAAATAGTTTACTGTGTAGGCTTCTGGTAGATTAACGTTTTATAATGATACTTGATCCTTATCAGCTGGACAGTGACTTATTTAGGTTAGTTCTGTGAAAGTATATGCTAATTTTTTATATTTTGTATACAACATGCTTATGAAACGTCTTGATTATCCATAAGAGGAAACAAATGCACAAAGGGTAACAGCAATAGATACATTTCAATAACCCCAATATCTATATCAACTATGTCATCAAATAAAGCCTTTCATTTAAGCAATAGATTTTGGAAATGTTAAAAATTGAACCATTTTTGAAATTTCTATGAATATAGTTAAGGTTATATAAATATATATATAAATCATAAAAGTATATTTCTACAAATTTGTTACAATCAATGTATTACTAAACCCAGTCCTCCTCAAATATTTCCCACGATTTCATAAAATGATATTGTTTGCTCATGGTGCAAAAGATCCGCAAAGGAGCTGGATTTTTCTAAAGATAAAAATTAGAACTTTTGTTTTGTACACGACATGTATCTGATATTCCAGCGCTGGGGGCACAGGTGTGTTGGTCAATCTCGACAAGATCGCTGATATGTTGAAAAAGGTGGCGCCACAGGTTGACGTGCGTGGTGTGTCGGACTCGGGATGGTTCCTGGATAATGAACCATTCCGCACTGTTCCCTGTACAGATGCCCATCTCTGTACACCAGCGGAAACCATAAAGAGAGGCATAGCGTGAGTTACCTATTTATTTTGCCTCTTTAAAAGAGAACTTCATCAACTACGATCTTTGTAGAAAGTCCTGCATTTGACAGAATGGGTCAGTCCGATCCAGACCCAACTATTATCCTTTGACCCTCAGACCAAACGCGAGGCATAATCACCACTTTGCTATAACGTATACTTTGGCTTGTTCTCGTATAATCTTACCCAGTAAATGTGGTATTAGAAACCATCCATTTTTCAAACTAAACACGGTGACTTTAAAGAAATCTTAACTAGGTTTTTATGGATCTAAAAGTTGTATATATTTCTATTTTTGAGAGTGTGGGTAATAATTAATAGTTGACATGGGAAATGACACGTCCCCTGAAGGAGGTTATGACCCAGGGTTCTTCTGAATGCATAATAGCTCTTATAATTTACTCATCTTCATTGAGGTTCACAAAGTACAAACCACACACGTCATTGTAAGATAATGACTATATTTCTGAAATCAGGGCATTCTCTCTTGATTTTTATCTACAAATTAATTACAAAAACGTCCTTTTTTTATTTTGATATAACTTGTATTATAAAACGTCCATATTTGTTTTGAAAATGCATATATTTCAAGTTTGTTTTTCATAGAAATTTATAAAATACAGTTGTCGGGATCATCCGATAATATATGTTCGAATGCAATAACCTGTTATTAACCATCCCTGAAATAGTAGTATCAGATTGATGTCTTATTTTGCTGTCAGCAACACATGACATCACCTTTTACATCAGTTTTTTAAAGTAATATTGTGTGCGTTAGTATACTGTTTTCGACATTTAACTCATTACGGGTATGTGCATGTAATAAAGTTAACTTGAAATCTAATCACATCACAAAAATGATGTAAGCACCATAATACGATGCGTGCCTCTTATAGCTTTTCAGACATCCATCTGGGATATATCTCATATATAATACTGGGCATAACTTATAAATTCACTGTAAAATTTTAATCCAGTTTATAATAGTTGTTTTCTGTATTACAGACATTGGAACGGTCAGGTGCCCAAAGATTGTGCAGCACAGTACCCAACCGAACATTGGAGATGTTACTTTGGATACAGAATGTATCCAACATTAAGAAGTAAGTGGTGTTTACGTGCGGGTCATGTGTCATATGTAGTCTTAGCTAAAAACCTCTGTCTCCCCAGTACAAAGCCATAGGAGGCCACACTTTCCCCATGTGAGAAGATTTCAAACCTGTGTAGTAAAGTAGTGGGAGGGGGTCACATGGGGTAAATTGCTTGGAGTTGGACATTCATGGTTTATTATATTGTAAATTCAAAAACTATACATATAATTAATTATACCTATTACCTATACACGTTTAATTATTATGTGGACGAACATCAATCTCTAGTTGAACATTTTCTCATCTCAGCATTATTTAATTTTGTTCTTGATTTCAGCACCAGTATTCGTAGTGCAACATCTTTTTGATGAAGCCCAGATCACATTCAACAATGTAGGGCCACCAGTGAAGAAAGAACAGTGGCATTACATTCACAAAGTGGGAGAAAAGATAAAAAATACTCTACTTAATGTATCGTAAGTTAATTTTTTACTTCAAGTCACACATGTTGTGTAAATCACTGTAGCTGGATATTGAATACTGCAAGGGCGGATAATATTGTTCAAAAGGATACTTATTTATTTGGATACATTTTTCATTTTTAAAAATAATTCAAGGATATATTAATTGATCGGATTCTTTTTTCATTAAAGTATATAAGAACTTATTTATCATTGGATGCGTTTTTAATTTAAGTCCATAAGCATGCATTTTCATTGGATATGTTTTACATTGAAATACATAAGGATTTATATTTTATAAGATACGTTATTGATTAAGAACATAAACATGTATATTCATCAGATAAGTAATTGTATTTTATTTGAATAAAGTACAGTACATACGGATTTATATACCATTGAATACATTTTAATTTATGTACATACGCATGCATTTTCATTGGATGCGTTTTTATTAAAGCACATAAGTATGTATATTCACTGGGTACGATTTTCATTCAAGTACATAAGAATTTATATTTGATTAGATATGTTGCATAAATAAGGGTTATGTACTGGGAGGTTTTGGATATGGGGTTTATCCAGAGGGAGATATGCATATCTACCTGAGGGACCGTAGGGACCCAAGGTAGATGTGCATATCTCACGGGAAGATATGCACCGAAGCGGGAGATATGGAGGTTCTGGATATGGAAACCTCAAAATCAGGATGTGGGATATATCTTACCAACTTATCTCCTTAAAACTCTACTTGGCATAGGATAAGTATTTATATTTCATTGAATACGATTTCCATTAAAGTACATAAAAAATCAAGTCTGTGTACGTTTATTTCAGTGCTGTATTTGCCCCAGCATGTCTTTCTCACATTGTCCTGACTCGGAGTGACTGGAAAGAAGTTGCTATTAAGGACATAACACTACCTCATGCTATCAAATGCTGGGAGGCTAGCAGTCATGAGACTAACCATTACAGAGGGAAACCCCACAAACATCACAGGTAGGTTAAGTTATTCATAAGTATAGGAAAAGTCTCAACGACAAAATGTTTTAAATATATTATGTATAGATAAAAGTTATTTTAGTGGTCTCTTAAAATGATGAATTATTGACATCATGATTTGCTACATCCCTGAACATAAATTTCAAATATAATAGTTTCAGCAAAAAAATCAGGGACAAAAGTTTGGATCTTCCTGAAGTGATACAAGTCACGGGTGATGATCGCCTCATTCTAGGTGATGATCCTAAGACTCTAAAACCAGAAACTGCCGATACCACAAAAATACACATCAGGCCCCGGGGAAATGGGGGTCGAGCATGGCGGGGAAACAAAAGTGGTAAAGGTGGAAGGAAAAGAAATAGGAAGAGGAAAAACAGGAGAAAGAATAAAGGTGCAGATTAACAATATGATTTTAATACATTTTAGTATATTTAGTAAAAATACAAACCTCAAACAATTTGAAATCATGGTAAACTTATTTTCTATATTCTCAAAATTGTGCATGTCTTACCCTATTAAAATTTGTATTGTGAAACCATTTCTCATTGCAGATAAAAAGCGTCAACGCCACAAGAGGTCTCTGTTCTTTAACCTCCACGATGAGCACCATGTGAGCAGCCACCAAGACACATGTACCCACCATCTCATAGATCATTGTGCTTGGCCACAGTGTAATTTATCCTGCCCTAAACTACGGAATCCATTCACAGGGGAGGAAATGGATTTCATTGACCTGCTATTACAGTTTGGTCTAGATTTAAACAGTATCGCAAACGCACTAGGAATAGATTTACATACTCTCATGTCAATGGATCATGACAAACTACTCAGGATGCTTACCCAACAACAGTAGCATGGAAACATTAAAATTGTTACTATGGTAACTAGCCCTATGCAGAAAATCGTGTTATGTTACTTCAGTAACAAGGCTCTTCCACAGAACATTGAATTGATTCCATAAATATTTTGTCACAACTGTAATTTAAATGTCTCCCAACTGTATATGTTGCTATTGTAACAAGACTCTTTCATTACAGTAGTATCTAAAATATGCCAGAACCTCTATGGTTGCCAACACAACTCAAATGAACTAAAACGATGCTTGTGACATAACTGGAAAGAAACACAATGCCCAAAATATTGGACTTGTTTAAACAGGGAATTTGTAATTATCACAAATGGTTACCAGAGTAACCACGATTAGTTACAACTATATATTACCAAGACATTGTGCTTTGTTGCATCGTGATAAGGGAAAATTAAGAACACGAAAGAGGAAACTTTATTTTAGTGTAAATAATTATTTTGTTGGATTTGTTCACCATGGCAACGTTATTTAACTTATAATTACATATAACCAATATATTATGTTTTGCTACCTCTCTTAGAGGGATAACTCATACCAGAGAGATCTATTAATCAATGTGAGGGTTGATTCTCATCAGGAAAGGACTTGTGTAAATATTTTGTACATAAAGATATTTAATTATTTGTAAAATAATAGAGCATATTTTAATCACTTTTGATATCTACCTCACAGTAAACATCAATGTCAAATTAGTTATATAAGAATAGATTTTGTGCCAATACAGGTTTTCTGTTTCTTTGAGCAATTTAAAACAAAATGTGATATCGAGGAGGATTTGAAGTAATTATTTCATGTTGTGTAGAGTTTCAATTAACCCAACACTGTTCTCTATTATTCCAGACATTTTTTATTTTGAGAGTTTTATTCATATTTCTTGAGGTGTCTATATGTCTGATATTCATAATTATTATGTTCCAATAAAGCCATGAGTCCGTTTATAAACACTCATTTTGATTCTTCAAATTGCCAAAGATATCAACATCTAAATTTCAAACTTGAGAATAAATTGTAAGGGAAATGTTTATTAACATTAGTTTATGAATGAGATGATCGAGTATCAGAGGTTGTACAGTTATTATTGGTATCATGTAAAATAAGACATTCTGTAAATATATATTCCAAGAAAATAAAGAAGAGAGTAAAATATTCAGAAATCATAATTTTCGTTTTGTTTTTATTTAACATTCCTACATTTTAATAATTCAAATCCGCATTTTCAAAGGAATTCTATAAAAAAGAACTTAACATGTTAGTTGTATCTGCTAATTAGTAGAGAGACTAGGCCTGTGTTTAAGAAAACAAAAAGGGAAATTTGACAGATGCTATAATTTACATCCCCCTTTATCATTATATCAAAGGATTCACGCACACCACAGAATTAATTACTGGCTAAATTAAAGAGAAAAAACATACCTATAAGCTACAAGTACTAAGTTTGTCCCCATTTAAATTTATTGTTTATTATACAGGTATGTTAATTAATATACATACAGGTGCTAGTTTTTTAACATTAAATAAACTTTTCAAGTTACTTACTAAAAAATTTCCCTCGGATTCATGTATCATATTTATGTTGTATTGTTGACCTTAATAGAGTTATACAGTTTTATCAGTATGATTGTCTATACTATTACTTTGACAAGCATTTAGTTTGTTGTTGAGGTGTATAGTTATACCAAATATTCCCAATAGACTAATTAAAATTAGATACATTTATTCCTCAAATAAGGTCTCCATATTTGATTTAAAGGTGTAACTTCATATATATTTCCCTTATGAATGGTTGAAAAGAGACTCATCCGCGTGTCTTCTTATAGGAGATCAAAGGGAAAATAACTTTGAAGTTTCTATCAAACCTGCCAAAATATTTCATCAAATTATTGCATATCGACATATTAAGTAAGACAATAAGACTTTAAGACATTTTCTCTCTTATTTTGTAAGTAGGATTTTGTTTGCATATAACATAAGCGTATTGCTTCCGTGTTGACCCCCTTAGTCCTTGATATTGGGGTAATGGTGGAAATATGGAAGTCGGTAAGTGATGTGACTAAGAGAATCAAAGTAGTCATGGAAAGAACCTTGGAACCACCCTTAACAAATATATCAGCCAAGCAGGCGGCTAATGAAAGCCGTAAATAACAATCAAAGACATATTACAATCCTAACAAATAATGACAAAACGATAAATGTCAGATACAATTGTATAATGAAAAACAATTTGGGGAGAAGTACATTAATACCTGAATCAAATAGAATGCAATGCTAGATCAATTGTTACTTACTTCACTGATAATGAAATTCTCCCAAAACATTGTAATATAATATAAAAATAATTATTATAATATAGTATAATAATATAATATAATACAACACAACAAAACAATAAATTAAGGATTGAAGTCCTGGACTCAGTGCATTGTGGACGGATCATTCGGACGGACCAAAGGTGATGTTTCAAACATTACGAGATGCGTAATTCTCATTTCATGAAAATGAAAGTTGGTGTTATGTGGAATGATGGGTCGTGGGGTGGAAAATATAACACAATATAATACAATATAGCTATAATACAATATAGTGTGATATCATACAATACAGTACATTACAATACAATAAAATACAATATGATACACTCATATCTACAGATGTTTTGTTATAATTGCCAATTTGTAATGCAACAGGTAATATTTTCCCATTTTTAAAATATTGGAATGGCATTTTCCCATAAGGAATTTTCAATTTTTGTGAAAGTGCGAAACTACCCTTAACAGAGGGCCTATATAGTAAATATATATTATCATGTTCTTGTATATTACTTGTATAAGCTAGATATTCAGTGAAGTTAAAGATAGAAAAGGTAATATTTTATATAGTTTTGACCTCGTAGCTCTTTCTCGAAGTATTACAAAAGAGTTCAAATTCAATTAGCGCTAATAGGTTTTTTATTATTTTGTAAAATGAGAAATGATCAATTCAATTTTTCATATGTCATTATAAATCATATTGAGCAGATTTATTTTTCATACTAAATTATTATTCATTTGTCATATTGGACTCTGTAATTACCTCATTTTAAAAATATCCAGTATACTCTTCTCATTTTTTGTGATGGAATTTATAAAATTATCGTCATTCATTTTTTTTATTCATTTGTTGGCAATCAAGCAGATTTTCAACGTTGGCCTATCATGCCCATGGATAAAAGTGGTATAAAAATGAATTTAACGTTGAAAAAGGTTACACATTTAGACTTTAAATACTAAAATAAAAACAACATAAGCTTAGAAATTTGACATCAAGTCTACAATGACTTTAATTTCTTGATTACAACTCAGAATGATTTGACCCCTGGCCAAATCAGAAATGTTCTCAAAATCATGCAGTTTTCACCATTCTGAGTACTCATCAAGTGATTTTGGGCCAAAGCTGTCAAATGTGAACTTTTTTATACATTTAATATTGAAGGTTGAACATTTAGACCTTAAAAAACTTCATAAAAACATAAGCTTAGAATACACACGCTTGACGTCAAAGTCTTCAATGGCTTTCTTGATTCAACTAAGAATGATGTGGACAATTGTTCGTCGCCAGTATATTTAGCTAAAGGGTGGGTGGAAAAAACCTTGCCCACTCTACCTGTCATAACGGCATAACAAAGGGGCATCCTACATTTATCAAATTTGGGAATTATCGGTTCAGTCTATAAAAAATATCAGTTTTACGTATAAACTGAATTGGGTGCATTTACATGTTTGAGACCTGCTTCTGGAAAAAATCGGATTGACTGAATTTGACAAGTAAACAAGGAAGGTGCTCTTGAGTCTCCCGAAGTGGTCAGAATGTCATTTTTGATGTACAGACTACACTTTCTTCATTCGGAAGCTATATTCTTAAATATGCAGTTTGTTTATAAGAACAATTTTGAAAGTGAAGACTTCGGGTTCCCCAACTTGTAGAGGGGAGTGTACGACGATTTTCGTCACATTTGCAACCATTGCCATCTATTTTAATGTTAAGTAGTTTTATTCATGAACGAGCGAAACCTTTAATTTTACACTGAAAAGAAGTAGCAGGAGACACAAGTAAAGGTGACAAATTATGCTTTAAATGTTTGTTATTTCTTGATTTCTTTGTAGTAATATATAGTAGTTTTTGTTCCATGTACTTACTAGAAGTATGCAATTATTAAGTGAAATTTAACTTTTATTTCATGTATTATACAATGAGGCTTTGTGCGTGACATGCGGAAGGAAGATTGGATCAAATGTAAAAAGCCTGCAATGTTTTCTGATCAAAGTGATCAGACACAATTTCTGCAAAGATCAGAGTCGAGTTATAAACTTCTAACTACTTAGTGAATCTCAAATTGAAAAATAAATTGTGCTAATATAAATTATTGCTTCTTCTGAATAAAATGTCAATCTCCGGCCTATTGCTAAAGTTATTTACCCTGCGCGCAGAGTCTAGTTATAAACTAAAGACGAAGCTCTCTTTTAAGAAGCGAAGTTGGACGAATGCAAAGGGTACAGAGAGAAGGATTATTTAATGCAATCAAAATCGCAATGACTGGGGAAGCGCAACCTTCTCATCAATGAAGTAAGCTGACTTGTGTGTTACAGATTTTCTCAATATTTTGATTATTTGTTTATCTTAAAAAGAACAAAACTGAGCAATGGCTTATGTCATAACAATATTTCTTTGCAGATAAAGACCAAAAAGACGGATTTGAATTAAGCACATGTCCTCTTAATCTTGTGCAGATTTTGGCTCTTTGGCTCTCCTCAGACTTTTTGGAAACCCTGTTCTTTAATTCAACAGCATTTTGAAATCCTATATACCATCAAAATCTCACAGAGAGATAAACTACTGTCTCTGTTAATGTATATTTAAACGTTTCACCTAGAGAATGCATATAACTGTTTTTAACGAATCATGTAAATTCTTAAATATTTTTAAAAACGTGTTTTGCTCATTTGCCATTCATCTATATTTACACATAAACCGTAACTATATTAACCCAACTTCCCCATCAACATTGAAAAAACAAGATCGATGTCAATATGACATTAACATTCAAGGGGTAATACATCTAAGAGACGAGTTGGGAGTAACTCTTGCTTTTAATATTCAATAATTTCCAAATTATGTCAGATGTCCTAAATATATATTTTTATATATCGATGATAAAATTAGGATCAATTGCAAGATAAAAAAAAAACGATGTCACGAAATGTAAATGCGAGTTGGTCTCATCATTTTTCACGCAATGTGTTATTTACTACCACTTTAATCATTGCAAAATTTCAATATTCAAATGCAATATAAACAACTCGCGATTTATATAAACATTTCGCATACATATTGCACGTATCTACTTATAGTTGAGAGGATAGGAGCTGAGGGTTGAAAGCAACACACTTCCAGATAAACTGAGAAAACGGTATGCATAATTTTCTGTTATCGGTTTTCATATATCATTTAACTGAAAATATGTTGATATGAAAAACGTATTTTTCATAGTTATTCAATAGCGACTCCCTGGACGAAAGAAACATGGGTTTGTGTATATCCTACCCCTGCTCGGGAAACATGTTTAGATTTCTAAAACATAATAATACATAGTGCTATCATTATTTTACCAATATATACATGTATTTATGCTCGAGTGCAAAAGGGAATCGGGAGTTTAAGATTGTAAGTAGTGCATTTACGCATACCTTTACCTATTATTGCATACCGTTTTGTTAATGCACTAAGCGGTATTTCACCTTGATGCAATATTAAATACGTAATTACTTATAAATAGCCAAAAATATAGGTGATTCGAAAACGTATGCGCCCGTATACATGCGTTTTTATCCAACAAATTATGTCATTTATAGATCAGATTAATATCATTCATTAAAATTTACGATGGTGACTTCACTGCAAACAGTTCCCATTTGATCTTTATAAATAAATCTTTGTTCTGAGACCAATACATTTTTATCAAATTTGCTTATTGTAAATGTACGACATGAGTCATATTCTCGTGTTTAAGACTTAAATTTTACTATTTTGTCGTGTCATTCTCATTTTCACTATCATGCTAGAACTTTCACCTCGTGTCACTGCCCTATTAAGAACTCCCCCCTCCTCCATTAATGGTCGAGTTTTACTGGGGTCAAGATTTATTCGAGTTCAGTTGACTTGAGTTGAGTTTTACTGGGTTGAGTTGACTAGGGGTTGAGATGACCAGCAAGAACCTCAACATAGCTGGTACTCCAATACACAACAAGGGGACAAACGTATACAACATGTCCCCTCCAATGGGTCATCTTAAATATTTTTCATTCTGAACGCCAGACACTAATCAGTCAAAGAAACAAGATTTCAGGACCCAAATGGCCGCCTTAACATTTACCCAGAATGCCCAAAAGCTAATCATTTCGAGATACTAATTAGTTCAATTATAACTCAAAAACGTTAATATGATATACGTATTATCGCTCGCTGACTTTTCTTAAGACATTTAAAATGGCTACCATGTCTAAGCCAACATGTCCAAAACCTAATCAGACGTACAACGGAGTGAGTTTTAAAGAATATGTTAAAGTTTTAAAAGGAACTGTAAAGCTGCTTTTCTTAATATTTGCACTTAGAATTGCAGACAAGGATTTTAGTTATCCCTGAAAAGTTGAAGGTGATATCCGTACAGCGGTTTTGGAGAAAGCTGTCGGACCTACGGATGGACGGACTGACGACAGGCTGACACAATTATGCTGACAATATGACCCAACACTATGTGGTGGGGACATAAAATCGTAAAGGAGTTAATGCAGATTCTGGTTTGACTCCATTTCTTTGGTTTATACTAGTCCTTATAATAAGGTGTTTGAAAGGCCAAAATCATAAGATATAACTACAATCAGACAATCTAGCGTTTCTACTACATGTATTCCTTCTGACAATTTAATTTTTTATATAAACCTGTTTATCTATCAATTTTCTATATGGGGCATTTTTTAGCTGTATTATCAAAAAATGGTAGTATGAAAATCTATTGATGTTGTAAGTTCATGTCATATCCTTTATATATAAAGGGAACGGTAGACTAATTCTATTCACATTTTTAACGGAGGTTTATACCATCTAATGTTAAAGTGTGCCAAGTGAGAAGTTATTTGGTTTCATGATTTTATATTACAGGTAATCTTGATACCCAAAGTTTCGGTTGCTCAACTTCTTTTATAACACCTTGAAAGTCGCAGATGATTACGTGTCTCACAGAAAATATCTGAGGCACATTAATATATTTTCAAAAAACATGTTTCAAGCGTTTCACTATAATCTAACATCTTCCATTTAAATATAATAGAACATAAGTAAGTATTAACATGGAATAATGGTATTTATCCCATAGTTGGACGTGTTACAGGTACATAAAGCCGGTTTGTAAAAACTTATATTTTCATCAGCGGGCAGATATAGCTTTACGTCCCGCTCTGAGCGGGCAGATAAAGTATATCTGCCCGCTACGTCATAATCGCCGTTCGCATATATTGGTTCATTTTTTGTAACGTTCGCATAATAACAGTAAACGACAATGGAGAAAACGTAGACAATCGCGATCTGTTTGATGGTTTAAAGAAGGGAAGGAGTATACATGTCCCTGTTTAAAATCAAAGATTAGAGAAAATAAATGTGAATGAATGTCTAAAAGAACATGAAAATGCGACCACGGCCAAGAAGTGAACATGCACATTCTAAAATAATGGCCAATTGAACAATGTGAGCTAAATGACCGAGATCGGTATGGGATAAACAGATCATCCTATAGTCGGTTCAGGATACTGGGATTATCCCTTGGCCAATATAATATATCTACCCTCGGGACCTACGGCCCTCGGGCAGATATATTATATTGGCCTCGGGATAATCCCAATATCCTGAACCTCATATAGGATAATCTCTATTTATCCCATACTTGGACGTGTTACGGGTACATAAAGCCGGTTTGTAAAAACTTATATTTTCATCAGCGGGCAGATATAGCTTTACGTCCCGCTCCGAGCAGGCAGATATAATATATCTGCCCGCTACGTCATAATCGCTGTTCCCGTATTGGTTATTTTTTGTAACATTCGCATACTGTAAACGACAATGGAGAAAACGCATACAATCTCGACCTGTTTGATGCTTTAAACAAGGGAAGGAGCAGTATTCCCGGTTAATAATCAAAGATTTGAACAGGAAAATCCGGCTACGGACAAGAATACAAAACTGGACATGAATATTTTAAAATAATTCCACGGTTGGTTGCAAAGTTTCTGAACTTTGGCCAATTGAACAATGTGATTGGTATGGGATAAACATATCATCCTATAGTCGGTTCAGGATATTGGGATTATCCCTTGGCCAGTATAATATATCTACCCTCGGGACCTACGGCCCTCGGGCAGATATATTATATTGGCCTCGGGATAATCCCAATATCCTGAACCTCATATAGGATAATCTCTATTTATCCCATACTTGGACGTGTTACAGGTACATAAAGCCGGTTTGTAAAAAACTATATTTTCATCAGCGGGCAGATATAGCTTTACGTCCCGCTCCGAGTCCGAGCGGGCAGATATAGTATATCTGCCCGCTACGTCATAATCGCTGTTCCCGTATTGATTTTTGGTTCTAAATTGTTTGTAACCTTCGCATACTGTAAACGACAATGGAGAAAAACGCAGACAATCGCGATCTGTTTGATGAAGGGAAGGAGCAGTATGCCCCGTTAATAATCAAAGAGTTGAACAGAAAATTCCGGCTACTAAGAATACAAAACTGGACATGAATATTTTAAATAATTCCACGGTTGGTTGCAAAGTTTCTGAACCGTGGCCAATTGAACAATGTGATTGGTATGGGATAAACAGATCATCCTATAGTCGGTTCAGGATATTGGGATTATCCCTTGGCAAATATAATATATCTACCCTCGGGACCTACGGCCCTCGGGCAGATATGTTATATTGGTCTCGGGATAATCCCAATATCCTGAACCTCATATAGGATAATCTCTATTGATTTGATGTTTTAAAATTCAAAATAATAATTCAAAAATATATTACATTTCAGATGGATACTAAACAATTAATAGAGGATCCACGCAAGGAGGTTGAGCCTATCGACAACAGAGAGGATATTCCTCCTCCTCCGTACAGTACAGGAGAGGCTCCTGGGACATCACCTCCACTCCAACAACAATATGGCCAACCAGGGCATCCATATGGCCAACCAGGGCCTCAATACGACCAACCAGGAGCTCAGTATGACCAACCAGGGGCCCAGCAAGGGCCTCAATATGGCCAACCAGGACCTCAATACGACCAACCAGGAGCTCAGTATGGCCAACCAGGGGTTCAGCAAGGGCCTCTAAATGGCCAAACAGTGGTTCAACAAGTGCCTCAATATGTACATCAAAAAGGTCAAGGATATGGTCAACAAGTGCAAGCCATGGATCCACCACCTGCGTATCCTGTGACAAACCAGACTGTGATCACAACTCAACCAACACAAACAGTTATCTTACAGAATTCCCCACCACCACCAGACCACCTTGTCTGGTCTATTGTGACAACACTGTTCTGTTGCTTGTGTCTTGGTAAATATATACAAACACGTTTAATCTCATATAGCATTGTTCAAAGTGCAAAATGCCTTTGAAGATTTCAATAAATTGCGAATAATTCAATGGGTTTTATTTTGCATTGTAACATATCTAATGATACAAATACTTTAAATTTATATTTTCACGTTTTAATGAGAATCGAGCATAGCATTTTGCTCATGTATTATTATTGGAATTTTCCTAAAAAATTAATAAGAAATCTTTATGAAACCCCGTACTTGTTATGTCTGAGAACATCATTAATTCTATCTTTGACTACATTTCAGGTATCCCAGCCATTGTGATGTCCATTATGAAACCCCTTACTTGTTATGTCTGTCTGAGAACATCATTAATTCTATCTTTGACTATGTTTCAGGTATCCCAGCCATTGTGATGTCCATTATAAAACCCCTTACATGTTATGTCTGTCTGAGAACATCATTAATTCTATCTTTGACTATGTTTCAGGTATCCCAGCCATTGTGATGTCCATTATGAAACCCCTTACTTGTTATGTCTGTCTGAGAACATCATTAATTCTATCTTTGACTATGTTTCAGGTATCCCAGCCATTGTGATGTCCATTATAAAACCCCTTACTTGTTATGTCTGTCTGAGAACATCATTAATTCTATCTTTGACTATATTTTAGGTATCCCAGCCATTGTGATGTCCATTATAAAACCCCTTACTTGTTATGTCTGTCTGAGAACATCATTAATTCTACCTTTGACTATATTTCAGGTATCCCAGCCATTGTGATGTCCATTATGAAACCCCTTACTTGTTATGTCTGGGAACATCATTAATTCTATCTTTGACTATATTTCAGGTATCCCAGCCATTGTGATGTCCATTATAAAACCCCTTACTTGTTATGTCTGTCTGAGAACATCATTAATTCTATCTTTGACTATATTTCAGGTATCCCAGGCATTGTGATATCCATTATAAAACCCCTTACTTGTTATGTCTGTCTGAGAACATCATTAATTCTATCTTTGACTATATTTCAGGTATGCCAGTTATTGTGATGTCCATTATAAAACCCCTTACTTGTTATGTCTGAGAACATCATTAATTCTATCTTTGACTATATTTAAGGTATGCCAGTTATTGTGATGTCCATTATGAAACTCCTTACTTGTTATGTCTGAGAACATCATTAATTCTGTTTTTGACTATGTTTCAGGTATCCCAGCCAGTGTGATGTCCATTATGTTATGTTTGAGAACATCATTAATTCTATCTTTGACTATGTTTCAGGTATCCCAGCCATCGTGATGTCTATTATGAAACCCCTTACTTGTTATGTCTGTCTGAGAACATCATTAATTCTATCTTTGACTATATTTCAGGTATCCCAGCCATTGTGATGTCCATTATGAAACCCCTTACTTGTTATGCCTGAGAACATCATTAATTCTATCTTTGACTATGTTTTTAGGTATCCCAGCCATTGTGATGTCCATTATGAAACCCCTTACTTGTTATGCCTGAGAACATCATTAATTCTATCTTTGACTATATTTCAGGTATCCCAGCCATTGTGATGTCCATTATGAAACCCCTTACTTGTTATTTCTGGGAACATCATTAATTCTATCTTTGACTATGTTTCAGGTATCCCAGCCATTGTGATGTCCATTATGAAACCCCTTACTTGTTATGCCTGAGAACATCATTAATTCTACCTTTGACTATATTTCAGGTATCCCAGCCATTGTGATGTCCATTATGAAACCCCTTACTTGTTATGTCTGTCTGAGAACATCATTAATTCTATCTTTGACTATATTTCAGGTATCCCAGCCATTGTGATGTCCATTATGAAACCCCTTACTTGTTATGTCTGACAACATCTTTAATTCTATATTTGACTATGTTTCAGGTATCCCAGCCATCGTGATGTCCATTATGAAACCCCTTACTTGTTATGTCTGAGAACATCATTAATTATATCTTTGACTATGTTTCAGGTATCCCAGCCATGGTGATGTCCATTATAAAACCCCTTACTTGTTATGGCTGTCTGAGAACATCATTAATTCTATCTTTGACTATGTTTCAGGTATCCCAGCCATCGTGATGTCTATTATGAAACCCCTTACTTGTTATGTCTGTCTGAGAACATCATTAATTCTATCTTTGACTATGTTTCAGGTATCCCAGCCATCGTGATGTCTATTATGAAACCCCTTACTTGTTATGTCTGGGAACATCATTAATTCTATCTTTGACTATGTTTCAGGTATCCCAGCCATCGCGATGTCTATTGTGGAACCCCTTACTTGTTATGTCTGAGAACATCATTAATTCTATCTTTGACTATGTTTCAGGTATCCCAGCCATTATGATGTCCATTATGAAACCCCTTTTTTGTTATGTCTGTCTGTGAACATCATTAATTCTATCTTTGACTATATTTCAGGTATCCCAGCCATCGTGATGTCCATTATGAAACCCCTTACTTGTTATGTCTGGGAACATCATTAATTCTATCTTTGACTATGTTTCAGGTATCCCAGCCATTCTGATGTCCATTATGAAACCCCTTACTTGTTATGTCTGGGAACATCATTAATTCTATCTTTGACTATGTTTCAGGTATCCCAGCCATTGTGATGTCCATTATGAAACCCCTTACTTGTTATGTCTGTCTGAGAACATCATTAATTCTATCTTTGACTATATTGCAGGTATCCCAGCCATTGTGATGTCCATTATGAAACCCCTTACTTGTTATGTCTGAGAACATCATTAATTCTATCTTTGACTATATTGCAGGTATCCCAGCCATTGTGATGTCCATTATGAAACCCCATACTTGTTATGTCTGAGAACATCATTAATTCTATCTTTGACTATGTTTCAGGTATCCCAGCCATTGTCATGTCCATTATAAAACCCCTTACTTGTTATGTCTGTCTGAGAACATCATTAATTCTATCTTTGACTATGTTTCAGGTATCCCAGCCATGGTGATGTCCATTATAAAACCCCTTACTTGTTATGTCTGTCTGAGAACATCACTAATTCTATCTTTGACTATGTTTCAGGCATCCCAGCCATCGCGATGTCCATTATGAAACCCCTTACTTGTTATGTCTGAGAACATCATTAATTCTATCTTTGACTATGTTTCAGGTATCCCAGCCATTGTGATGTCCATTATGAAACCCCTTACTTGTTATGTCTGAGAACATCATTAATTCTATCTTTGACTATGTTTCAGGTATCCCAGCCATTGTGATGTCCATTATAAAACCCCTTACTTGTTATGTCTGAGAACATCATTAATTCTATCTTTGACTATATTTCAGGTATCCCAGCCATTGTGATGTCCATTATGAAACCCCTTACTTGTTATGTCTGAGAACATCCTTAATTCTATCTTTGACTATGTTTCAGGTATCCCAGTCATTGTGATGTCCATTATAAAACCCCTTACTTGTTATGTCTGAGAACATCATTAATTCTATCTTTGACTATGTTTCAGGTATCCCAGCCATTGTGATGTCCATTATGAAACCCCTTACTTGTTATGTCTGAGAACATCATTAATTCTATCTTTGACTATGTTTCAGGTATCCCAGCCATCGTGATGTCCATTATGAAACCCCTTACTTGTTATGTCTGAGAACATCATTAATTCTATCTTTGACTATATTTCAGGTATCCCAGCCATCGTGATGTCCATTATGAAACCCCTTACTTGTTATGTCTGAGAACATCATTAATTCTATCTTTGACTATATTTCAGGTATCCCAGCCATGGTGATGTCCATTATGAAACCCCTTACTTGTTATGTCTGTCTGAGAACATCATTAATTCTATCTTTGACTATATTTCAGGTATCCCAGCCATCGTGATGTCCATTATGAAACCCCTTACTTGTTATGCCTAAGAACATCATTAATTCTATCTTTGACTATATTTCAGGTATCCCAGCCATCGTGATGTCTATTATGAAACCCCTTACTTGTTATGTCTGTCTGAGAACATCATTAATTCTATCTTTGACTATATTTCAGGTATGCCAGCCATTGTGATGTCCATTATGAAACCCCTTACTTGTTATGTCTGAGAACATCATTAATTCTACCTTTGACTATATTTCAGGTATCCCAGCCATTGTGATGTCCATTATGAAACCCCTTACTTGTTATGTCTGGGAACATCATTAATTCTACCTTTGACTATATTTCAGGTATCCCAGCCATTGTGATGTCCATTATGAAACCCCTTACTTGTTGTGTCTGGGAACATCATTAATTCTATCTTTGACTATATTTCAGGTATCCCAGCCATTGTGATGTCCATTCAGTCAAGAAATTATGCCCATGATGGAGATATGGGGAATGCTAGGCAGAAAAGTAACACTGCCAGAACCCTCAATGCTGTTGGTTTAGCCATTGGAATTAGTTCCTATGTTGCCGTTTTGGTCCTGAGATTTGTTGTAGGATTGGAATATAACCTCAATCACTACTAGAACCAAGGGTGTACACAGTATCAAACATTAGGTGAGGCAAGTTCGGCAAATTAAGGCAAATGAGGCACATTTCTACCTTTGAATTCATTTCCATTGAATTAATCGGAAGAAATGTCTGAAATATATACTTCTGTTAAATGGTGTGGAGGCAGTTTCCTCGCCTGCCTTATGCCTGGCTTCTTCTCCTAAGGAAGGCCTCACCCATTGGATTTTCAAACATACTCTATTTCCACTTGATAAATGTAATATAAAGGACTAGCTTTGTTTATATCAATGAAGAAATATACAATAGAATATGCTTTACTATATCATTATGTATAGTATTTTAAAATTAATCTTAAGACCGGCCACAGGTCAGAATGACCTAGCAGTGATTAACTATAACTATTATGCACTATTCATAGCATTAGCTGTTAGAAACCATTTGTGAAGTGACAATGATAATATTAATTTTTAATATACATTGTAGATTCAAATATTCAAGTGTGTTTCAGCAAATCAGCTTGGAGTATGTCAGTGCATTAATTCAAGGTATATGGTCAACTGAGCAGAAATATTATTTTACAGTGCATTATGGTTCCATAAAGAACTCAATGACATTATTGGAGAGAGTCATCACAGTGCAACTTATGGTTTCAACTGGACGATGTCATTTTTATGAAAGGAGTGATTGTATATTTAGAATGCAGTGAAGAACCCCATTTCATTCTTTACTTGAATTAAAATCACCTAGATGTAAGTCACTGACCCATCCTGATCATGTACTTTGGGTTCACCATCGTGCATTGTGTGTACGGGCAAGGAGGATTGGCTCCCAGGATCGAAACTCGATATTTTCCAACAATGAAAACGTCGAAATGTCGTTATTTTCTGAAATTAAAACCGACTATAAATTCAAAATAAACAGTTCAAAAGATTCGAACCAATATCTCGATCGTTTCTTGTGAGTTTTGGAATTTTTCGTTTGGAAATAAGACCAAAATTCACGATTTAAATGTTGAAGTGAACAAAATGGCGGCTGTTTGAATTCGAATTTTGTATTACGACATACCCATATATGGGACAGAATATCGGTGGTGCACTCTGGGAGCCAATCCTCCTTGGTGTACGGGGGAGTTCATGCACTCATGATTTTAAATTTCAAATAAACAATGATTTTGGGTTATATATTAGTCTCATACTCCAGAAGAACTATTGTATTATATTATGATAGGACTATATGCTTAAGTATACTGAACCAGTTATGTATAATTCAATGGAAAGACTGGAAGATCTGTAACGCAAATTGGGCCAATAAAATGCCCCTTTTGCTATACTACTTATAAAAACAACGGATGCTTTGCTAGGTGTATCTATGCCCGCTTCAAAAATCTTATCATGCCATTGCAGTTGTAAGAATGAAGTTTATTTCCTAATTAAACAGTCTTCACCACAAACCACACAACATAATATCACATATATCATAGGATTAAATTCGAGCCAGCAGCTACGCCAGAACCTCCTAAAAAACGGGCAAACTAGTGTCCAAAGCTCGAAATGTCTCTTCCTTGAGACTTCCAACAAAGGTAGTCTTCCTTGAATCAGTCCAAGGCATCTTTTCTGTATCACACGTACATGTATCTATCTTATATGGATCTCAATCCAACAAAGTAAAGTCTTCTATTAATCGGCTCAAAGCAACTAACCTATATCACGCTTGTATCTATCTTGTATGGACAAAATGTGTTCCAGAGTTCACTTAGGCTTGTGTCCATATCCTACTATGGGTTGTATTTCTTGTATCTGTCTTATATGGATCTCAATCCAACCAAGTAGTCTTCTTGAATCAGTCCAAAGCATCTTATTTATATCACACTTGTATCTATCTTATAAGGACAACTTGTGTTCCAGTGTTCATTTAGGCGTGTGTCCACACCCTACTATGGCTTGTATTTCCTGAAATTACACAGAACTAGCATTAAAAACATGCAAATATCGCATTGTCGCTCCAAGCGACTAACCCCTTTTGAGGTTGCTAAATTGTACCTGCGTTCGACGCATTATATGAATCCGTCAACCCACGATACAAATAGACTTTTACGTCAGAGTTCGAACTGTACTGCATCAGAACAACTGCTCGACGTAATGGCTACAATGCCAAACATGATAACATTTTTACGTCGGAGTTCCAACTGTACTACAACAGAACAACTATTCGACGCACTGGAAATAATGCCAAACATGACAACAATATTTACGTCGGAGTTCCAACTGTACTTCAACAGAACAACTATTCGACGTTCTGGTAATTATGCCAAACATGATAACAATTTTTATTTCGGAGTGCCAACTGTGCTTTAACAGAACAACTACTCAACGTAATGGCCATAATGCCAAACATGTTCAATATAGAATGCAATTAGCTGACGAACACTTCTCTAATGTGTTCGTCACACTAATATCATAAATGTTGTTAGGAACACAACTATCATCTTAAAACCATATTAACTACTTTTCGACGTCATGGCTATAATGTCAAGCATGACAACAATTTTTATTCAACAGAACAACTACTCAACGTAATGGCTATAATGCCAAACATAATAACAATCCTCAGTCAGAGTTCAAATATGTAATTTTACCAAGTGTATTTCTTGTCGCTGCAGGTAAAACATAACGATCACGTAGTCTATCTGAATTGACAACTTCAAAAATCAATTCACAACAATTCGTTTGATTCTTTAAAATCTAAAAATGTAATATTTCAATTTCGCTCTGCATTCTAAATACATCGTGAATATGCCAGATTAAAATAGTTTCTTGGCATTTCATCTTTCTTCTTAAAGATTTTATCATCTTTCAAATAACTTGCTCAATTTTAACCAAAATTATATGCAGTAATAAGTTTTAAACATCAATGTTTGCAAAAACATGGATCATCCAGGAAACATACCTGGATCAAAATGCCCAATGTGTAAACTCAAACAATTGTCTATCTTACATCGATTTCTCTATGCTATATTCAGTAAACTCTAGAAATGTACAATTATCATTTGGACCAGGAATGACACACTAAGCTCTCGCTTATTTCAAAATGTCTCAAGTATGGAGCAACTCCGCAAGGTTTTATTTAATCTTCGATAAACTATTCAACATGCAATAATCATGCATTTATCTAACAATGTAACCAAAGTAAATGTCCAAATCTGTCTACTCCCAGTCTCGAATCAAGACAAATCAACTATCTTCTAAAAATAGTCCAGGTTTTAAACCTAAATGATTATATTCGGGAAATCAATTCACCTGCCTAATCAGACTATTTAGGTATTTATTCAAAATCTTCTAATCGCTTTAGAAAAGTATCGATCGATTTTCAAACAAATCGAAAACAAGAGTGTTAAAGACGAAAAGTAAGCAAATACAACCATTATTGTAAAGTATGCGTACCAAGCATATGTCTGAATCCGACTACCCATGTATCGATTCACAACATACCAGTCAAAGATAACCACCCTATTCATCAATGTTATAAACAGAGATACTAGACCAAACTGTTGGTATAAACACCTTATTAGTAAACTTAAAATGCTGATATTATACAATGCACTTTTATAGACCAGCATTTCACTTCTATTTCACATAACCAGTATTCAAAGATATCACTCCCCGATATTTTAAGCAAAAAAGCTATTTATGAACATGCAAATTAAAAATATTCTAGTAACCTTTTTGCATCTATCAACATTAACTGTTTGAGCCTGAATACGACTACTCTTAGAACTCATTTGATCAAGCAGTTTATTTAACTGAATCAGTCAAATAAAATATTCTCCATAATTAAGCAACTTATCTTTGAAGAAGAAAAGTTCTGAATATAGAATCTTATACAGTATGCAATTTATTCTTGTACGGATATTCGGTATCTAAAACATATGCCTGAACCCTACCCTCCTGGCAACGATTCACGACATTTCCCAACCAAAAAGACTGTTATGATTACTCTCAGAGCCCTTTAATGGCATTTTGATCATTTCTAAATATGAATGAATGTTTTGAGTAGCAAACGAAGATGTTTGCGATAACATGTAGCTCACAAAAATTCATTATGAATCTGTGGAATCCAAGTATCCTCTTGATAATAAAAGATATGAAAATACAAGTGTACAATTTCACTTGCAGGATATGAAGTATCCAAGGTGTATGTCTGAATCCAACCTTCCCAGTAACGATTCACGACAATTAATGTCTGTTCTAAATACAAATACGCGTTATTAGCTAATAACTTAAATGGTATACCAATATGGCTCACCAATCGACGACATTTAACAATTCAATGACTCTTCAGTAACACAACTCGTTAGATGTTTGTCATGACTTACAACATTAAAATGCTTACGTTGCACAACTTTATACAAAAACTATAATTGTAATATCTATCTCTGTATATGCGCAACACAGAATTCATTTGAAAAACGTTTGCTATAAAATATCATTTTAAAAATCTTTGCCCAACGCTGTTTTTTGCAAAACTGAGGGAGCATATTTGCACCTTGCTAATACCATGTCTGAAACAACTTAACAAACCTAAAACCGTAACTCCGGTTTAAAAACTGCCACATCTAAATAGGATGTTTGTTTGTATGGATCCCATCTCCCTAAAAACACCTAAAATGCAGTTTATACAAATCATCGGAAAACGTACCAGTTTGTGTCGTTACCTAAATATCTGAAAGATATCAAAAACATGAACATTTTGACAGTCAAGTTACAAATATCCAACGTATGTAGCAGTGTGGCGTCTTGCCCGTGACTGAACAATAGATCTTGCAATCTTTAGTGCTCCTGCACCTATGACCAATCTAAATATGTTTAGCAAAACCCAGTATCCTTACATTAAAAAAGGATATTTGATATACTAAGCAAATCTGTTAACAACTACTTATCTTATTCATTGCGATAGCTGAACCCTCCTTGTTTAGCGTTACTCACAATCCAAACATTGGCCCTCAGCGTTACTTCTTCTCATGCACCGGCGCACCTCTCGGGTAGCGTCGCATCTTTCGATGTTACTGGAACTCAAACGATCACATGGTCACTTTTCGGGTTTACATGTATAAAATCGATTAAATCGTTTATGCAGAGCATTTTCATAAAAGGTCCAACATAGACTGTAACCCATTCTGTAGAAGTGCTCCAGAAATGCAACCTTCCTTACATGAAAGGTTACACATTCCAACCTATTTCAAACCATCTGTCTGATTATACTGGACACTTTCTGGGTAGTTGGACTTTCTATAGGGGTGGCAGACGGCCCTCAGACCAATTTATACCCCTACCCCCAAAAAGCCATGGGGGTACTTTAATACCACCCAATAAAAATAATACTAATGCATGTCAGATATTCATTGTTTTAAATTGGGTAGGGCATGTTATGGTTAATAAGTGCCAGAAATTTCCAATCTCTAACTTGTATGGTTACCATAGAAACAGTATTTATATCTGGAAATATTCTCAATTTGACCCCCTCCCAAATGTGTCCCTTTGTTCTCAAAGTGAAATATTTCAAAATCTGTTTGGATTTTATGGCTGCTACTTTGTCAAAATTTGTAATATTATGTCTATATTAACACTAAAACACTCAAAAGTTGATATAATGATCCTATAAATCAATAATATTTATCAAATATAGTCA